CTCAATCTTGAATGGACATGTCACAACGAGGGGATGATTTCAGTCTTGGTGAAAATGTCTCGATTCATATGTAAATAGCTTGCAAAACATCCTGCCTCACACCTATCACCTCAAAATTGTGACTTTTTTTCCTGCTCCATACTTAACTAGTCTAATGCATTGAATTGCTAATATGCCCTATGAATAAATGAATAAATCCTTTTTAAAAGTCATCATTTCACTTCTCTGTCCAGCCCCTGGGGATTCCCGATAAGATGGGGCTGGCAGGAGATGACTGACAGGGTGATATCTGGTTGGTCGGGAAATCTGGGTTTTACACTCTAGACAATCATTACAGTCTCCGTTATAAAAGGAATCTATAGATAGCTGTGTGTAATGCAATTTTAGTAGAATAGCCGCAGAATATAGAGAATATGGTCAATAACACAGAAACACATATGATCAAGAGAACATGAATCCATTCAAAATGAAAATGAAGGAGCACACACAAAGGACGTACACAGGTATTTTGACAAATGCAGAAGAAAGCAATGAGATGTTTCATTTCTAAAAATCCACCTGCTGCCTGCTGCTTTAAAATCAGTTTTGAAAAAGGCCTTCCTCATCTCTCTCTCTCTCTCTCTCTCTCTCTCTCTCTCTCTCTCTCTCTCTGCCTCTGTCAGCTCTCTTTGGAGTTAATGCAATCAATGTGCAACACCGGTTAATCTTGGGTCACCACAGTCAAAAATTTGTCTTTTATAGTGCTAAGCAACAAGCTTATAGCTCCAAGATACAGTATCTAAAGCTGCATGATTAAGTCACTAATATACAGTCTTGCCAGCATCAGCAGGAATACCTCAAAATAAAAAATAAATAACTGAAAAGGTTCTCAGATTTTAATGTGCTTTACAGAAAGCACCATCAATCAGTTACAAACTCTTAAGACAAACATGTAAATCAATCATAACTGCTGAATTAAAACTGAGAATTAAAGACAGAGAACCGAGAACACACAAATAAAACTTTTTCTTCATTTAACTTTCTACATTTTCTTTTGCATTATGCTCACAGGGTAATGGGGTTGTGAGCAGGGACCATTTTTTTTTTTAAAACACTCCACTCAGTCCTTGGTGCTTTGAACTTAACAGATCGCATCTCTTGGAAAAAATAATGCTCTGTACCAGTAACGGAAAATAAATGTCATGTCTACTGAGTGATGTACTGTGAGTGCAGCCATAATGTCCAGATAAAGTTGTGATTTCCATCTGTCACCCAAGGGCCACCTATAGAAATATCTATCTCAAGTTATTTCTGACTTGCACAGGATTTAGTATTTAGATGTTATATGTGGTGTACTCATGGAAGTCTCTCTGGCTCTGTATGCAGGAGCCTTACAGCCCTTGGTGTGGTTTATCTTACAGCTTTTCCTCCAACAGAGCCATAAAGAAGTTATTCAAAAATAGGTATCGAGCCACTGAAATGCCAGAGTGTCTGTAAAAAATCAACTCTTTTCCCACTTGACGCCGACATGGAAAATAGCTTAAACATAAACGGGTTAAGGTGCATGTAGGAAAGCATGTGCATGTATTTTTCTTAAAAGTGAAAGATAGGATGAAAATGTGTAAAAGACTTATTGGATCTTTGTTTGATGAATTCAAATGAGTTTATTTAGTCTACCTTCTAGCACAGTGCAGATGGTGCAGACTGGCTTGGCTGAGAGCAAAGAGAAACTGGGTCTGTGTTGAGCTCAACGAGGGAGATGGAAAAAGGGAGGGCCTGGAGCTGTGTTTTATCATGCTGGGGGCTAAAAAAATCTAAAAAGGAGGTATGGTTGAACTGATAGGGAGACTTGAAATCCAATATCAGAATTTTTTGATTTAAACAGGCAAAAATATATGTTTTATGTTTTCTTCTGATATTTGATATTATTTTTTATTGAAAAGAGATTGTGTTGAACATATATATCTTTGGCTTTTCCACCAGAATCATATATTCTCATATAAGTTCAAAGTGTCTTTATTGTCCCTTATAGGGAAATTGATTTGTAGCCAGGATATACAAAGACACACATAGCACCAAACATTTATAGACTTGAACAGACAGTATGACAGGATGGCTAGAGTGAAGAATTCATTCATCAAGGTCAAAGTGCAAAAGTCAAATAGGCAGTCTGCAAATAAGTGATCTCCAGGCAACAGTAAAATACTATCTGCCATTTAACAACTGAATAGCAGTGGGTGACCTAAGGGTAACAGTTCATTCTATCAGTATTTAAACGATCAGATATTAACAGTCTGCATGGACTAATATTGATAACAATGCCTGTACAGCTTTACTGATAGTTATGTGAAATCTGAAACTTGAAGGGTTACATGTTTATCTGCTCTAATGTGAGCTGCAAACATTAGCATTTCAAGCTTACTGGCTTACTACCTACAGCAGTGACCAAGAATTACTTCTAAGTAAGACAATATTATGCAAGATAGCATAGCATTACATTTGCAAACACACCGGTTAGCCCTCATCCTCTAAATATCTGTTGGATATCAGAAAGGTGACTGTGACAGCGTTTTCAACCAACTAATGGAGCTAATGTTAGCTCCCCTAGTTAGTTAGCTACAGCTAATAAACTCTGCCAGTTGTTATTTCAGCTGCCAAAATCAATGAGTAGCTGTTTTTGTCCACCTCTGAAATTAAGAACCTCAAAAAATAAATGGAAGCTTTAAAGGCATAGCAACAGTAACAAAGGTCGGGGGTGGTGAATTTAGCTGGCTCATAGACACTCTCCAGTCAGTATGATCTGACAGCTGATAAAGAAGGAGGAACAGGTTTGATTAATTTCAGCTGTGATGAGCTAATGAAAGTGACAGAAGTAGGGGAAATCTGAGCTTGGAGGGGATCCAGAAGGAGGAAAGTGGAGAGACAACCGAGTCAGACCTGGCACTCATTTGAGCTTTTTGTGCTTGAGAGGAAACCATGAGTACAATTAAATAGATGGTGATTTACACAGTAATAGGTTTCCTCCTGTCACCAGACAGATAATGTCCATTTTAACACCTCATTTAGCTTGGTGTTCATTCTCAAAATCTTTTCCCCATTTCATCAAGTGGAAAAAAATCCTCATTGGAATGGAATAATCTATGTTAACAAAGCACTTTTAGATTACTTGATCTTTCTAATTTGTTTTTAATGCAGAGGTAATTTGAATATAGAAGACATTTTAAGTGAACTCATTTCAAGATGGTATCACCTCTTTCATGCTAAATGTTAAATCATGCATCTGCACAGCTGCACAAACATCCACCTGCATGAAACAAGGGAGACTTTCTCTTCCCGTTGGCATTTTTTTCTCTCTTAGAAAGACTGAACAAAAGAGAGAATGACTAACTGAGATGGGTGTTTTTGTAGTGCATCAGGACCAGAGTGCTGTGTAAAACCATCTGAGCCATCTGTCTGGCTCGGAGAATAATGAGGAGACCTGTGCCTTGGTGGACAATTCGATTCAGCTAAGGCCTTCTGTCTATAACAGAAATAGCAGCGGTCTGTTTAGCTTTTAATGCTTCACAGGGCGGTCATGTGCTACACTCAGGGCATTGTGGGACACTTTTAAGGGCCAAAACAGCTGCTTAGATTGTGTTCCTGAAGCACTTTGACTGCATGATGGCGTGAACTCCTCTTTCTGTCTGTGAGGGTTTCATATCCACCGTGTGTGCGTGCACACAAGAAGCCAAGTTATTGGGAGAAATCCAGTTACGGAGGTAAATCAGGGACTGCGCTTACATGCAGGTGCTCGGTAATCAGATTCCACCCCTACCCCCTACCACAGCTTCAAACCAAGGCTGGCATATTAAGTGTATTACACGGATGAGTAACAATGTTTCCTGCTGCACTGCTGCCACAGTGATTGTGAGTTTCCGTCTTAAGTCTTTGTTATGCACAGTTCCTCCTCAGATAAATACACCCAAGAAAAAGACATCTGCTGTCTCCATTAGAAATCTAGCTGAGTTAACCAGATTTCTCTTAATCTTTTTCTCCGATTAAGGAAACCAGGGTTCTTGTTTACATGATCTAGACAAAATCAGGTTAAAGAAATAAAGGCTTAACTAAATTCTTGTTCATTTTGTTAGCCGTTTTGCAATTTGAAGCTACTGTGAATGTGTGTTTTCCCTCTGGCCCACTTAAGCATTTTACTGGCAGCGTTGGTGGTGCTCAACAGTCATGCAAATTAGATCTTGCCAACCTTTGGAGATTACTGTAAAACCAGATTCAGTTTTTCTTCAAGACATACACGTCATGCGTTCCGAATGCTGAGAGAGCCTCGTCTCCATACTGGCCATAAAACATTCCCATGTGGCGTATGGATGTTGTATTAAGAATCAAAACCTCTCCTGTAACTATCTCAATGTGTTTGGTCTTAAGGTAAAACAAACACAACGCAAAGCAAAACAAAAAGTAATGAGTGAAATATAGACAAGCAACTTTAAGAAATTAATTCCATGTTTGTCTTCAGGACAGGACATGATCTGTTTAATGACTGTGGTTGGACAGTGATGTTACTGTAATGACTCTGACCTCTCTGGAGTCCCATCCTGCCTCTTACCTTTTGCAGCCGCTTCCTGACAAAACCACATAACCTGTGATCAATAAATAATGAGGTGATTTGTTTGGAAGTGGTTTCTGCCACAAACTTCTGTGTCTGAGAATGAAGTTCATTAGAGCTGCTCAGCGTGTCAGCGTTTATGCATCGGTGCAGGGTATCTACCCCAACAATCGCATTAATCAACAGCTGAAAGATGCTGTGGGCTATTTTGAAAACATGTCGTATTTGCATAGCAGCGAGGCTTCATTTGTGGAGCTGAAACTTGGCCCAGACACATTAGCAGTGATGTAACTCTCTTTCCCAGCCAGTACAGATCTACGCTTAGATTTATGTATGTGTTCATTTATCCAGGCTGTCTAAATGCATGTTTATCTCATACTAAATACTCTCTCTGTTTTCTGTTTTCTCTTCTGTTCTGCAGGTATGCATTGTGCAAAAGAGGGACACGGAGAAGATGTACGCCATGAAGTACATGAACAAACAGCAGTGCATAGAGAGAGATGAGGTCCGAAACGTCTTTAGAGAGCTTGAGATCCTACAGGAAATTGAACATGTTTTTTTAGTAAATCTCTGGTGACTATCCTATGTTTTTACACTTTCAGTGTGGCCTGCTCTGCCTGTGTCGAGTCATCTGCTCTGTCTGTCTGTTCATTCTGTGTATTTACTTCTCAATAGAGAAGTGCATGCTCACTCTGAGATCTGTTGCAGACCTAAAATAGATGTACTCTTTGTGGATATTATGTTCGCACTGTTGCATGCACTTTATTTTTCTGCATTTGGCACTTAGTGGGGAAAAAAAAAGAAGTTTTTTTTAGTGTCGTTAAGGCTTGAAACAAATCTTCCTCCAGAAACCAACAGCTATTAGCTTAAGAAACAATTTACACAGGAGAGATATTTTGAGATATTAATTCTGACTCTGAGCCCATGAAGCACACATTTGATAATTACTGTGGTTTGAAATGACCTTACTCTTCCCCTGAGTCTGATATGTGGGTGAATGGAGGCTGCTTTCATTATTCAACGCTCATCTCCGAGTGGGACACATTTCTAAATGTAATTGGGGACCTGGCACGGCATTCACGGCATATTACACAAAGCACTTTGCTCCTCTGTAATTGCTGGAATGATACTGCATGTGCTACTCACACTTTCTGTGATGGATTGATTATGTGTAGATAGCAAGTAGATGATTCAAGACAAGTTGTTTCTGAAGTTGTGAATGATCAAAGTTTAATCTAGAGAGAAGATATTTTTGCCTGCTAGAGAAGCTACACTACTTGAACAGACTGAGGGCATTTTAATGAGCGTACAGTAGTAGGCCTGTGTATTTTTTATAGTATAATTCCCTGCAGGAGTATATGGCTGCCAAAGCCTTCTTTGTTCTAGTTTTCCTATGCTGTGCTGCTTGGCTCTGCTCTCTCTCTTTCTCTCTCTCAGACTCAGCACCTAGCACTTTTTCAAATGCCCATTAGTGACAAAGATGCTAAACTGTATCATTGCGGCTATGTGGGAATGAATAGTTTCACACTTTACATCTCCACCTCCTCTCTCTGCTTTTTAAGTCTGCATCACAGAGACGCTCCAGAAAGGGCCTGTCCATCTCAGTGGGAGCACACAGAGAGAAAACATGATCTCAGTCAGCTTCCCAAAGTTGTAACGGTCCCATACAGTTAATTAGTCTGGATCTGGATAATCCACATACACTTGTCTGGGATCATTATCTTTGACATCTGTAATTGTAAGGCTCATTTACATGTATAAAAATAACAATGAGGATAGATAATTACAGCAACATTAAAGGGATAGTTAACACTAATTGCAGAACTTCTAGTGATATCCAAGCATGCAGAGAGACCACTGAGATTTCTGCCTACCATCCTTATGCAATGGATCTAATTAAATTATTTCCTTGTGCTCACAGTATTGAAAAATGGCATTGTGACTCGGGTATTGGTTGTGGAAAGAAACATGGGTGTTGAAGTTTTTTGAGCTACTTGGACCAGAGTAGTTTTTTAATAACATGGGTTGAGATGAACTGACTCTTAAAACAAGAAAAGATGTTGAAGTTTTGCTCATAAAACACCATTAGTGTAAATGCTTGAGCACCAGTGTATCCTAATAGTACTGCAAATGTTTATATTTTTTGCAGAAGTGATAACTTTGGCCTTTAGATGACATCTCTAAACACTAGTGTCTCCTTCCCTCATGTCACTCAGACCTTGCCTGCTTGTATTTGGCTGGTCCTCTTGAAAACCATAGGGAATCTGTCAAATCTGCATAACAAATAGTGAGGGGTGCACGAGGCAAAGGCACGTTCTCGACAGGCCACTGCTGTCAGAATGTATGACAAGAGGGGGAGAGATGGCGTATAAAACCAGCTGTGTGATAGTGTCTGGATGCAGCTGTCTCTGTATGAGTGTGTTGGTGCAGCACGCACAGACTCTGAACTTGGGCAGCTGTGTTGATGTTTTTCAAATGTTACTATCACCAGACTTGTCCCATGCAAAGCCAACAGAGAGAGTATGTTCGTGGATAACCTTTACTCCAGAACACCATTTTTTCTTATGTTGTTGCGCAAACCTAAAGTCAGAAGCTGACTGAAAATACTGTTATGATTGGTTCCCATTCATACAGGACCACTCTGAGGGTCATCTACAGGGACTGAGGTCCTCCCGTGTTGGGCCTTCTCTTTGCTCAAAAATGTATAGTTGAAGGAAAGTTTTGATTTTCCTCCTCCAGCTGGAGAGAGGAGAACAGTAAGTGAGAGATAAAGGAAATCAATTTAAAGCTTGAGTCTATGGTATGTTTGTTATTTTTTCCCCAGTTTAAGCAGACGCTTGATGAGCAACTATGCGTGACAGCGTTGTTATGTGGTGCACCTGTATGCGTCGCGTAAACTGTCTGCTTCATTCAGCTGCTGCCTGAGACGGATTCTCAGCCGGGCAGGTAATGAGATAGGACTGATGAGGATTCTGCTTTATCTTTTCATCGTCTCCCTCGCTGTGTAACAACTAGGTATCTAATTGGTTCACCATGTGGGTATGCTGTTTAACCAATTCCCTGTAGATCATCCAGTTGCCAGTATCCATAGGCTTTTCAATAAGAGCGTCACGAGCTCTGGAGCTTGGCATTTGGGCGCTTCGCTACCTTTTTAATGGACTTGCGATAGACCAGCTGGGGTTTATTTGGGTACTGACTCTTCTCAAAAGCAAACAAAAAAAAAAAAGGAAGATGCAACTCATGAGAAACGCCAGCTTTGATAAAGCTTCATAGGAGTGTTTTTATTGATGCAGTGCCAGGAGGGAGCCTCAGTTAGCCAGAGACGGAGAGAGAATGAGGGAAAACACACCAAGTAGCTGTCAGAGGAAGTAATGATTCCTGCAATCACGGAGAGGAGGGGGAAGGCATCAAGTAGAGAGGAGGGGTGCACAAGACAGCACAAAGAAAGTATATGGCATTGATTTGTTTTGTAAAAAAGAAAAAAGATGTGCAGACTAAGAGGATTTGTAAGGTTTTCCTTCAGCTTTTACCTACACACACAGACACACTTGCTTTCATTGAGACGTCCTGAATTCTGCCGTGCTTTTGAACAACTCCGTCCGTAGCTTCAGAGGAAATTCATTAGGAAGCAACCTTGTGAAAGCCCACACTGAATCCCATCAGCCGGGTAAAGGCTGCGTTAAGCTGGGCGGATGTCAAGTTTGCAGCCCACAGTAATTGCTGCGACCATTCCCTTGCTGCATAGATATGATGTGTAGGAGTCGAGGGTACACTGAATGGATTACCTTGGAGGAGGAAAAATTAACTATCATCTGCTGCACACACCAAATCCACACAAATCCTTGCAAGGATTTGCGACACATGAGAAGACGCTGACTCCCTCTTTCCCTCACATATGTTCGAAACACCAAAGTGCGGGGGTCACCTCTTCCCACCCGGAAGCAGTGAATAACCAGCATTAGGGCGTAGAAATAAATTTGATTCCCATGGTCTGCGGAGTAGAGTACATCATTATAAAAGCAAGATTTCGCCTGAAGCTTTACCTCACAACAGATCACTCTCAAACACCATCACCCCTTCTCCCTGAGGGTTCAGAGACACAGCAGTGAATCATGACCAAATGGACGCTGCCACAGTGCTGTTGACAACAGAGTGGCGAGGTTAGCAAGAGCTGTCGCAGCAACTGTCATCATAGAGTCAGAGCTTTAAACACAGTCCCTTGGGATAATCCTCAAGGATTTTAAAGGTTTCAAAACCAAAACGGGTGAGTCACCAGGAGAAGTGGGATATGGTTGCGTTCCTCTTACTGTCCATCCCTTCACCGGAGTCGGAAAGTGAGCGAGTGGAGTGGTGAGGATGGATGTGCTGTGTCCTGTTCAGCCTCCATTAGGAATATTGATTTCAGGCCTGGATGGAACAAGGCCTTAGGAGACTGGAACAAATTAGCCTCTACACCCCCGGTCAGCAGTTATAACAAGCCCTACGAGAGGGCTTGGCTTTAAATCATCCTCATAAAAGGCAAAATATGGGCTCATTTCCAAAAGCACAGGGGTCTGTTTCTCTAATACAGCAGTGAGCATCCACAGATTATTTTGCCCTCTTCAAGGACTTAGGACTTTTAGTGAAACTGCCCCATACACCACTTTTAAAGAACTTTCCAAGTTCACCTTGTGAAATCAGGCCAGTGGAGGTGTTGTGTCTTAAGGCGACCGGTTAGAGGCCGTTGAGAGGAGAGGCAGCATTCACTCACACCATTGTTGCGGGAATCCTCAGAGGAGCATGTGAGTGTCTTGTGATTGAGTCATGCAGCCAGCTCCGGCGAGCCCATCTCTATCATCAACTTTATGTAGGCCATTGAAACTTCGCAGACCAACTCGAGCCAACAGAATCACAAGCTCTTGTTTCTCTCTCGCTTTTTTTCCCCTCAAAACTGTTCTCCTCTTCCAATGTCCCTCTATTTCCTTCTCTCCGCCCTGCCTCCCTGGGCTCATTTGTCATTGTGGCCTGATTATTTCAGCCTGTTCCTTGTACTCCTTCCAGCCGGCTAACCTCCCTCTCTCGTAGTCGCTGTGACTGTTGCAGCCCAGTCCTGTCATGGCCTTTCCACGTGGCCTCCTCGTGGTTTTGGACAGTAACAGCTCTCCCCAGGCCCCAGATTACTGCAGGCATTCATTCAAACTCTAGGGTTTGACCTGTAACTCCTCTGTGCTCATTATAAACTGCCACTCAATAAATTGTGCTCATTTTTTAGTATGAAGAGCAGCAGAGGGCACATAAAATGAGATTAGTGGCAAAATATTATTTTGACCCATTCCAGTGTATCCACAGATATAAAACAGTTAGTTGCATTAATCAATATTTTTATATCAATAATAGATAAAATGACAATTTTATCTATTCAAATGCAAGGGGTTCCTCAAACCCGCAGAAATAAATTCACCTGACTTTAGCTTGACATAGTATTATATCCTCTTTCAGCTCATAAAACCAAGTGGCAACCTCCAAGGCTGAAAAATGAAGCCAACACGGAAATGACAAAAACTTCAGTTCCTCAATTGACCACTTGAGGCTGGCTCCGACAGCAAGTCAGTCCCCATAGACTCCCATGTTAAAATGCTCAACCTTACAGCAAAAATGAGGGCGTGACTACTTTGAGTGACATGTGGGTGAGCATATGCTTGCCACAAACCGACATGCACCTGGATTAGCCAGGAGTTAGGTGGAGTCTGGCGCTGACAAGATGGCGACGGCGGAGCAGCTCACTCTGAGCAGCTCACTCTGAGTGTCAAAACCATTCTTCAGAAACCTGTGGGTGATGTCACAGAGGCTACGTCCATCTTTATTTACGATCTATGGATCAAACCAACCGTACACTACCTGCCCACCAAGCAGCAGACAGAGTTAGCAACAAGCTGGTGAACAAGCAGTTAGAATAAAGTGTGTAGCTTAGTACTCGTTAACTGTAGCCAGTTCAAGATCTTCTCAATGAGTCTTCAGAAGATACACAGCTGCATTTTAGTTACCACAATGTAATTTTTTTCTTCTACCATGATTGATACTGATGCATATTATATTATGCAAATGTCTATGCATTTGTTTGTACTGTCTCTGCCAAATGCAGGCAAAATTATCAACTTGAATATGATTTTGTAAATGATTTTTCCGATATGTATTTATACACATGGAGGGATGTCTTCTTGATGTTTTGTTTTGTGTTTAATCAGTGCTACTTTCCCACTCCAAGACAGCAGAAGACTCCTTTATTTGATTTTTAGGGGCTGGGGTATAAAATTGTTTGTGTTTTCTCCTCTGTCCCATCCTTGGCAAGAGTCTTAAAGGTGACAGGGCTTGTCAGCGCCAGAGCTTTCATATGCTCCAGTTGTCGGCCCGTATCTGACATCTCCTTGTCACCTCAGTGAAAGCTGGGAAGGAAGTGACAACCAGACCCAAGCTGCTGCAGTCTCTCTCTCTTAGGAGCCCAGATATTTTGGCGGAGGCTCGGGAAGACCGTTTTGTGCAACACTGAGATAGTGAGTGGCGCCTCAGAGGAAGCTCATCTGTCAACTGGATACCAGGAATCAGACTGTGACAATGAGGTGATAAAAAGGTGACAGTGAGGAATCCCTGCCAACGGCAAACAACATCCTGGGGCCGGCCATCTGCTGAGGCAGCTATGTGTTTTAATAGCGTGGCTGATCTTTGAAGGGTCAGGGCAGGTTGGTTTACTTTGTCTGGCTTCGACTGTCATTTCCTCTTGAGTGCAGCCTGCAGGACTGTCTTGTAGTGATGACAGGGTGTCTAATGGCAACTGACGGTAATACAAAGATGAACCTTTGCAGTATTTAAAATAATTTTTTTTTGCTCCTAAGTTGTACAGCTCATAATATAATGCATCAGGGAAAATACTAGGTGTTGTTATTGTGTTCAGTGAATCAGGAGTGTCCGCCCATTATCTATCCTATCGCATGAAAGTCGAGGCCATTTCATCATTTAATCTACGCAGGAGAGAAGAAGAGAAAGACCCAACACTTCTGCAAATGGGTTTTTTTTTTCTGGCAGAACCACCAATCTGTGGATGAGATAGAATGATTTTCACTCTGCAGCAAACACAGGCCCCATTTCTCACTTTATAGAGAGGCAGGAAATTACACCTGAATAGAACCAATCAGAATGTCCCCCTGAGTGTTCAGGACCAAGCCTGAAGATACAGAGGGAACCTGCAGCTGTAAAGCAAAGTAGTACCACCACCACAGTATCGGAGCTTTAATAGGGGAAGTAAAGATTTGGCTCAGCAGCAACCACATTAAACTGCGTTTGATTGAAGAAATCACCAAGGCTCAATTTGTTTCCCTCCTCTCCTGCAAATCGACATGGGGGAGGGTTATTAAGTTATTATTCTGCCTTTATCTGTCGTAGATGAAAAATTTGATTCTGTTGTGCGAAAACAGTTTGTTCACCCGTGTGGCTTCGTGTTGTGTTCAGTGTCTGGGGCAGGAATTGTGGAGTGGAGTGTTACAGATCGCCGAGAGGCTGTGTTTTAATTGGATGTGCTTGATTAGTAAGCCTGATTGACAAAAATGTTTAGTGGTCCACGAGCAGCCTTCAGTGAAGTAACAGTGAGCAAAGACGGTCTGTTTTCAAGCTTTAATTTGACAACCACTTTCTCTTTTCTTGCATCCCTTGCATCACTTTTAAATAAGTGACATGTTATTAGGATAAAGATGGTTGTTACTGTCACTATTACAATATGGTGTGCATGGGTAGAGCCTGCCTGCAGGAAGCAGACACTCATACAGAAACCAAGTCAAGTCTATGCATTGTGCATAAAGGTTTCAGATTTAACATTATTTGTTTAGGTACAATGCAGAGAGAGATGCATGAATAGAGCATGTTTTCACGTGGTCCCACACAGATAAGGACTTATGCCATGTTTGTCCTTGTGTGGGTTTCTGTAAACTTGTGTTTACCGTCCAAGCTTTGCACTCGTGATGTACTGTATGTACTGCATGCAAGAGCATACAAGCTCCTATACTACATGTAGCGTTGTTTGTGTGCTCAGTCGTTGCCTTTGTTTGTGTAGCATGTGTGCTTTCCATACTGGACAGTGACTGAGCGCTGTGTCCTCCTCCCCACTGGTCCCAGGTACTCATTCCAGGATGAGGAGGACATGTTCATGGTGGTGGACCTCCTGCTAGGAGGAGACCTCCGCTACCACCTGCAGCAGAGCGTCCAGTTCAGCGAGGACGCTGTCAAACTCTACCTCTGTGAGATGACACTGGCGCTGGACTACCTTCAGAGCCAGCACATCATCCATAGGTACAAATTCATCTTCTTTTCTAATTTCTCATTTCAATTCAAAGCCTCCGACAGCTTCCAAGCCTTTTGTGAAAATTTGTAAAGACACACATTTCTCCGTAGTCTTTTCTATCGTCACTGTCAACAGCCTACAGAGAAATGACAAAAAATCTATTTAAACCTGTTTACTTGAAACAAGTGAAGAATGCATTTGTTTTAAAGCTGTTTTGAACAATAGCTTTAACTGAAGGCAATTACTCAGTATTTATCTAAAGTATGTAGTAGCCAGTTAGTGGAAGTCATTTTGCAAACCAAAGAAAAAGATTAAAACACCACTTATTGCAGAGCCAACGGTAAACTAAACATTAACATATTATTACCATGTAAAGTTAATATTGCAAATGTGTTAACAAAAATGCATGATAAAGGCATACATTAAAGTTCATTTGGAGTCATGTTTCTGTACACCTGATGAACATAATTCTGATATTAACTCTCCTTTTACATTTTTTTGGTTTCCACCACCTTCCTCTACACCAGCTGGTCGCTAACATTGTGTGTCTGTTGTGCAGTTGAATACAGTGGGTTTATCACAGTTTGTTTTACCACAAACAGTGCTGTTGAGAGCTGTAAGACTGAGCCAAAACAGTAAAGTAGCGAGATGTAAAACCAAAACAAATAACATAATATTCTCAGGGGTTTAATTCAATCTCAAAGCTACAGGACAGACAAATTAAACTTCCATTTAAGTGTTTTTATCTACAATACTCACGTACTCATGTACTCACATACTGCACCCAAAGCACCAGTATCAGCCCATTAAATTATTATATTTTGTTTCATCGAAATAAAAAGCCTCAGCTTCTCCTGCATTGAAAGAATTCAAGGTTCTCAAAACTCAAAATAAGCTCAAAGTTGTTTCTATAAGTTTTAGTATTCAACAGGTTTTGTACATTGTGTTCTGTTTCTTCAGCTTGCAGCAATATAATTGGCGATTGATGTTTTTATTTGGACTCTGAAGTGTATTTGTTACGTTCTCTGTTTTGCACCAGTTATGGCTCACTGCTATATCCATAAACTCATGGCCATAGTCTTAGGACGATTGTATTTGTTATCCTATTGAGAAGTCCACTTAACTTTCTTGAATCTGTTCTAAGAGCAATTAAGATGTGAATTGATAGAAAATAAGAACAAAAGAACAAAAAAGAAGCAAAAGCAGGCAGATTCTCACTCGTTATAAATTCAGTCTTCATTCATTCATTGTGTCTTGGTGCGGGCTTAAATTAATACCTTATCCAGGCATTTGGGCATCCCTGTTTTTATTTACATTACTTTACATACCTAAAGATAGCCCTCATGTGTGTTCCCGTAATTGTTACCATCCATCATCTTCAGCCAGGGTGGACTAGCCATCCGCAGCTTTTTGTCCAGATATGCTTAGCGCAGCAGTAAGTGTGCAGTAAGTGAAAGAGCTGGATCCCTGCAGACTGCAGATTTAGTACCACAGATGGCTGAAAAACAGTTTGAACCTTGTTCAAAACCTCATTTGGGCTACATTTCTTCCTTTAAACAACAGTATAGTGTGTGTGTGTGTGTGTGTGTGTGTGTGTGTGTGTTTCTAGTAGTGCCATCTTGCATGTCTGTGGACAGTGAAGCATGCCTGTGTAGTAAAAATTTACAGTTTTTTATGAAATAACAACAGTAAAAGAAATAATAAGTAACAAAACAGACATGTTGCGTTAGTGATAAAGGAACAGTTTGACATTTTGGGAACAGAAAATATTTGCTTTTTTCCTGGTGTTGAAGGAGACGCTCATTCATCTTCATGTTTGTGTGCTCAGTATAAAGCTGGGTCCTGGGGATGGTTAGCTTAGCTTATCGTAAAGACTGAAAACACAGGGAAACAGCTAGTCTGGCTCTGTTAGCTGAAAAAGCTAAAACAAAGTCCACCTACTAGCAACTCTAAAATTTCACATTATAGCTTCTTTGTTTAATCTGCATAAAATGGGGGTAAAACAACAAGTTACATTTTCACCTCTCGGAGCCTCACCTGGTTGCCTGGCAACCTCACGGTGCATCCTCATAGGTGTACATATAATAACTCTCATGCGTTTCATGTATATTATATAACATTACAGGCTTGTATAATGCTATGTTCAATGAGGCAGTTACTCTCTCTCCTTTTACTTCACAACAGGGAGCCACTGACTCTTTATTCCAAGTCCAGTTGGCAAACATGTCCCAGATGTACATTTCAAAACTACCATCAGTAACAGGCGACAAATCGTCCTTATTGTATTTATGCTTTTTTTTCAATGTTTTTCCACCCTCTCCTTGACATCAACTGTTCTGCCTCTGACACAGTTGTGTCTACTCTCAGAGCCGTAATCCAATCCCTAGGTATCCATGGCCGTCCCCAGCTCTACAATTTTGTTCCACCCTGTAAGTTTTTGGCAGGAGAATACTATACAATTATTTTGTTGCACCAACTGAAGGAAGAAGGGTCTCTGGTCTCCTAGCAACAGTCAGCTGCCACCATGCCCAAGGAGGTAAAATTAGTCCTTTGAGAAGAAGGGAAGTAAAAGTGGAGAGTCTTCTCTTCTCTTCTCTTCTCTTCTCTTCTCTTCTCTTCTCTTCTCTTCTCTTCTCTTCTCTTCTCTTCTCTTCTCTTCTCTTGTCTTCTCTTCTCTTCTCTTCTCTTCTCTTCTCTTCTCTTCTCTTCGCTTCTCCTCTTCTCTTCTCTTCTCCTCTTCCCTTTCCTCTTCTCTTTGCCTCTCCTCTTCTCTTCTATTCTCTTCTCTTTGCTTCTCCTCTTGTCTTTGCTTCTCTCTTCGCTTCTCTTCTCTTTGCTTGTCTTCTCTTTGCTTCTCTCTTCGCTTCTCTTCTATTCTCTTCTCTTTGCTTCTCTTCTTTGCTTTGCTTTGCCTCTGTTCTCTTCTCTCCTCTTCTCTTTGCTTCTCCTCCCTTCTCTTTATCATATACGTAACACGTTAAAAGCTCTACATATTAGATCGCCTCACACTAGAGGTTTGTTCCTGCACAAAATGTGAAATCACTTTACATGCCGTTTCATGTTGGATTGGTGTTTCTGCACTCGCTGCAAAATGAATGAAACACTAAGTGAATTTTGTACTTCAAACAAAATAGCACAATGCTACACTGGCAGTTGTATCAGGATTCCTCCTGTGAACATGTATGTATTTCCCTCCAGCCTTGTGCTGCTGGATCGTTTTGGCAGATGATATTAGCATCAGCTTGGCGTTGCAGAGCCCCAGCGAACACATGTGTCCTATGGGGTGTGTCGATGCCCTCTGCGGACCATGTGTATTCTCCACACCAGCGTGACGTGCGGCATAATTAAATAAGCTGTGTGCGCTCTGTTAATTGCCTGTGGAGGGCTTGGAGAGGCTGGAAAATATCGAGGATGTGTGTGCATGGGTGTGAGTGTGTGCCTGAATGTGTGTGTTGCATGGGTGGCCAGTGTAAAAAGCATGTGCAGACAAACCTGCCAGAGCCTCCAGGGGGATCGGTGATGGTTGTGTTCTCATGCACCCAGGCAATGTTTGAAATGCAGAGAATGAAAATTTTCTCCATGTCGATCTCTCACTGACACACACACAGACACACACTTAACATGTTGCACCAACATGTAATTCACACATGCATCAGCCTACAAAAACACCTCCCACAGACTTTCACATCCACATATACTGTACACATCTTATCCCAGTGTTTGCCACCTGACCACAAACAATGATGGCCTGAAAAACTGTGTTTTCATTTCACTGGAAAATCACAGAGTGAAGGAACTAAAAGCACCATAGTACTCCATGTAAACAAATAATCATATTGGGTTCATGCATTAAAGGCGCTTAATACTAATTTAGTAATATTAACTTATTTTCATCTTGCTATGAGCCATTGGGTCCTACATGAACACAACATTTTCTGCCGCAGTTATGTGTTTGGTTACTTATGTCTGTGCTGCTCTGTTTGGGCTCTTTTCGTTGGTTTGAAGTGAGCATGGGTCTGTTAAATAAAACATCATGTCACGCATCTCCAGACACCAAAACACAATACATTTTAATGTAAGATTGATGACAGTTGTGAGGTTGTTATATTATTTTGTCAATCAAATTTGATCAAACCATATTAGCCGCTCCACTAGATGAAGCAGATTCACTTTTTTTCTAGGTTTAAACTCTTAATTAGTAAAACCTGTTTTTCCAAACTTAAAGGTCATGTATTCTTCTATGATTAGTGTGCATGTCTGTGTTTGTCTTTTTCAGAGATGTCAAGCCAGACAATATCCTGTTGGATGAGCAAGGTAAGGATGTGAACTGTTGGCAGCAGGTCTCCTCTGATAGTAAAGTCCACAAACTGGATGAAACTGGATGTCCAGTTGAAGTCACAGGAGAGCTTGACTAAAGCAAAGGGTTGCAGAGTCTGGAATGTGGCGATAATGCTCTGGATGACGTCACACGCGTTTGCGTTGAGTTAAGAGGGGGGTTGGGGGTGGACAACAACAAAGATGGTGTGTGAGAACTCCTGCGTATGTAGTATGGATGTAGCCCCATGGCTAACAGTTAAATGTCTGGGCTGCAGAAAGTATACAAATATATAAATACAAATATAATCGCAATATTATTACTCCATCCCTGACTTAAAATATCCATTTTTATGCAGATGATACTGTTTCTATAACCTCAAGCTTGGGTTGAATGTTGCTAAAACAAAAGATGTTTTATTCTGAAGAACCCATAATTCTTTTGCATGTTGCTTCAGATCATACATAATCCACCTTAAAACAACTTGATGCACTTTACCACTGTGTCATTTCTGAATCACCAGTTACCATTACTGTTATATCTGCATAAAATATGTATCCTACTAAAGCTGCCTGGATATCACATCTGTGCTCTTAAAATGCTGCCCTCAACACAGATCTGAGGACTGCTTAACTACTAGTACCCCACCAGTAAATGCTGAAAATGGGAACACTGCCTCCCAGTACACTGCAGCATATAAATGGAAGGACTTGAGCATCTTATTCCACTTGATGAATTCAAACTATTTATTTAGAACATTTTTAGAGATTGTATGTGCTTATTATTGATGTCTCTCTTTTCTTGTTTCTTGTAGTTATATATACGGTTACAAAGGTTATATAAAGGTTATACATAAATATGTCCATAATACATTTGTGTGTCTAAAACATCCTTTAAGTCTAACCTGTTATACTTAACCTGTTATTGTATAGTTATGTACGTAAGAAAAGTGTGAATTATGTAATAGCCAAACATTTTAAATGCACAGTATCCAGACAGCCGTGAGATTCTGGAGTCCATCCTGACAAGTAAGATACACAAAAATGACCCTGCAGGCTTCTAATGAGTCACAACAGTAACAAGATCACAGGAGTGATGGATGTGTATCTGACACACAAAACTACGAGGACACATTGATCCAGTTTACTGAAATGTCAGGTTTTGTTTTCCTTCCTTACATATTGAAATCTTTCATTTTTTATGTCATCATAGACATTTATTTAAAAATACCAAAGATCAGATGCATTTTGTTTTGATGGATTTTTTTGTTTGCGTCTTCTCAGGTCACGCTCACTTGACAGACTTCAACATCGCCACAATAATAAAGGATGGAGAGAGAGCCACAGCCTTAGCTGGGACAAAGCCCTACATGGGTAACTTTGATTTGCAGTCACATCACAACCATCTTATCAACCACGCCTTGTGTCATTGTGGAATTCTGATTGCTTTCTACAAATTAATATCCTGACGGGAAAGATGAAGAAAGTTATAAGAAAAAGGCGTTGTGTTGTGCTACATTCAAAATGAACAGAGACATCTCTGAATTTGGTTGCAGTTTAGTTGATTTGAACAAAATGAATGTGACATTGTTATGTAAATAACATCCGGAGTGAGATGTGACAAAGCAGCTAAAATGAATTGTATGCATGTGACAAGCTCATAGTAGATACACCGTGTTCAGCTACTGGATGGTGCTAGACTACATTTCTGATTTCTGAACACTCATCATCACTAAAGATTAACTTGTGATTTTAATGATAGAAATTACAGATTGTGTGTTTATTTGTGAAAAGCTTAGGCAAATATGTAAAAATGTCACGTCTCGTCTAGTGATGACTGAGGAGAAAATGAACCATTTCTGGTGACATTTTCACAGAGGAAGACATGCATCTTTTTTTTTTTTTTGTACGACATGTACAGGCAGTGGTTTAAAAAGCTTTTTCTGCTCCAGAAGTGAGTCTCTGTCTGCTTTCAGCCCCAGAGATCTTCCAGTCCTTTGTAAGTGGAGGAACGGGCTACGCCTTTGAAGTAGACTGGTGGTCACTAGGGGTGACAATCTTCGAAGTGCTGCGTGGATGGGTAACACATGATGGCAATCTGAGATATTTTATGTTAGAAGGCTGCAAAAACTCAATTTGCCTCCATTCCTCCACCATTTCTTTCTCCTCATCTTAATATTTTTCCTTCCTCTTTTTGTCAACCTGTACTCATACCAGAGGCCCTATGATATCCACGCCAATAACTCGGTGGAGTCCCTGATTCAGCTCTTCAGCACAGTCAGTGTGCAGTACAGCCCAGCTTGGCCCAAGGATCTGGTTTCCCTCTTGAGGAAGGTGAGCTGGACACAGTGGGACATCATTTACTTTCGGCTCTGTCAGTTAAACAACTGGATTTGCCTCCAAATTTAAACACATAAATCTTTGCCTACTAAGAGATAAAACTATCATGAAATTGTGGCAGTGGTAGAGATTAATGATTCTGATGTTTTACATTACCAGTACAAATGGTACATGTTGCATAGATTGAGAACTGCTTAGATTTAATGAAAATTAATTTAATTGGAGATACCCCTGAACCTTTAACTTGCCAGTCTCTTTTTTTATTAGTTTTAGAAAAAACTTTTGATGGTGGAGATCCTTTTTATATATAATTTTAATATATTATATTTTTTGCCTCCAGCACCTGCTTGATTTGTGACAGGTTGCATTAGTTCTCAAAATTTTATGATCAACTGAAATTAATAGTTGAATTGATAGTTTCATTAGTTACTTAAATGACTGAAAAATATATTCTCTGACTATTAAATAACTATTTAAGTAATTTCTAAGCCAAAAGCCAAACCTTCCTCAGCCCCAGCTTGTTATTTGCAAGTATGCTTTGTCTTATGTGATTGTAAATTGTATAGATTGGTGCTTTTGTTGGTGTCAGTTTACAAACCAAAAGATTAAGGATCAGGAGGTAAGGAGGGCCTGGATGTAGAGGTGATATCAGTGTACATATTGAGGTAAAAAGCCACTGAAGCCTCGGGAACAGAAGATGCAGGTACTGTTGGGGGACTGGAGCTGGAGGGAGGGAGGATGAGCTGAGACCCTCAGGGCAAAGGAGAAGAAAAACGACAGATGGGAATCTGAGGGATGGAAGCACAGAAACGGAGCAAGTGGGTGAGAGAAGAGAGACAGTGTGTGTGTATGTGTGTGTGTGTCAACCAGTATATTGCTCCTGATAATATCCATCATAACAAGTAATTTGACTTGATATTGAAGCTTTTCTTACAAGTGAAAATCTGACAGTTTGATGAGAAAATTCCCATTGCGTCAAATGGAAATAAATCTGCTCAACACCCCTTCTCTATGATAATAGTCTACCTTATTCTACTTTGAGTCAACATGTTCTCATCTGCACAAGTGAAACTGTGATGGAAACAAATTAGCGCATCCCCTGTGGCAGTATTTCTTTAGTCATTTAAAGACGGGATTTTGGAGTGAGTAAGAGAACACGTGGCTTGTTAAAAAGGATATTTCTTGGCAGAGTGTAAGTGTGAGCATGAGTGCGTGCATGTGCTCTGTGTCTGAGTGACTGAGTGTTCTGGACGGAGCGTAGGTCTCTTCCGCTCTGCTGCTGATCGATTACCGTGTCTGGACTCCACCGAGACAGACCTAACCGGCCCTGCAGGAGAAAACTGAATCAGCCTGTGACTGAAGCAAGGAAGAGAGTTAACATGACAACAAAAGCCACATCTTCTTATCAATTCCAGTGTTTACCCTGAGGTGAAAAATGAAACAGATGGTGTTCCATTAAAAACACAACTGTATCAGCTCCATTTTTTATTTCCTCCCTGGGATAAGTGACTCCACTCATGTGTGGCATTCATCCGTCTTGATCAGTGCAACAATTTTGATTCAAACCTGATGAGTGGCTGATTTGATTAACAGTGCCCCCTGTTGGTTAGTATATCAGTAAGTTTACCAGATTTCCTCCAGTTGATGTTTAGTGGCAACATAATTATATAGTTTTCTCTTATGGAGCCTTCAAAGATAGATGAATAACTATTTATTAAATAAATGATCAATAATAAATAAATTGTGCAAAATGCTGAACTAATAATTTCATTCATAAGTTAATTAATTAACTTAATTATATAAACTTTTATTTCAAAACAGCTGTTTAGAAAAGTCTGTTTTTATTCAATTATAGCAGTTATCTCAGCTGTATTTAATGTGACATTTTATTTCATAATGTCTGTTTTTATTTCACAGTGTCACTCTTCCTGTCAATGGTGTTGTCACTGCCTCCTCACCTTTCAGTCTATCACATGCAAGCATGGTCAGTAACTGCCACCAAATTTAGTGGAGTGAGCTCCGGGCAGCTGTTGCACCAACAGTGTCAGAGTAATGACATTTTTCACTGCAGACATTGTGGCTTGCTATAGCAGGAAAAGCACAGGTTGAACTGATAACATTAAGAACGACTGTATTTCCTTTAGGGGAGCTGATTTCAGGGCCCTGGTAATGTGCTTGCTGACTCATTGTCATGGCTTACAGGGACACTTGATGGAACTCGTTAACAAAATTAGTTTCACCTGTTGTTCCTGAATAAACCAACTAAAAAAACAGTTTGCAGGCACAGTAGTATCTTAACAAGACTGCAAATGCTACCTTCCTGACAGCCTAGCTAGCACGGTAAGGTTGTGAGCTTTAATTGTTACTCAGTGTCAAAGTGAAAAGACAGTGTAAACAGCAGCAGCTGGCTTAATGCTCCTCAGAGAAAACCTCAGAGACAGACTGTCTTTAGTGGTTGCTCAGGGCAACAGGAGCTAGCTAACACGGCTATCACTACTGTCTTTGCTGAGTTACAATCCTAACTAGCTAAGCTACTTATCTAACCTAGCTAGTTAGCTGACTAAATGATAGTAGTTGCTGATTTGCTTGAGACACCACTGTCATGAAAAGTGACATTATGAAATGAGAAAATATGGAACTCAAGTAAAACCCCAGTTATTATCAAAATAAAAATGATGAAATATCAGAATAATGAGGTTGGAGTGAATAATTTCACATTTTATTGGTTTATTTATATGTTTTACACACTTTATTCATTTATTTTTTTATGTGTTTTTGTATTTATTTAATATTAAACGCTTTCTAGGTAGCCTACATATTCTTGTCCATGCTTAGAAACAATAAAAACTTAAAATATCAAGTGACTATAACAATATCTCCATTCCCCATGAAAACAAACAATATGTCTATATTTTTTATCCACAAGTCTGAATTCATACAGTAGCCTCCTTGTAGCTGAAAATATTTAATATCAAATGTTTACATTTTTATGGCAGGATAGTTTCGGGGAAACATCTCAAGTACAAGTGTAACACACAATTTTCAGCTCCTTCTTTTGTTCACTTCAACTAGCCCAGCTGCACACTATTTGAATTACACAATCAACACCCACATTTGTGAGTTTATTTCACCTCCAGAGAGAATAAGAGCCTGGCTGTGAGTGAGGAGAGAAGTTGTGAAGGTGATATTGCTACTTGGAAGGTGACATGATGTAGGTGACATTGGAGTGTGTGTGTGTGTGTGTGTGTGTGTGTGTGTGTGTGTGTGTGTGTGTGTGTGTGTGTGTCCATTTCTTCTAGTTACTGACAGTGAACCCAGAGCATCGTTTCTCCAGCGTGTCTGACATGCAGACATCTCCCTACCTCGCTGACGTCAACTGGGATGCTGTATACGAGAAGAAGATGGAGGCTGGATTTGTTCCTAATGTTAGTGTGAAGAGATCAGATATCAACACACACGCACACATATACAATTAAACATTTAAACGCACACGCAGGTGCTCCTTCATGTTTGTGGATGGTAATGAGGATGTGTAGCAACTAAATAATGCAAAGGAAATTGAATGCAGCTTCTTCATGTTATCTCACTATAGTGTGTGCACATGCACTTACTGTACATTTGTGTGTGCATGTGAGTGTATTCATGTGTGTTATTCGGTACATTGAGATCAGTGTGCACTTTGCATTTGTGCACTCTGTGGCTCTGTGTATACAGCAGCAGATTTATGATCCTGTTTGTGTGTGTGTTTGTGTTTCTAATTATCTCCTGTGCATCTCCCTTCTGCAGAAAGGTCGTCTCCACTGCGACCCCACCTTTGAGCTGGAGGAGATGATCCTGGAGTCGCGTCCACTTCACAAGAAGAAGAAGAGGCTGGCCAAGAACCGGTCTCGAGACAACAGCAAGGATTCGCAGTCCGTAAGTGACATTGTCCACAGTCTTAAAAATCAACCAGAAATCAGAGCTACAGTGTCCATCCTCCCAACTCATTCATGAGTATTTTGCATACTAGGACAGTGCCGACCTATAATACAATGCTTTTCATGTGGTTTGGTTTTGTTTATTGACAATATTGTAATATAGTTATTGATGTATTACTAAACTACAACAAATCAGATTTAGCAGCCGATAGAATTTTAAATTCCTGAACTAATTTGATTGTCACTGGTGTTTTCACCATCCACTAATCTTTACCAAGATGGAGACAGACTTTCCATGTCCTTATAAGTGTGGCTGAAAACGACTAATATTATTATTTTGTTTTCTTGTTATTTAATTAATTGATTCTGTGTATAAATGTCAGAGAACAGTGAAAGATACCCATCATAATTTATACAATTTCACCAGGAAGCTCAAGGTTGTCTTCAAACTGCTGTTTTGTCTGATCAACAGTCCAGCATTCAAAGATACTCATTTTACAATCACATAAAACAAAGAAAAGCAGCAAATCCTCACATTTAAGAAGCTGGAGCCGCAGGACGTCTGATTTTTGCTTAAAAAACTACTTAAATCCAGTTTAATAAGTAGTTCAGGTTGAGCTCTAATTGACTAATGGATTAATTCACAAGAACAGAGAAAAGAAATGAATCATAAAAGTAGGCCATTAATAAAAAGTAAGACGCTAACAAGGTAGAAGCCATACTAAAAACACACAAAAAAATCACATCATATAAACAAAACTACAAAGGAAATGCACCTTGTGTCTTCACGTATGTGTCTCCCCTCCGGGATTATTTCAAAAGGAAGGCTCACATTACTTAGATTAACTGCTAATCTGCACCATCTTTCATAGTTTATCTTTAAAGATGAAATACTGAAACGCTTCATAACCTCAGCATTAAAAGCATTATGTTGTGTTGAGGAGGAGGATTTAGGAGCTGCGAGGATGAAGGTAGAATTCAAGATGTCACAGCAGCTGTTAAAAGGCCTTTATTCCCTTTGATGATATAAAGGGCTATTTTTATCTTAGCTCACATGTTAAAGGGTTATTTTCCAGTGTAAAATGCTATATTTTGCTCTTTCCCTGTTACTTTGTGTCCTTGTGCAGAGCAGATTAGCCTTATTTTCTGTATGTAAGTGCTAAAAGCAAATGATTATAAAGAAGACACCTGCAAACGCACACGTGTCTGAGAAAATGATTACCTGCTGCAGAGGAGTAGTACTCATAGATATTGTACACATGACGAGGTAGGGCCAGCCTGGGATAACAATGTAAATCAGGTTTACCTCAGTCTCCCGTCTGTCAGTTCCTGTCAATACGGTATATTTTTAGATTGGTGGTGAGCCAAATCCCAGCATCCTCTTTTTCTCAGCTACTGTGAATTACCTCGGCTTGTGACAATAAAGACAGATTTACTGTACAAGCATGTGAGCTTCAGGCATCTTATAAGCAGCCTGATTGAAATCATACATCTTCCTAAAGAGACAATAATCTCTCTTTTACTGCCATACTGTATATTTTTCTCCAGCTTTAAAATGAACTCCAAGGGGGAAATAAGATTATTACAGTGTTATATTATTACCAAAACAAAAGGATTTTGAAATTAAAAGAACAGGTTCACATTTTGGAAAAATCACCTATTTGCTTTTTTGTTTTTGCTGAGAGTGAGATGAGTAGATTGATGCCATTCTCACATCTGTATGGTAAATACGTAGTTACAGCCAGCAACTGGTGTAATATGATAATTGGTGAGCTTGTTCTTCCCATTTGGACAGAGCCAAGCTAGCTGTTTCCCCCAGTCTTTATGCTAAGCTAAGCGAAGCAGCTGCAAGCTCCAGCTTCATATTCACTGTAAAAATCTGAGAATATCAATCTTCCTATATAACTCTCAGCAAGGAAGCGAATAAACATATTTCCAAACAATTTCAAACCACTCCCTTAAGTTACCTATTATTTACAAAGCAATGTCTGGTTTTAGCGCCATGGTGATGTCTGTTTAACATACATTTGATAACTCTGACTGTTCATCTGACAGGAAATTCTTTTGGAAGACACCACCTTGGGTTCTGGGAAATTGTGATGAGCTATTTTCTAAACCTTTAAACCTTTTTTCAAACCTTTATAGTCTAAAGGTTTAACAGCCTTCATAGTATTTACTCCTTTTCAAAAATAGACAAAGGCAAAAAGGGAATCTTGCAGTAGAATATGACAGTCACAAAGACATTGTGAAATAAAAGACAAGTCATCACATACATGACGAAGCCTGGGCCTGTCCTGACGTGCCCTGTGTGTGCTGAAACCAGGAGGATTAACTGGAGTCCCTTTCTCTCGCTGCTTTGCTGTGTTTGATTGAGACACTATTTACCACAGACTGAAGATATCCTCTCTGTATTTATGAGAAACAGCCTGTTCCCATCAGACAGTCATCATGACATCAGTGTTATTAACGTCAGCCCTGTGTGTGTGTGTGTGTGTGTGTGTGTGTGTGTGTGTGTGTGTGTGTGTGTGTGTGTGTGTGTGTGTGTGTGTCTTATCAGCGTTGATCAGCATGTGCAAGGAGTGTGCACCTCTAACAATTGCAGGGTTATGAGACTTTGTGTCTGTATGTGTGTGTGTGTGTGTGTGTGTGTGTAGCACATATGTGTGTGTGTGCCTGCTTGTGTGTGCTCATACTGCGTTATTACCGAGATTATTAAATTATGAAGCCTTCAGTGCTGTTGTCATGGCCTCAAGTGCTTTCGGAAATATGAGCTTCTATTTTCGTCTCGGGCCAAACATCCAGTTTGAGGAGGGCTCACAAACAATTCATGACTTGTTTAAAAAGAGCAACCAAGAAAAAAAGAAAAGCTCTGAGGAAAAAGACATTTTCACCTCAGTGGTCATTTGGATGACTGATTCACACTCTATCTATAGTTTTTGATGATGATAATGAGGTTGATGATGTAGATGATGAGCAGGATGCTTGGTCTGTTGACTGCCCACAGGAGAATGACTACCTACAGGAGTGCCTTGAAGTGGTGCAGCAAGAGTTCATGATCTTCAACCGTGAGAGGTAAGAGAGCAGCAGAGCAGCAGACCGTTTATAACAGGGGCTAAAAGCAGAGCTTCCTGTTTAGTCATTGAACAGTTATGAAGCAACAAAGCCAGAAAATCATTATCCTGTTAGATCAACTGCAAAGGGCAAAATATTATAATAATCAGGCCTCATTTGCCCTTCAAACAAATAAAATGCGGCTCGTGTTAGAACCCAACAACAGTAAGTGGTAAGTACAAAAACACAGTATAAGTGCAGTAGGTCAAAGATGAAGTGGGAAGTGGATGTTTGGTTAGTAATTTTATCATTTGTCATTGTTTTCTCTTCTAAATCAGTCTGGCTGACCTGAGGGTTTGATGTGCGATTGTCTGAACGCCCATGTTTGCTGTCCTATCAGACTTTGCTAATTCCCTTATGGTCGCTGATGTGTTCCCAGATCTGAGTAAATTATTTTTGGGGGGTACAATATTATCATAACTGCTAGAAATGATGATCAAATCTACCACAATTAAACCCAATTTGTGAGAACTGTAGTTTCCTTTCATAACAAAACTCTATTGATATTTTTATTTTACTGAAGAGCTGAAAGAAAACATTTCCCTCACTGTCACCTGCACTTAAACCATGACTGGGATTAAACCATGAACTAATGTGGAGCTAACACTGAACGTACCCCGGGGCATTGCTGCTGTGTGAAATTGCTGAGGGATCAGTAGATGAGAAAAGTTATGAACTTGTATCAGCTGCAATTTGTGAAGAGCCACAGCAAATACTCATTTATCTCCACTATAAATCAAAACCACGGAGCGTGCGGTGTATCTTAATAAGGTTATTGATACAAGGAGGCATCCAGCTCAGAGGGGAGCGTTGCATATTCCTCCAAACCTGTGTGGCAGCCAAATGAATCAATGAAATGACTTGGATAGGAAAATCACAAGTGACAAAAGGCTTTAAAGAGCCCACCCTGCTGCGGCTAAATATGATGCATCTTATCTTTTGTATGTTAGTAAAATATACACAGATTATCATAAATAAAGAGTATGATATCCATATCTATTTTATCATAGAGTATGTGTCCTCTCTGCAATGCAAAGGGAGGAATATTGGTTGAGTGCTGCCCTAAATTATTGCCTCATCTATTATTGAGCAGGTCCTGCCACTGCAACATTACTGAAATCCTTCTGTGTGGGAAATGTCTTATTATATCCTATTGCTCTAATTAATGGCAGTCGACTTCTATTTATAATGGAGGCCATAATATCTAGAATTATACAGCACGAGAGGAGCACTATATAATGAACTCAAGGCCTCTCATTACATTCAACTACTAGCTGTTTCTTTCTGTGTATGTTTGATTTTACTGCTTTCTGATATCTGATATTTCTGAAGAGGAAACATTGTAGGAAGAGGATGTTTTGTCCTCCACATGGGGCTAAAGGTTTATGTTATAGTTAGATTGTGTATGTAGATATATATATAGATATATATTCATGCAAATCTCGTAGGATTATATTTGTTTTGATGTCTGTTTCTCCATCGGTCTCAGGTTGAAAAAGCGTCAGGAGGAGGGTCAGTCAGAGGCTGGGGGTGACGATGCCAGTGGAGATGGGGACAGAGAGGCTGAAGCCGTGGCCACTGATGATGACGCACCTGAGCCAGACCCCGACCCTGGTCCTGAGCCGGAGCCCGAGTCCTCTTCCAAGCTGAGCATGTGCGGCTCGGTCTGCTCCTCCCCTGGCAGCTGCTAGCACCACATCGCCTCACAGTGACGATCGCAGGTCTCTCTGGCTGCTGCAGTGTTTGTGCCATGCCGATAGATACGTTCTCACCTCTCTCCTGTATTGTAGCTAGGAGCGGAGGAAAACACACAGCAGGGCGATTTGAAGCACAGCAGGACCTAAAATGGCTCCCACCATTTCCCTTATCTCTTTGTTTTGTTTTGTTTGTTTTTTTGTAGCATCCTTCCGGTAAGGCATGAATGAAGCAGATTTCCAGAGAGTCCCCACCTACTGTATGTGTCCACCCTAGAGTAAGCTCTAACTTCTATGCAATGTTACAGTATAGCATGACAAATAAGGTATCACTTAATAGGAGGTGTTGTTCAGGAGCGGAAACCTCCACGAGCATGATGACATCCCGAGCAATGGCAGTCCACGTTTTTTTGTTGGGATGGTGGTTTTGGCGGCGGCGCCTCCCCTCTCAGCCTTCCTGTTCAAAATCTGATGGGGACAACTGAATTATTCAGCACACACAGGCACTCAGTTTATGTTATTGCTTGTGTCTTCAGTTCACTCTTCCCCTCAGCCTGTCTCATCTAACGTGTGCCCTAATTCGGAAAAATAGTTCTTCATTCTCTCCTGGAGCGCCTTCCTCCTGTTGCAACACCTCTCTGAGGCACTTTTACAGTAAGCGTTCATGGCTGTTTTCAGTCGGGCCAAGGCGGTGTGGCTGGTTTCATGTTGTAAACCTGTTTAAAGTGGTGCCTGATAATCAGTATTTGTTAATCACATTGTAGCCATGGATGCATTATAGGTCAGAATGCTAGTTTCTTCTTTGTCCAAGCTTTTTTTTAGGATGACAAGGTACGGTGATTTATGGGAAATCAGTGCAACAATCATAATGAAAGGTTTTGCTTGTCACTGTGTCTGTAATGGTTACCAAGATGTAGTATTTTAGCCCTGTGTCGTGCTCTGATTCAGAGAGCATCCAGAAACTCTGCTCTGGGGAATAAATACCAATCAGCAACAATCACATCCTTTAATAATCTATTAGAGAACTCTGTTTGCTTCACTGGACTCCATCGTCTCTTTAAGTGCTTGGTTAGTATAAAGATCATCTCCCCGTAGAGTTTGTTTGGGGGCTGTACTTAAATGTGTAGCTGTGCCCTGTTGGAACTTCAAACTGTATAGACGAACTAGTCGATAACTGTCATCGTGATAGTGGTACATTTAAGGTGGCACCGTCAATCTCAGTCTGAACGACTGGGAACATGTAGCAAAAGTCCACCTTAAAACCCTAAGGCCTAATAAAATGAAAACCATGTAAATAGCATACAGTGTAGGGTAATTAAACTCGCCACAGTTTTATGTGGGACTGCGAACTCGACATATAAACTAAAGGAAGAGCCGTGTGAAGCTGCGTGCTGCTTCATTCTTCTCTTCTTTCCAAGTGTGCGGGCACAACTTGTAGGCAAAATATGCCAAAGCTTTTCTACCATTTGCATAACCATTTCTAAGGAACTTTGAGTGTGTGAATGTATGTCTCTTTTCCCAGTATAACATAAAGTCAATGTTCCTTCTGCAAGTGAAAAAATACTATCATTTATACAATAATATTGTGATGATGTATAAAGTATATATTTCAGGTAAGGGGGTAGACCTCAAAGTAAGTTTTGGGAAGTACGCCTGTTCACTGTCAAGAATAAAATGAGAAGATTGACACCACCACTCAGAGAACTGAGCTGCAGCTGAGAGGCAGTTAGCCTAGCTTAGCATAAAGACTGAAGGCAGGGGTGAAAAATCCACTTACTAGGGCACCTAAAGCTCACTAATTAACATGTTGTGTGTAGTGTGTTTAATCTATACACAGTAATGTTAAAATGACAATTAAGTTCAGGGGAATTCTCAAGCTCTGTTTGCCAAACAACAGCCAGGAGCAGTACGTTTCTGTTGCATAGAAGTCCTGGATGGATGGGAGAAGTGTTGTCCATCAAGTCATAGTTATATCAGGTAATTTGCTCTAAACCCACAAATTATAGATTAAAAAAAAAAAAAAGAGATACAGTGTGTTCAGTTAGGAGCTGAAGTGGTGTGGTAGGTGGAGACTGAACTTTGCAGAGAGCCAGGCTCGCCATTCCAGGAGACTCAGGGGACTGCGAGGCGTAAGGCACGTGAAAGACGGAGGCAGCCTAAGGCATCGGTGGGCTTCATTTACATAGCGCTCTTGCTCGCTGGGCTGCATTTACTCTGAAACCTTCTACTGTTTTGAAAGCCACAGTTGTTAATGCTCTCAGCAGCCTTCATAAATTACTTTGTCATTTCTGGATTGAGCGTAATCTTAAATAAGAGGGGTGCCCATTCACGTACCGGCCAAAGAGCTGATAACTACGGTGGCCCTGAGAGCTTAACGCACTGCGACCTAAGAAAACACATGCAAAAAGACAAAACACAAACAATTTTAGAAAACATCTTCATCAGTTTGACAACACATGTGCTGTAAATACACACAACACAAGCAAATACAGAAACACGCTGCAAGTGGCACAGACAATAACGGAGGTGTTCACAGGGGACACAAAAAACATGAAGAACCTGCCTGGTACACACGTGTTGTTCAACACTTTGTGACTTTTGAGGTTAAAACGTTTCTGAATTTACATGTGTTTTGTCTATTTGCATTTATTTTCTTAAGCTTCAGGGTGTTGAGCTCTGATAATAATAAAAAAAGCAGAACTCCAACACACTGTTGTTTAAATAAGATGACAACAAACTGAATGACTTTAATAATCATTTCCCAGTAGAGTGTAACCAGAGAATTAGACGAGCTCTGATGTAAACATTTTACATTTTTTAATGAAGACTCATGCCATTATCAAATATACAGCAATTGGTGATTTATATTGTACACTGTAGCACTGTAACCGTAATAATACTGTATCATTGGTAGTTTGATGGAGGCCTCAGGTCAGTCGACAGCATGAGTGGTATCAACCTTCTCATCTATCACCCTCAGAAACAAAGCAGACAAGTGTACTTCCCAAAATGTAGAGCTATTTCTTTAAACACTATACATTATGATTAGATTAAGAAGCTTCTTTAAAGGGATATAAAGTGGCATCTTCCAAGTTCGCCAAAATATATGATGAATTTAATAGTATCAAGCCCTGCGCTTTTTTTGCATGTACCTTTACAGTATAAGCCTGTTTTTGCCAAAGCCTTGAGCTTGAGCCTTACCGGCTGATTTGTGCATGCACAAGCTTTTGGTAATAGCATACCTCGATACTCACCTGATTACTGACACAGTCCAAATCAAAGTATAACTGACATGCGTGGCTGTTTCTGAGCAGTAAGTTTTGTGAACTTTAAACTGTACAAAATCCTATAATCTGCAGTGTTATATGGGCGGCATGATATTTTTAGATGATATGCAGTATCTTCTGGCATCTTGTAGGTTGTCTTAATGCTCTGTTCAAGTATACGGGCTCGTACCCTTGCTGTATGAGTGGAATGAGGTCAGCAGCTGTGCGTGATGCTCTGTTGTGGGTTAAGTGTTGCGTTTTTGTCTGTGCAGCAAAAGGAAGAAGAAATTGGAAGTGGGACAGGTTTTCACTTCACCCCATCACAGAATTTGCTGCATTATTAAAACACTGAATGTCTCCATTTGTGGAAAAGAAAGCTCAGTTATTTCTAAGACTCATTAAATGAGACTACACTCCATCAGAATCAACATAGGCTTAAAGTGGATGTGTAATTATATGTTAATCATTTGTAAATGGATAAAAACTGATTTAATTTAAGTGTAGCTTTTCTCTAAGTTACAATACTAATCTACAGTTTTGGCATTTGTTGATATCAGTGATCAATCCTAATTGGACCGTGCTTGCAAACCCTCCCGACATGTTTCTTTGTGTGTTAATGTTCTGGATGCTGTTAGGTGTTTCAAAAAAAAAAAAAAAGGCATTGTGCTAGTGTTTGACCAGCAGCAGCATGTCTCCTATTCAAGCGTTTCCCGATTGATGGATGCTCTCAAGGCGTACCATACTGTAGATGTCTTACCTCTGTGGATACAGTTTGAAACTCAGTGCCCTGTTGAGAAATACAAAACAAGAAGAAGATGTGATTTACGCCACTCTTTTCCTCCTTGTGAACCTATTTTGCATAATGTTCTTGTGCTGCAGGATTTTTACAGAGAGTCGGTGAAAGCCTTGTTACTGTACCAACTGAAACTGCTCTGTGTGTTTAAAACATGCTGCTTTAACTGCTTTGATAAAGAAATAAAACTCCTTCCAGTAATTTTACATCCGTGTCTTTGTCATTTCCACTGAGACGCGGCGTCAAAGGCACAGTTTGTGAGGGGACAGTAGGGGGCGACGGCGAGAGAGAGAGTGGGAATTGACTGGGCAGAGATGTCCAAAGTGAATTAATCTCTTTGAATGGCACTGTAAACATGAGCTGTGCCACTATTGACTGCAGGGGGTTAGAATCTGGGACTGAATCTAAGGCTGGAGAAGAGAAGAGGCTGTCGCAGGATTAGTATGAATAAATAATGCAGACAGGCTTGGCTTTGTGCAAAGAGCTGCCTCCTCGTCTCAGATATAAACTTCTTCTTGATACACAGATACAGATACATGCATCTAGAAAATAAAAAATAAAAAAAAGTCATAGCAACAGATTTAATCCTTAAAAGTCCAAGTTCAAGAGTCTTCGTCAGCCCCTCCTCCATGGACATCTGGTTAGTTTAGGACTCGCCCCTCTGCCCCGGCTCCTCCAGGATGTCCACAGCTGTCTTTCCTGTATTGTCCAACAGGGGGCGCCACTTTGGGGCTTCAATGGCATCCAGGAGAGAAGCAAGCCCGACCTCCAGCTTCTCCACGGTCTCCTCCACCTTCTGCAGGAGACAGAAGACATATTTTTGTGGCTGACATATAAATAATACATTAATAAGTTGTATTATGAATAATAGAGTCATCGCTCATGAATAATACGATGACTTATTCATATGAATATTACAGTTGCCCAAAACAGCGAGTAAGGTAAGGTCAGAGTGAGTCTGGGGTTTGTCAAATGAGATGAATGTGGAGACTTTACAGTAAGTCATCAGTGTTTTGGAAAGAGCTGAGAAATCATGGAGATTTTTACACAATAAGTGAGACTCCAGGCTGCAGCTTCGTCGGCATCTCATGCTTGAAAGGAAATGCTGAGGATTTTTTTTTGGCAGCCTCAGATGGAGAAACAGCTGACATTTAATAATGAATTTTACACCAGGAGGGGAAAAAAAACATTCTGAATCCTGGTGACTTCAAAGCACTGAGGGCTGAGTGTGAGGTCGGTTTGGAAACGGCACCTTCTCCACTACATCCAGGCGGCTGTGAAGGTTGGTGTGCTCCTGACAGGCACTTGAACGCACCGCTCGAGGCCGCAGTTCAGGCTCAGGACCTGAAAACAGAATGGATGTGTATATGAGTGGACGCACAGCATACACTATGATGCACACACTTACAGTTACAGGTATTAGGAAGCAGAAATATTCTTTCCTATGGCGGTAGGAGATACTAAAGTCCAACCTGTTCTGGAAAACAGAAAACATTCATCAACATATTTAGTGGACAAAGGTGTCGGTCTTCTCATATATCCCATCAAGAAAGCCTAAAAGACCAGGGTTCTTAAAAGAATCTTTTTGGGAACTGGGTTTTTCTAGTAACTGTCCAAGGTGCTCGAAGTCTCACTCAAATTTAAAAGGGTTCCTCCAGAAGCTGTAACTTGAAGATGAGGTTCTTTGAGGGTTCTTCTAGGAACTTCATCCTATGGAACGGTCACTTGAAGCACCTTCAGTGTAATTTTACATTAGCTGAGTAGCCAGTTGCATATTTGAGTAACCTCTTCATATGTAAAGGGTTTTTTCAAAGCACCACAAATATATATATATTTTTTTTTTTAATTTATTTTTTCGGTGCCTTTATTGATAGTGCAGTAGAGAGAGACAGGAAATGGGGAGGCAGAGAGAGGGGGAATGACATGCAGCTAAGGGCTGTCTGATGCGGGACTCGAACCGGGGCCAACTGCAGCGAGGACTGTAGCCTCTACACATGGGGCGGATGCTCATCCAACTGAGCTACTCAACACCCCACCACAAATATATTTTTAAGTTCCTTGAGCACCCTGTTGGATGTTCGAGGCACTTTTAGTTTTTACAACATACAGTATAGGCAAATTTCCCAAAATGTAAAACCAGCTTGAAGTCGAACCTTTGATGCTACGATACAAGAAAAAAAGCATCTCTCTCAGTGCAGTTAAATGAATGTCTTAATTCTAACAAGGAAATCTACTGTTTGGATCATTTGCTTGTTTCCAAATGAAGTTGTGTTTTATTGGTTTTCTCATAATGGCAGGTCAGTGATCTGCCTTTCTTATGTGGAGTCTAAACGGAGAATAAACTGTGCAACATTCAGCGCCATGAAGAAGAGCGTGATTTTCTTGGTGTGAGCACTTCAGCCAGATGGGGAGGGGCCACCTGCATTGTTCGAGCTGCCCCCCCCCCCCCCCCCCCTCCCCCCTTACAGTGATGTTTCCAATTATCTGTTTCTCTTTGAAGCCGACATTTTTGAGGGGAAGTCTTCATTCTCTCGCAGGACGCGGCTCCCATTTCCTAACACCTTCTCGTGGCTGCAGGCCAAGCTCCCATTCACAGCATTTGTACTTTATAAATGAGCAAACTTCTCCTTCATTTCCTGGATGCTGGCGGCGTTGCTGTCGCTGTTATTTAGATAAAACATTTGGAGTGTTTACAGACAGCTAATGCCCGAGAGCGTGTGTTGTTATTGAACATTAATGATGCTAAGGCTGTGTTAGTTTGCCTCTGCAGAGTGCTTTTTGTCAGTGTCATTCCTCTCATACTGTGGCTGCTTACCAGTGACCAAACAAGGATGTGCTTTCACCGTTTCTACATAGTTAGGAGCTAAATCCTTGCAAAAACACTTCAGGTCGCATCTTGAAGTTTTCTTTTATAACCACTGTTCTATGAGCTGGTGCCTTCCTGTGAGCTGTGAAAACCTAAACTCAAAACCCTCAAACTGCTTTCTTTTGACTTTCTTCAGGTTAAAATTGTTATGTTTTTTTGATTGACAGGTAGTCATATTGGACCCTTCTTTTGAGCACAATGAGAAAGCTCTCTGTCTGAACCTTTTCCTACCATCTCATACCTCTGTATTGCTCAGTTTGTCCTCTCTAGAGCTTCACATGGGTTTATGGAAATATTCATTTCAGAACAAAAGCATTCAGTCTGCTGTCAGATAAACACAGACTGCTGCTTTGTTCAGGTTTACAGCTGTGGACTTCAACACATTCACATCTGACGTGAACTAAAAAAGATTTGCTTTTATTAATGGCACATTTAAAATGTCCCCCTGTAAGAGGAATCTGCTCCGTAACGAGTCCTTTACTCCACCACAGACCCGTCAAATCTTTTGTTCCTTAAGCAATGAAGGCTGTGCCAGCAGAGACAGCCAGAAATGATTCCCATATCTTATTCTGCATGATGTACAGCCGTGCCCGAGCATCACGCTGCCTTGATTTTACAGCGATATCCCATGGAAACATTTTACAAGCTCCATTACGCAGGCCGGAGGGGTGCCAGGTTCAGTACATGCAGGATGCAGGCCAAGAAAGAGCGACAGATGAATGAAAGGTAGGCTACAGTGACTTCATCAGATTTTCTCACTAAGCAGATGGGGCAGATGTCTCAGCAATGAAGGTTTGGTTGAGCATGAACACATGAATATTTCCTGCACAGGATCTTGGAGGTAGAGTCAGATTTCTAAGTTGTCAAAAATGGTGGTGTTTTGTTGTTGCATTTCACAACAACCACAATCCACAATCCACTCCAACTGTAGCAGAATGTGCTGCTGGTTTCCAGATCAGCAAAAAAAAAAACCCCAAAAAAACAGGGCTCTCAAATCCCCCCCAAAACCACAGCTGCGCTTCCATCGACGTGTGAGTGTGTGTTTGTGTGATCAGCGTGTGTACACAGCACATCCTGCTCTTTAGGAGGGGAAAAACGTGCAACAGAGAGTTACATGCTGATGTTCACAGTGAATGCCTCACCCACTGAGTCTGCCAGAGCTGCTATGAAAAGAAAGAAGTGTGTGTAATAGACTGCAGATGCCATTAATGTGGCTGAGATGTTATATTGTCACCAGTCTGTTTCCAAACAGCGAGAAGGCATTTGTTCCTGTTTGTGTTGGCTTTCGCTCATATGAAGACTTTTTTTTTTCCTCTCAGAGCTGTTCCAGGAGGTTGAGAAATCACATAGTGACCCCCCACCTCCCCTACATACTCCAAGGAATCACACACCACAGGGAAAGCAAACGTAGATATGATGATCTGACTGACTCCACCCAAGGACAAAGGTGAACCACTGTGTGTGTATGTGTGTGTGTGGCGTGTGTGTAATGTTTCTTTTTTTCTGAGGGGGGATGTGCACTGACATGGCCTCTCTGCAGGACAGAGGGAGTTCAGTCGAATGCAGAACTGAGGAGTTAGTGCATAACAACAGTGTTCATACAAACCAAGCTCTGGCCTGACAAATGCCAATAGAAAACATTAAAGGTCCCATATAGTATAAAGGTAGATGTCTGTGTTTTGTTTGATTATAGAGCAGGTCTATGTTTTATATTAATACGATGAAAGTATCAAAGCGCTTAGTCAACAGAGAAATGCACACAGCCTGTAGAAACTGAAACCAGCTATCAGGACCTGTCATTTTGTGATTTCATAACTATACAGTCACTGCTCTCAGCCATGCCCCATGGCGGGGCCCACCTGGACCCACCATCTGACCTTGCAGGATTTGATTTCTGTGGTTGTGTACCTGAAATCTGCTATATTTTTATTTGATCACTCAGAAAACAGTCAGCCAATCAGAAGAGAGGCTCCTCGCCTCCGCCTTTCTTCTGATTGGCTCACCAACCTGTTGTTACTAGAGCTCCAGACAGAAGCCCGAGAGAGGAGATGTAAAACTACATTGAGATGGTTTTTGGTTCTTAAAACCACAAATATATCTTTTTATGGATCAACACTTCAAAATAAACACAGGAAACGTGTATGTAAATATGGAGCTGTGAGGTGGTTTACAAGCAATAAAGAATAAAATCCTGTACCAAGATGTACTGGCTGTATTGCAGTGTGTACCTCCCTGCTTGAATATATAGTGAAAAAAATTAATCTGAGGTGAAATAGCCAATGAGTCCTTACACTTCGACGTCTCTAATTGCTTACAGTGCACACACACTTCAGCTTCAGGGCTTCACTTTAAAATAAACTTCAAATGCCTTGATTGCTCACACGTTGACCGCTCCAGGCGATTCGGGGGCTTCTGTCGCTCAGAGATCAGACCTGAAACCTCAGTTCACTTCGGCGATTAAATAATAGCTGCCATATCAATTTCTCCTGGCTTTTAAGATTTGTGAGACCGGTGGAGTGGCCACATCCTACCTTTAAACAAGAACTATTTCACCCTGGTAAGTTTTTTTTTTTTTTTTTAAATGAAACTGATGGAAATAAAATGAAATGAGGCAAAATGCTTGGTGCGTTGGTAACTGTGTGTGATGGTGTGCGTATGCTTCCTGCAGTTGGCCATTCTTGCAGTATGAAGTCAGTGTAATTCACACTGGAGGCCGTCACTCACAGATCTGGCTCTGGAGGACTGGCCCACATTTCTGTGAATTTCCAGTGGATTATAGTAACGCTGGTAAACAAAGCTCAAAACACGGCTGAGGGGCAGGAAGATGAACATGATAGATGAAGGGAAGAGTGATTGTTTGAAACTCTGCTGACAGTATATTAGATTATGTGCAGCCAGAGCTGCAGTTAAATTAGTAACAGATGTGCTGGCAACACCCTGAACACACACAGACCCACATGTGTGTGCGTGTGTGGGGAGACATGATGTCAGTTCAGCTTCATGTGTGTTCATCCAGCCATCATCTACACACACTTACATGCATTATACCATGCACCTAAAGCAAAATGTATGGAATAGACACTGATCAATAAATCATCTGTTCTAGTAAATCAACACACCAAACACTGAACTCGTTTAGCTGCTTCCTCTTTGTGCCCTCTGGCCCTTCCTGTCTTGACCTGTGACCCCTCTCTCCCCCCCTCCTCCAGACCCCACCCAGCATCCCTTACCTGCTGCAGCATAGCCAATCAGGAGGAGGAGAAGTCCGATCGAGGAGGTGGGGGGGCGGATCATAGTGAGGAGGTGAAACCTGGTGAGCAGCTGGTGACGAAGATTGAAGAGCGTGTGCGTGAGAGGAAGGAAGAGAAACAGCGGGTGAGTGAGAGAAAGAGAGAGAGAGCCCCCAAATCTCCTCTAATTCTGAACCAGACTGAAAAACCAAATGATTTCCTCTCCTCCTCAGGTCTCCTCCTGTCCCTGTGCTCGCTCTCTTGCTCTCTAATCCTTCCCTCCTTGACTTGGTTGCGCCCAGTTTCCTAATGAAAACATTAGATGCAGAACAAAAAGCTCAGTATCTGGGAAGGGGCGGGAGGGATGTACTGGGGAGGGGACTCGGATCTCAGAGCAGACAGGCCGGCCTTTAAAGAGGGCACTTACTAGTTTTACCTATTATGTTGTGCAACTTTTGTGTTGTGTGTGTGTGTGTGTGGCATTTTCATGTCCACATTGAAGTTGGTCAGGAGTTTTTCAGATGTTAGATTAATGCAGACAAGCTCCCACTTGTTTCTGTTTCATTATTTAAGCTGTATTTTTTTCAATAAAAGCAGGAGAGTAATAAAAGGACTCGGGGCTGCCAAGCTTTTTCTGGGAAAATCAGCCAGTGTTTCCGTTTAGCAGGAAGTCTGACGAATCAAAATCAATTCAGCAGCAGAGAATGGCCTTTATAATCGCATTGATTGGTTCCTGTTATTCCCACTGACTTCTCCCTCTATGTCTGAGTGACTCACACACCTTCCCACACACACGCTCGGAGACAGCCAAGACTATTACGTAGTAAACATGGTCATCTTCGTTAAGCCAGACCATCTTGAGCCTCGTGCTTTTCTCACTTGTCTGGTCTCTTAAGCAGATCTACAGGTTAAGCAGCAGAAAACAAAACTGGAGGAAAAGTGAAGAAGGGATTGATGAAGAGAGTCAGAAGACGACAGGAGTACTGCTCTGCTGTGACACACTGTAGTGATTCAGATAGATAGATAGATAAAAACAGAAACACAGACCGTGGACACAAGAAAATAATATACATAGAATTATATAGAATATATAATATATCTCACACATGAAAAATTATACATTGATTTATAATTTGATCTTACTAAAGTCAGTGGAAACTCATTTATCCTCTTAGGCAAAGCTACAAAAAAAAAAAAGATCAAAATCCCATTTGAAGTGACAAAAGTAAAAGAATAATAATTTCATACTGTCAGAATGGATTTGATTCGCTAAACCTCACACAAGAAAGAAATGTTTTTCTAATGTGACACATTCAGGAGGATTTATCAAGCCTTCACATTTGTAATATTTAATAGAAAAATTAACATGTTAGTTTTTCCTCAGTGGATTATCTGAAAAGACGAGAGAGAGAGAGAGAGAGAGAGAGAGAGAGAGAGAGAAAGAGCTATTTCACTCTTACATGTGTGTTATGAATTATTCATATAAAAGAAATGTACTTGTTATTATATTATTGCAGAGTTAGCAAAGTGGCTATTTCTTCATCTGTAATCTGTAGACGTTATGTAACAAAATTAAAAATATAATGAAATAGTTTTTGAGCATGCAGAGCAATAATAAGAAGAGAATAGTAACGTATCATCAGGTCAGCATTATGCTGCATTTTTAGGCACTAATTAAAACATGCAAATGAGGATATTAATGTTAAATGGGGAGTATTACTGTTACATCATTAATGGGATTTACACAAGATAACATACATTTATCCTAGAATTTACTCCATAAAATAATTAGTATATTAGATCTATCAAAAAACCTCTTTAAATTGCAATCTGTTTGGTTGCACCACATGTAGCTTGTGTTCCATATTCCTGTTTTCAGGTCCCTCAGCAATTACAGAGCTAACAAGTCGTCATGTGGTCTGGCACATGGAGCGGTGCAGATGAATCACACAGAAATGTATCATTACAAATCTCAATATCACTCTGTAGACTCCCATGAAAGAGAACAATAAAAAAAAGCATTATATAAATGTGTGTCAAAGTTCATTCAGGTATTGAATGTTAGTTCAAGTCCGCCCAGCAGACACATGCTGAGGCACGGAGTGTCTGCAAGAACACAGAGCCAGAGGATCATGGGATCCAGTCAGCCGGCGTCACGCTGATCTGTGGTGTGACAGACTGCTGGAGGCAGGGTCACCTTCTCACCATCTATTTCTGTCCAGCTGTCTGTATGTCTACTTGTTTTGTTCACCGTAGTAACGATGACCAAATGTCCTCACAGGCATGGAAGGATGAAGGAGACCCTCGCTGCTGGCCTTCATCATCATCGCCACTTATCGTCACCTGAACATGGACCTCACTAAACCTTGTTGTTGCCAGGACATAAGCTCAGCTCTCTGTACCCGTCTGCCGCCTGGCGTACACTGGCTTCCTGTCCAGTTTTAAGGAGCTAAATCTAATTTGAGTGATGTGTGTGGTTGTGTGTGTGTGTGTGTGTGTGTGTGTGTGAAGTCTGTTACTACATCAAAAGAAAAAAACCTCCACCCTCTGCTTTTAAGACAAGCCATTAGTTGACCTTTGGTTTCCCTTGACTGTGCCCTAATCCTATTGTAGATCTGCTGTACTTACTCTGCATGTCTCTGTAAACTATCAGCTGGACAACTCCAAGTTTTCAGCTTATTCACTACATGACGCCTGTCCGGTAGACACCTCATCACATACGTACTGTATATTTAGTATCCAAAGGATGAAGATAAATCTTTAAGCTATTCAATGTTGGTATTATTTTTCTACCTCTGTAGACAAACTCTAATAATCTGCACGCAAAACTATTATTATTATTATCCACTATTATCCAATTTTCTGATTATTTCATGAGTCTTCTTGGCAATTTGACGCTTTGATGCTGCATAAAGGTGTCAAATATAACTCTCTTACTCTTAGAATGAGTTGCTTATAATAAATTACCATCATTAAGGTCAGTTTATGTTTGATCAGAACTAGTTTGTAATACGTGTTTTCTGACCACAATTATAGTTGTTCCAGACGGCCTCATCTGAAGGCAGAGTGCCCAAAAGCCAAGACATGATCTCTTAAATATGGAAGTCATTGGTGTCGCACTTGGTTGTTCACACACACACACACACACACACACACACACACACACACACACACGACACACACACAACACACACACACACAAAAGGCAAGAGAGAGAAAAGTTCACACCCTTGCTCCTTTCTCACCTCCACACAGCATGACCAATCACGGCTTTAAGAGACTGTGAATATCGGATTGTCGGGTTTCATAAAGTTACAGAAATGGTCAGATACAGCCCGCTCTAATCTGAATTCAGGAAACTGTGGAGGAACCCGGGTTTCCAAAGCTGTTCCACCATCCTGCAAGACCTCTCCTTTTCAGTAACACAGCACAAAAACCCTCTGCTTACTGCGATGAATGAATGAATGAATGTAGACACAGTGATTGCACAGTAGTAGTCTCTTATTCAGTAATGAGACACAGTGTGTTGCAATTCCTGTTACTTTAATTTTGATACTCAGCTGTCAGCTCTGTCAAAGGTTCCTTAATTAAACAACTCCAAATCCTCTTCCCCTGCGTGTTGCATCGTTGTATTTAACACACGTAGATACAGAAAACGAGACACTGCAGTTTAACAAGCAGGCACCCTCAATTACTAGGGATTTACTGACCATCCAGCAGCTATCTTAGCCTCTGTGACTGCACACAGCTCTCCAGATCCTGACGTCAGAGGACGGGTTACTCACCCTGTAGACAAAGACTACTTTGAAATTACAGTGGCTTTTCTCCTCTCCTCAGACAGAGACCAAACTAATGTCAACCTCGCATCAAACTCCCGGTAAGACAGCGAACGTGCCAACACAGAAATGTAAAAGTAACCAAGCATTACTGGGATAAGTAACTGTAACATGATTACTGGATTTCAAGTTGTAATCCCTCACACTACTCATTACTGAAAAAAGTAATCACACAACTGCAACACGTTACTAACGGAGGTGATGTCAACAACTCTCAAGTATAAATCAAAGCCTATGCCGTAAGTACCTATGGCAGGACTCACCCATTGCCCTGACTATAAATCCAGCTTAAATGACTGCTCTCAAATGTTGGGCAACAAGCATGCTGCACACTGTGGACTGTAGTGGGAGAATTGCAGGAATGGGAATAAAGACTCACTACAAACATTGATAGATGTGGTACCAGTTTGGGTGGAGGGGTCTCAGGCATTGTTAGATGACTGTAGAAGCATACTGACCTCCTAACCATACCTGCACTGATAGTGGTTTCTCTTTTTTGGTTTCTCTTATTTTTATCTTTATTTTTACATTTGCAACAACCCCTTATGGACTATGTGGATTATACTGGGATAATAATAATAATAATCTGGGAATTCAGTTTCTGTCTGCTACCCCGAGTATTGTGTTATCTTAGCAATAAAACAAACAGTAGGTCAAACAAGCATGGGCTAATTTCATTTTAGGACCAAACTCATATTTAAGCTAGAGGAATGGTAGACAAGAAAACCTTTGAACATTAGTTTCCTTCGTTGTGATTGACCCTTTACTTGACACTACCTGCACTGTGCAACTCCGCCTATCTTACACTCCATTCACTACACTCAGATTTACCTGCAAATACTGTGTGAGTCATGTCTGCTAAAGGGATTATCTCTGATTATAGGTGCACATTCATGTAGTGATATGAGTTGGAGCACACTCATTACCTTGACGATGCCTGTCCAGTGAACGCTGCCATCACTGTCGCTCCTCAGCTCAGATTTGAGGGACAGGTTGGATATCCAATCAGAGCTGAATAAGATCTGGACTGCTTGCCGGCTGCTGGTAGCAGTCAATGTAAAGTCTCGGTTATCTGTCTGGCTGGCAGCTTGTCTCTCTCTTCAGGAACACTACATGTACAGTTTGTTTGTGGTGTTAAAATTTATCTAGAGAAGACTTGCTCTTCCACAGCAGTACTCTACTTCAGTTTCTTACAGATGCAGACACTGACATCCGACAGATGAGCATGAAATCATCTGCTACTGTCGTCTGTGTACAGACATGTGACAAACTGAAGGAAAAACCAGCGATAAGTGTCTTATTAAGGTGTTGGGCCACCAGGTGCCACCAGAACAGCTTCAATGCACCTTGGCAGTGATTCTCCATGTCTCTGGACTCTATTGGAGGGATGAGTGCCATCCTTGCTAAAGATATTCCCTCATTTGGTGTTTTGATGATGGTGGTGGCGAGCGCTGTCTGACACGTTGGTCTAAAGTCCCCTGTAACTGGGTGACTGCGAAGGCCATGGCATATGATTCACATCATTTTCATACTCATCAAACCATTTAGTGACCCCCTTGTGCCCTGTGGATGGGGGAACTGTCATCCTGGAGGAAACCGCTTCCATCTGGTTAGAAATCTTTTAAAATAGGATAAAGGTGATCACTCAGAACAACTTTGTATTGATCTGCAGTGACCCTTTCCTCTAAGACGACACATGGACCCAAACCATGCCAGCAAAGTGCCCCTCCACAGCATAACAGAGCCGCTGGATCCCCTCACTGCAGGGGTGAAGCATTCAGGCCTCTACTGCTTCTTGCCGTTTGCCGCACATTAACTCGCCCACTTGTGGAGAGTATGGCGAAGGATGACTCATCTGGCCATATCACTTTTTCACCACATTTCTGTAGACCAGTGCCTGAACTCTCAAATCTGCTTTCATCTATGTAGTGAGGGCTTTATGCACCGAAACGTTACTGTAATATTCATCATTAAGTAATTGTCGACAGACTGTTGTTGTTGACACATCTGATCACATCCTGCATTGACTTTCGCAGTCACCTGGGGAACAGTGCTTTTCTGTTTTTCCTTGCATATCGCACTAATGCACGACCCTATTTACTGACGTATTTCCCATAGATCTAAATGCAGATTTTGCCTTAGTCACTGTTCCTATTGTTGCCCTAACCAATTGAACAGTCTTTGAGACTGAAGCTGCTGCCATCTGTGCCCCATCTGTAAACCCTCTTTCAAAGTCACTTACATCTTTTCCTATCACCATCTTGACACAAAATCTGAGTCAAGTGGACCTGCTCAACATTTTTTTTACATGCCACAGAGCATGCCTGGATGTTAATTGCTTAACTGTACCGTGCAGTGCACCTGTGTGGAAGCATCTGCATTTGTTATTTTTATCCACTCATTTTATCCATTCATTCAGATTTTACCTTTAATTTGTCACCTGTCTGTATCTCACAGAGAGCAGCTTGAGGTAAAGTACAATGCATCTTGACTCCAGATGTGGAAAATAAAGATAAAAAATATGTTGTGATTTCAGTGGCACAGAAATCAGATCTGGACATGCTCCTCTACCCTTTTGGCTCCCCTCACCCCACAACCCTTCATTTCTGATCCTCCATCCATAGTTGTATCCTGTATGTGGTTGAGCCTCCAGATCACTGCTCCCTAGATAAACCCTAAGTCTGCATCTATCTCCTTAGACCGCCTAATTAGCACTACGTCACAGAAAGGGGAAGTAATCCCAGTCTGGGCCCAGGAATAGAGCCCTGGGAGGGGCCAGGCCACTGGAGAGACGCTCCAGAGCCACGGTGCATGTGTCCCTGAGTAATCCCTTCTTAAATAGCCCATGGGCAGGGAAAGAGGGAGGGAGCCAGGTCAGGGGACGTTATACCGTGGGAGCAACACCAGTCAGTGTCCTGTTATCCCTCGGACACACCACACCAGCTGGAGCAGGAGAGGGATTCAGAGACAGAGACTCTTTGGACTGTAGGAGGACAGAGCTTCGACCACGATGAACTTTGCTGCCCAGTTATTCTACTCGAGCTACTTGAGTGAGCGACTTGAGCGTTTGTACTCACCTAGGCTTGCACTAAAAGACAGCGAGGAGAATGACCCCTTCTGGCAGAGGTGGGAAATTACAACATGTAGCCTCCTGGATCCCCCAGACCTTCCCCCTACCCAGATCAATCCCGTAGTGACAGATTTAATCTCTTCCCGGAGTTCGGAGGTAGGTTCGTCTTCCACAGTATCACAGCCTCTGTCTTCAGTTACCTTGATTCCTCCTCCACATCCTCCTCCCCTAACAAAGACACCCTCAAACCTTCAGTCTCTTCCTCTGACACCTCCTCCTCACCTTAATCATGAAAGTAAATCAACAAAGCCAACCACTGGTCCTCCAAATCCATGTTTGGCTGCTGTGGTCCCCAAATCTAGGGTTCACAAACTTCCTCCTGACAATCGTCCTTCTCCTCAGATGGTTTTTCCCCAAACCTCTCTTGCTCCGTCTTTGTCCTCAGCAGGAATGGCCTCCTCCTCTTCCATCCCCCCATCTTCGTCCTCCTTTTCCTTGGCTCCAACCTCTTGTAGAGGAGAGCGACTCCCTACTTTCCAAGCCCTGGTAGACTTGCTCCTTCACTTGGTCCTCTACCTTGTTCTCCTAATTGTGACAGACCCAGAGAAACCAAAAGTTACCACTGGATTGAAGAGGTAATTAGTGCTGCAGTGTCAATGCTATGTGACATCACATCTAGGTTCAAACAGGGGTTACAAGTCATTTTTCTGTGTTTGTCTTGAAGCATGATTATGGATGTATATAATGCATCAAAACTGTTTTGGACAGACTTCTTCAATCACAAAAGACAAATGAAAGAAAATCGATTTTCAGGGTTGTTTGGTCGTAGTATACAAACTCTCACTACTAGATAAAAAATACCAGACAGTTGTCGAACCCTGGCCTTAATTACAGAAAGATGCAGAATTGTAGTTACAACAATGCAACATCAACGATCGGGGTCACATAGTTGCTAAGAGAGATTTTCTCTCCCAAAATGTTCTAGTCTGAAATGGAAGCAGGTTAGGGCATTTTGTCTTTAAAAGGACATTAAGAAGCTGGGATAGCGCAGTGATGAAAGCCTGGTGGGCTGAGATGTCTTCCTTGCTTTCTACTTTGTCCTTACTTGTCGTTTTTTGAACCATTTTAAATTAAAAGAACCTATTTGTACCGTCTCAGCTCTTCATCCCCTCTTTTGAGGGAGCTTTTTGAGGCTTTATACTGACTGTCGTGGTGCTCTTTTCCCTCCTTTGATGATGTTTTTGAACTCTGCTTTTGAACCAAAGCACCCTAATCATAGGTGCAGCCTTGGGATTTTTCACTCTGTATGCACTGAAAGTGACTGATAAGTGGGGGAGAGGGCAGTAATGGACCCAGGAAATTAGGTGAAAGGTCAAAGTATTGTTTATGGCAGATCATTGAGATATAAATAGTCTGGGATGTTCTCTGCAGAGAGCTGGCAGCACTGCCAAAAATTCAGACATTGTTTGGGAAAGCTGCTCCACCTGGTGGCCTTCTGATGTCAATCTAGCACTATAAGCTTATGAAACCACTTTCATCACTGGATTGTTTTTATTTTACTCTTCTTAGTTAAGAAGTTACTCAGCTCTGTCTGGATTATCATGATGCAGCAAATCTGTATCCTTTCTGGCAGCCACAACTTTTTTGCTTATACTGTGGAAGTGAATCAGCTGTCCTAGCTCCACCGCACAACCTTATTCAAAGTTTCAAACTTAGCTGTTAACCATTTGTGATCTGCTTTAGTGGCTAAGTCACAGGGTTAATCTCCAATAGGTGTAATCCTATTATAATATTTCTTCTGCGTAGAGGAGCTCCTGATTAGCTATGTGTTTAGGGAAACAACCAAAAACAAGTAGTTTACAGTTTTGAGCAATGTCATTAGAGAAATGAAAGTAGAGTTAGTAGAAATTTTACTATTTAAATAAATTATACTATTCGATTATATACAATGCCCATTTACTGACCTGTTATAAATCAACCTGTTCTGCCTTTGGGCCTAAATTGCCACTTTAATCGCTTGCGTGTCTCCCGAAAAGAGGAGCTGAATGACCCAATGAATCATAACTTGATTTACAGATATAATCTGTCACAGTGAGAGGAAGCTGGGTTGACATGAAAGGTGAATCAATTCATCTTGTGTAAAGGATTGTGTGTGTGTGTGTGTGTGGGCACGTTCATGTACCTTCATAGCAGGGTTGAGGTCAGTTTGATTTAATATCACTGAGTTTGGGAAGTAGATCTAAATTTTTTTTTAAACTGTTAAATTCACGTTAGAAAGCCACACGTTAATGAGACTGGTGGCTTTAGTAGTGATGTCTGAAATGCAGTTTCAGTGTATAATTTAAATTTGGTGAATTAAAACTAACTCAAAGACGAGGTGTTTGTGGATTGGGTTTGCAAATTGATAACGCTTGGTTTTCATGAAAAGATTGGAGGGAGTTTAATTGCCAGAGGCTGCAGAAAGACAACAATATATTCTGGTTCATGTCATTTCTACTGAATCATGTCTTGTTTTATTATTGTTATATGTTATTATTAACTTTCAGCAGCCACTGGTTTCCATCCCATCCATTAAGCTGTAAATCATAGCACACATATCACCTCATTTCTTTTGTTTGCTATATAAAATATGCAGTTGAAGACAATAACTAATTTGAAAAGCTATCTGCATTCATGTGCTTTTGGGAAATTCCAACTTCATAACCCGAGAACAACTCAAGAAGCTATCAAATTCACAGCATCCATTTTTGTCAATTGTCAATCAAGTTTTTATCAGCTTGATTTGTGAGATGGATATCAGTGCTGGGGCTTCCTGGCTGCCCATCAACACACAGCTGTAGAGTCTTCATGCTTTCTCATTTTATTGCATTCGCTTGCAACAAAAACATAAGTTTAAGGAAAATGAAACTGCACATGATGTTTATTCCTAGTGAATTACTGATATAAGGAAAGTATCACGCCTCTGCAAATTGATTTTAATCCTGCAGTGAAATTAAAGGAAAAGCGTTTCAGTGTGCTTTGAAAAATGTTTTCCATTAATATAAAGTTTACTGGGTGTAACTTGAAGTAAACAAGCTAAAACACACAAAAATAGTTGTGTCATTTTTTAAGGATCCCCTGCAGTTCCCAGCTGTCACTGTGAGAAGGATAGTTTCACAGGATTCATGGTGTCTACTATGTAAAAATGTTTTATATTGAAAATGACTCGGTTAACTTCTATCTATTCATTTTGCAAAAGTACAGGTCAGGTTTTCACATGCAGGATATCTGATTTGAATTAAACCATATGTCTCTCACTTTATGACTCAGAGAGGAGTTGCATCTGGGCCCCAGTCAACCTGGAGCCTCTTACAAATGCTGCCCCATCAGTAATGGCACTGTGGGCCGCAGACCCACCCTCATTGAACCAGAGCGGCTGAAGGACTTTGGTGAGGAGGAACTTCTCAATGGAGATGTGAAGGTCTATGACACCAAGGTGGTGGGGGGTCCAGAGATCATGCTCATGGACCCCCCCAAAACGAGAAGGGTCAGCGAGTTCAGGATTGTCCCCAGACCTCCTGCCCAGTACCTCCGCTTTGAAGACATCAGCGCAGCAGCCTTCAGGATCCAGTCAGGGATACAGAAGACACCCTGCACGGTAAACTGGCATATGACCTCACAATGTACAGTGATGAAAGAGGAGGGTGATCTCTGACCTCTGTTAGGAGAGCAAACTTGTTATTGGAAACACTTTTATGTGAATTAAGTTAAAGAACCAGCATCAGTGATCTGGTGAATTCACACCAACAATTAGGTGCTGGTCATAGACAATTTCTATGACCAGCACCTAATCATCGTGGTCATCACAGATGCAATAGAATAGAAATTGTCTTTTTCAAGGCAAGTTTAACACAAATGCAAGATACAATACAAACACCAACTGTTGGCAAGCTACAATCAGTAACATTACTAAGTCAAAAGGTTTGAATTAAAGAAAATATACCTCAGCATTCATTTCCATATACTTTTTTTCCATAACAACAAATCACAGCACTAGAACTTTACACCTAGAGTATGTCCCAAAAATATAATGTCTCAGTATCTCAAACTTAAAGAAGAGAAGGAATGGACAAATGGTCATTAGAAAAAATATATAGTCCGGGCCCTTCACTGAACAATTATAGATTATTATATCATAATTATATATTAAAAATATATACTCAGTTTACCAAGTATATGGCAACCACTTTAATGAAAGTTAAAGATTTCTTCAAATATATATTTATTTATATTTCAAATGTACAATATATATTCATTATATGTTCATACATTTTATAAAGATTCTATATATATATATATCATAATTTGTATCAAACCTATGCATACTTCTTTGTCTGTAGCTGTAATTTTGCACACATTCATTCATGCTGAAATTCATTCATTATCATACTTTTGTATATTTCTATTTAATGGACCAGAAGTTATCAGTTTGCATGTTTGCTTTACTTTTAGACATTTTCATTTATAGGATTTGTTGCAGTAAGTAGCACAGTTCTCCTGCTGTGATCATTCAGGTTTCTTCAAATTACATCAGTTTATATTTTAGTTTACTCTCAACAGCATTAATTACAGAAAATGCAGATTGGTGAACAAACTAAATTAACACGGTAGATGAACCGAATTAATAGCTTTGCCTACGGTGCAGTTCAATTCACTCATTAGATTAAGCTGCTCTTCAAATGCTGTTTCCTTGTGTGTGCAGTATTCCAGACTGTCCAAACAGTACGGGATGGAGATCTACCTGAAGAAGGAGCACCTGCACTACACAGGCTCTGTGAAGGAGAGGGGAGTCCTCTACCTGCTCACCTCCCTCACACAGGTAAAACATGAGAGAGAGAGAGAGAGAGAGAGAGAGAGGGAGGACAATCCCCTCTGACAGGTGTGTCAGGTCACAGCTAGTGTGATCTGCTCTGCGTGCAGACACACGTGTTAACTGACCACTGCTGACCTGTGGTGAGAAAAGTAGTGTCAGTAAAGACAGTGTGTTGGGAATGTGTGATATATTTGTATGAGTAATTCTGATTTCTCTCAGACAGCAAAAAAATTGAATGAATTTCAGACAAAGTCATTGGTGATGGATGGATGACTGACAGAAAAATTACCTACAACTTGTTCATCTTCAGTAAAGCCATGTAAAGATCCTCTTTGTGCCAGGAAGCATCAGGAATTTTGAGAAACACTACCACTGACAATAGTGGCTAAAGACAAAGGCATAATGTCATCATAATACATTATTTAGGTATGTTGTTGTTAGTTGATGATTTATTTTATTGATTATTTATGATAATTAGTTATTGATGGGGTTGTTACGTTGAAAGACGTCGCTCATTTAAGGCCAGAAATGAGCACTTCATCCTGGCTCATTGCATCATATTGTGGTGTAACTTGCATTGGAAAAGTACTGTGTACCTCTCAGCAGTCAATAAAAGATATTTATCAAGCATGTGTTCATGTCCCTCCAGGAGCAGCAGAGGAAGGGTGTGATTGTGGCCACTGACTGTAACTTCTCCATGGCTGTGGCTCACCACGCAGTGGAGCTGAAGATCCCGATGTTCGTCATCATGCCGTCGTGCGTCTCCTCACCTCGCCTCAGGATCTACAGAGACTATGGCGCCATGGTCATCTCCTACGGCAGCACCGGCCACGACTCCCAGAACCACGCCCGCCATCTTGCCAAAGAGAATGGATACCTCTATGTGGAAGAGTCAGTCCCACTAACATCGACCTTGAAATTTAATGTAGCAGAGTTGAGAATATGCATGTGCTGAACATGCTGCAAGCCACTGCACTACCAGCAACACTGATATAGGTTTAAAAATCACTTTGAAGGCCTCCTGGGAGAGTCATTTTTCAAATCATAAAATATCTGCTTATTTGCTGAATCTATCGTAGAAGAAAAGTTCTTTTACTGTAGTCTGCATGTTAGCATAGTAAGTTGCATGACTGAGCATCAGAATAATCAGAATGATAAAGACCCACTCTGGAAAAAATACAATATTGTTTAAATTCACTATATCTGTTATAATCTGCTTTTCACCTGCATCATACAGGCACAATTTGAAGTAAGTGATTTGAAAAATGTCAAATCAATGTCTTTCACGGCAGACATTTCGATTTGTCTGGGCAGAAAAAGCTCAGGTTTAACAAATAACAGTATGCACCAGTCAGTGTCAGACAGGTCACAACTTCTGTCATGGAAACAGGTTTATTCTCTTGTAACAGCGGGAGGATCCCACCACTATACACTGTGAACTCTTTAGGGACTTTTAGGTGTTTATAGTTTATGGTAAAAATTTCCTAAAGTCCCAGAGTCTCAGAGAGGAGCTGATAGGCACATTTCCCAAAACTCAACTACGTGTTCTGTTGACGTATGCCTCGAGCAAGTTATTTGGAGGCAGGTTTGAAAGATAAACATAACACATGTACAGGAGAAACAGCCACACAAATGGACCTTCTCCAGGCTGCCTACATGCAGCTTGGAGAAGCATAATTCCACTTTACTGTGTAGCTCCGGAGCCTACACACAGCTGCCATAGATTCAGCATAACACCTTAACACAGTGGGAACAGTGCCACCCTTTAATGCAGCAACCCCTTTATATGAAGCTTAAATCCACCTTAACAGTGGTACAATAAGAGAAGACTCGTAACTCAGTAGTGTCAGTGACACAGCTGCCTACAGGTTTGGTAACATTAGCCATAAACTACTGGTCATTCCAGACCAAATGAGTCTGTGGGAGCAAAACCCCTGAATATATTGAATTAAGCAGCAAAGCATTTAAGTCTTATGAATACATTTTTTCATTTGTAAAAAAAAAAAAAAGTGTAACTTTTCAAACTGTTCTTTCAAAAGTTACATAATTTCACTTTAAATCCTTTTCCATTTTTCTACTGAAAGTAGATGATTTAAATAGTGAATAGAGAGAACTAACGCTTAAGAGCCATTTCATGCAAATGCAGCTATAGCACACACTGAACTTGACTGGTTATGTAACACTAAGGTTACTTTTGAGTACTGTAATGGAAGCTGGGAAGGACCTGAAATCACTTTTCTAACACAATTTCCCATTATTTGAGAACAAAGAGGAGTGAATTGCTTCTGTCATCTGTTGAAACATGTCTGGTGTCTGTTCACAATGTAGAGAAACAAGGATGAGACTTGGTATAAAGACAGAAAACTTATGAAACCTTTAGGTCTGCTTAACATCAGGTTGCTCTGCAGCCCTTCACCTCATCAGTTCTTCCTTTCTTTCTCCTTTTTTTCCGATGCCCAGAGATGAAAGCGCAGCGTACCTGGCCGGACTGGGCACTGTGGGCATGGAAATCTATGAACAAGTGCCCAAACTGGATGCAGTGGTTGTTCCTGCAGCTGGACAGTATGGTCTACTGGCTGGCACCGCCGCAGCCATCAAACACCTCAACTCACAGACTCTTGTCATAGTAGGTTGATGCAGAGATGTTTAATTTTTGGGATTAATGGAAACTTAACTACAATGCCTGTCATGTATAAGATGAGCAGATTTGTAGCCTCTGTCTAACACCAGTATTGTTAGTGCTGTGTCTTAAAACGAGGTCACATTTCTTGTACACCCTCACTTCTTATTTCAAACAAGAAATTGCTACTTGCCACCTACATCTCTCTGATGTTGATCCAAGTGTGTTTTTCATTCTGCTTGGATTTCCTTAACAAGATAAATGTATTTGAAGTATTTCGCCTTGTTCCACTCTCTGCCCACAGCTGTTAGCTCTATTTACAGCGGAGGAACAGAACTGCCCTCTACTGCAATCACAAAGAAATATCTCTGTGTACAGTCAAGCAATGGATCAAATTTACTGCCAAGCTTGATCCAGTAGTGAGCATTATGAGCCTGACTAAGGCTACCAATCTTCCCATAGATTGTCCTGTGTTCATTGTAGTAATCATATGAATGTCTCACATTTATTAATGTTAATATTAAACATGTAGCGCGTGTAATTACAGTGGGAAGGATGCTGCAGGTATGTAGACTGAGTATTCTTAATATCTGCACTATATACATCTTAAGATCATGAATTGTTTATGAATATTTATAGCCAAGCTAGCAGCTCCACAGATGCAGTTTCAGTCAGTATTTTTCCAATGTTTTGGTTTATGATTTTAACTAATGATATTCCCATCAGCCTCAGCTGTTTAGGCAAAATTAGCAAAGCTGCTAACATGCTAATATGGTTAAATGATGGTGAACGTGGTAAACATTCTACCTGCTAAACATTAGCATGTTAGCATTGTCATTGTGGGCATGTTGCTGCTTATGTGCAGCCGCACAGAGCTAGTAGCATGGCTGTAGGACTCATAGTCTTCTTTATACAAGTAGTAATATGGTGAAAAAAACAAACCAAAAAACAATTCTAACTGAATGACTTCCTTCCACAGGGAGTTGAACCAGAAGGTTTCCCTCTGCTGTTACAATCTCTGAAAACAGACAGTCCAGTCAAAGACATGCACAGCAACCCCAATAAGAAACTCTACGGAGGTAAGATCAGCACAAAGGTAACAATACTACATAATAGTACTATCAATTAACACTGAATAAACACCACATCATAATCTGCACACCTTCCCTGTTAGAAGCTCGTCTGGCTTTTCAAGTCCTCTCCTGCAGTAACTGAACATATGTTGATCTCCTGCCTTATTCAGATCTTATGGAGCGTTCGCTTGGTGTCAACACCTTCCAACTGTCAAAGAAACTAGTAGATAAAGTCATCACTGTCAGGTACGGCTTCATCACAGCACGTTCACACTTCTGAGCTTCTCGACATCCATTGTGTGAAAAAATATGGCATATGTGTTAAATTAAAGATTATGGTTTACTGCTCTGATCCATCTTTACATTTTGGCTTTTGAAGTATTGACTACTGAATTTTGGGGATCAGAAATAGACTTGATTACTTTGGAATGAAATCATCTCATATCAGATGTAATTTAAAAAAACGAATTAAAACTTAACATCAAACTTTCTTTTTCCCTTTCTCTGCGTGCTCACAGTGAGGAGGACTCTCTGGTGGCGATGCTGCGGTTTCAGGAGTTTGAACGCTCCACTGTGGATACAGAGGGAGCCATGGGACTAGCTGCCATCCTGGCCGGACAACTGCCAGAACTGAGAGGCAAAAGGTGAGTCCGACTTTTTAATATTAAGGCTCCTCTCAACCTCATATGAAACTTCACATCACCCATGTCCGTTTACAGACATCAGAGGTGAGGGACAGAGACCGACATTAGCTAAGCTCTCCTCTCATGTTTACAGAAGAACCAACACCTTTTGTATATGACGCATAGTTTTTTTAAACAATGTAAAAACCCTTAATACAATTTTAAATTTAGATCTAGAAATTTTTTCTGAAGGCCTGAAAAGCTTACATTTTGGCATTGCAGCGATGTCAGTGGTGCTAATCCGTTTGGCTACAGATAAAACAAGACTCCCTCTGTGTTTCTGCTGCAGGGTCGCTGTAGTGGTGAGCAGTGCTAATATGGAGCTGGAGCTGGTGAGGCAGTGTGTTGACCGAGCCCTGGTGCTGGACGACCGGGTCAGTAAGTTCTCTGTGCAGCTGGGAGAATGGCCGGGAGACATGGCCAAGCTGCTGGACGTCCTGTCCAGAGAGGACGTCAGGTAGAGTCAACACCCATCCATTTAGAGATGCTTTGTTCTGTTGCATCACGCTGCTCAAATCTGTTTTATGTTTAATGTCTTTGCTTTCACTCTGTCTTTTTCCTCCCAGGTTGTTGGACGTCTGCCATCGGAGACACGGTGACAAGTCAGACCTCTTCAAGGCAAAGGTAGGCGACTAATCTCTCCTCTTCACCTCACTCTTCTTCCTCCTCCTCTTCAATCCGCTCATCTACTTCCTCTTCAGTGCCTTGTAACTCTTGGCTTGGAGTTGGCAGTGAGTTGGCGTGACTTAGAGGGCCAAAAATATAAATAAAACAAAATAAAGTCTTATTTATGCTGTTTTTTGTATCCAGAAGAAACCCTGCTTATATTGCAAGAAAAATTCTACCACTTTCTATTATTATTATTATTGTTATTATTATTATTATTATTATTATTATTATTATTATTATTTTTATTATTACTATTATTATTATTATTATTATTATTATTATTATATTCATGAAGTTGTAGCTAACAGTTTGGTTAATAATTTTAAGTAATTTACTAATAATTCATAGATCAATTACAACTTATTGAAAAGAATTATCTCTGAGTTAAGATTGTGAAAAATCTCTGGATCTGGAAAAAAGCTGCAGATGATAGGGACCAAATTCCATTTAATAACAACTTAAAACTGGATATTTGATGGTTTTAAAGCCTTTACTAATGAATTGACATTTACAACTGCACACATAATGGTCTGCTAGAACATGGTGAACTGATTGAATATTTACTAATGGATTACCAATATTCATAACTGCATTATTACCTAATAAAAAATGTAAACATCATTAATATATGATTTATTAACCATTAATAAAAATCTAAAAGTATTACAAAGTGTAATATATTCAGTTTTTTTAGCCTAGTATGAGGGTTTAAAGCAAAACTATGTAAGCACCATTGCTCAATTGTATTCACTCTGTACAGCCTCACTTGGTCTGGTATGACCAGTTGGTTAATGTTAGCTATGAGTTTCTCTACTTGTGCTACTGTAAAGTTACATTTTAGCATTTACCATTGTCCTGTCAATGTGACGTATGACTACAAAAGTTTAAAAGTTAGTTTTGCTTAAAAATCTTATTTTCCTTGAAACAAACAAACTGACTGACGGATGAATTCCAATTCAAAGAAACTTGATTCATGAATCTTGTTGAACCAATTGTTTTCTCTTCATACTACAATGGCTTTGTTCTATCTTGTTTAAAAACTTAATGAAACTATTAAATTGCACTGGAAACAAATAGAATTGTCTCATTATCTCCTGCTCTGTATTATTACCTCTGCAATCTACACCTACAAATTGACTCTGTAGTTAATTCACTAGCTGTATCAAATGTGAAAACTGCTGTGTAATCAACTGGCAACACACTTACTGCACTAATTCTAGTGTGTGTGTGTGTGTGTGTATGTTAACAGGTGGAGTGTGTGGTGGAAACCAGGGATAAGTCACAGAGCGCTCAGCTGCGCAAGACGCTGAGTGACCGCTACCCTTCTATATTCTGGCTGGACCGGTGATCCCACCATCATCATAAACACAAACTATATTTACGATAGGAAAAAAAAAAAAAAGCAAATGACCATACTCATAAAATGTGAGATGACTTGCAAACACATACACTACTATCATTAATGAACTGTGTTACATAAAACTCATTAAGAAAATGACTGTTCAGCAAACCTAATACAAAAAGCCTTGAGATTATAGAGCAAATATTACTCATATTACTCTTATTAATTATGCTGCTGTTTTTCTTCAATCATGGCACCCTTTAATTAGAATAAAGTGGTTAGGCTGCATTCAGAAGATGAATATAGATCTTATTGATCACCATTAATCACAGAGCATGCATCATACACTGAAGACGCAGGCCCAGTCCTGCAGTGGTCTCACTCTAAGTAAGTACACACTATACAGCTCCATGAAACAACAACACAAAAGATATATTTTTCCATCCATATTGTTTTTAAAATTGTTGTATATATTTCTGTATTTATACTGTCTTGAGGTGGTAGTGTCAGTCCAAGTACATGTGTTAATAATAAATAAAACTGGACAAACTCTATGACCCACCCTGATTCTTTGGTGACTTGTTGAGTGAGTAAAAGTGATACAGGATGTGAAAGTGCGTTGCTACTTACTAGCCATTCCTGATTAACGGCTGGAGACAGCTGTAGTGGAGACTGGGCTGTTTAAGACGGGCTAATGCTCTTAAGTTTATAAGCAGAGGACATCGTGACCCCACGTTACTGCATCAGCCTCGTTCAGACGACGTCATACTGTTTACCTGTGTAACACAAACACGTTCCTCTGCTGGAGCTGTGTGATTGAAACTACATCCAAAACTGAATTATAAGACCATGTTAAAGTAATTTCAAATCTTTACAGGTTATAGATTAATTGACTGAATCAGTATCAGATAGACTAAGAAATAGTTTATACAAACAGAATACAGCAGGAATGAGTCCTAAAACCCGGAAATTAGTTAGCATTTAATCACTTCCGGTTCTCTCATCTCGAAGTTTATGGGTTGTTTTCATGGGGTTTTGATTAGATTAGGTCTGTGGTTAACACAAGCTCAAGACATTTTCACGCTTTTTTTTCTACAGCATAAAATATATCAGTAAATGCCCCAGTCGTGATTTCTTTAAGTTTTTACATCTCTTAAAAAGGCCAGTCACTAACAAATGGCTAAATCAGACTACAGAGGTCGGGATTTAAGACGTCATCACGCCGAAGAGGAAAGTCGGTGTACTCCATGGTAACATGGATATATTATAAAGTCTTATAACCCCATAAAGGTATGATCCACTCACCAGTCCGCTTTGACAGCCTCGTTGTGTTTATACTCGCGCTTTGCAAACTATTAATAACTCTACTACTACAACAGCTCTACTTTAGCGCTAATTAGCAACTTTTAACAAGCTGCCATGCTAAACTAANTTGTAAGAGGGGAAGCTTTTGTAGAGAAGGTGATGGCTAAATCGTTCGAATTTGTAAATTCAAAGTTTATCAGTGGTGACGTTGAAGTCATGTGACCGTGGTGTAGTTCGTTTTTAGCCTAACATTAGCTTTTTTAATTCTTTTTAATTCTCCATTTGTGAAGATTGTCTTGCTAAACAAAACGTGTATGTATCACAAACTTTTGTTAGTCACAGAACTTATTTTCTGCAGTATTCCAAAAGCCAGGGTGATGCTAACTTCCCGGGTTGGTCTACAAAATATATCATCCCTGCAGCAATCTAGGATGGCTCAAATTATTACATGACATCAAGATGACATGCACCCACCACTTCTGTCCAGACTGAAATAGCTCAACAGCTATTGGCTGGATTGATCCTTCTTCTATGGTGCCCTGGAGATGAAACCAAAAACCTCAGCTCTACTTTAGTGCTAATTAGCAACTTTTAACAAGCTGCCATGCTAAACTAAGATGGTGAACATGGTAAACATACCTTCTTAACATAAGCATTTTAGCTTTGTCATTGTAAGCACGTTTTACATGCTGATGTTAGCATTTTGCTAGCACTGCTGTTAAAATTGGTGTAGACTCCTGATAACCTTATTTTGTTTTGAGTGAATATAGGGAAGTATTTTAAGCATTTTTAGAAGAACAAAAATTATTCAGCAAAGCACACGTCATGCAGTTTGTCATTGACATTTTATTTTGCGGTGTTAATATTAAGAACTTCCAGTCTGGTTAAAAAAACCTCAAAAGCACTTCAGTATAATAAAGGCAAATGTGGATTTAAAACATGAATACAGCAGCTCTGTTTATTTTTATCCTGGAGACTTCTGAGGCTGGTGGCAGTGTACCATCTGCAGCCAACCTGTCTGACATTATGTTCATCACAGCAGCTGAGAAAATATCCCTACTGCCACCATCCAGGCTGAATGTAAACATCATGATACAAAAAAATTGCATAAAAGATTCGCTTTGGAATGCACCAAATTTTCAGCTCAGGGCAGATTCATCAGGACATCTCTGAGGATTAAATAACTCCAGTTCATACCATTTTCAATAAAACATTAGAATATTATCTGCAATATACTACAGCCCTCTTCCAGCATTGTGTATAGAAAATCTATGGAATGAAAAAAGGTGTCAGTCTATCATATTATCATAGGAAATAGTATAACAAGTAAGAAATGTTTGTAGTGTCTCTATCAAAGTAATGTCTCCACTTCAATACTTTTGTGTTAAAAGAAACACTATAAAAGAAAAAGGCTCAGGGGTCTACCACCATTCGTTGCCCTCTCACCAGGATTTCATCAGAGAAAGACAGTGGAGGAAGAAGAGGCACAAGGAAACAATTAATTTTTGAAGCTCAGCTTATGCAGTGTTGTTCTATCTGCCTCTGCTGCTGGAGTCAGTGCTGTTTGGGACGCTTGGGGTCGTACTTGAGGAGCAGGCCGAGGGAGGCAAAGCCAAACAGAAAGGTCTGGAAAAACCACAGGAAGCGAGTGCCCATGTTGTTGATACCTTTGTCACTGCGGGGATGTAGAGAAGAAGCAGAGAACAAATGTCAAGCTACTGTAGCAGCTGTTTTATTGTGTCCAAATCCTAACAAATCCTCACATACATGGCCTTTAATGACCTTTAATTTAGAATAATTTGCCACTAAAACATTGAAAAATAGATTCCTAAGAAATGAGCCAACAAGTGATGAATGAAGAAATATTATGCTTATCTGATGAGTTTCTAAAGTTTTGGTTTATATTTACTCATTGGACAAATGTCAATCAAGAATTACTTATTTACTGCTGTCAAAAAATAATGCTGTCCTAGAAAAAACACATCACCTTTGATGTTTAATTATACTGACACATGGTGCAAATAGTGTGTTTGAGATTAGTTTTTAGGTTTTAACAGGCTATGACATTTTTGATGAGGCCCAATTTCACAATGGAGGTTTGAGGGAAGCAGGTTTATAAAAAGATTAGGGTGCACCACCCTCTAGTGGACAATAAGGTTTTTGTCATGCTTACCTGCACACCTTCAATGCAACAATGGCCTCAAAGACATGAATAGCAAAGGCTGCCCACCACCTATAACAGACAGAGATGTGTTCAACTCCACAGACTTTCTATTCAACAATGATAATTTACACATTATCTAAAGAAATAATTAGAGTCTTGAGTTTGAAATTCAGATGGTGGTGCGGTGTGAGAACAGTGAAACTTTCACACCATGGTTTGTTTTTCCTGCTACCACGACATCACTGGGTGTCGAATTAACGGGAGTCATATGACAACCTAAAAAAGATCAACCACTTCACATGTATCCAACCACAAAAGACTGAACAACGACTTCCACTTCAACCCTCCTCTCATAACAGACTCAGGCTTAAGCGCTGTCCTGTATGTCACATGACTTAACCAACAACAAACCATCATTCTTTGATTGTTGTCGTAATACCCTGGTTGTGCTGCAAGAGTCAGTGTGACTTAAATGACAAATTAGCACCGAGTGGAAGTGGTTGTAACGATCTGTTAAAGGTGAAAAACATTAAGGCTTTAGTTGATTGAACTGTGTATTTCAGCCCTGTGAAATCACCTTGCACATCATTTTATTGTCATTGATGCTGCTCTAGAAAATCTAGGGAAGTGATTGGTTTTGATTCTAATGAGGAATATATCGATATATATTTTCAGAGTTTATGAGGACAATTGAATTTGTGTCTTCCATATCAAACTATTCTGAATAGAAAAACTAACTATGCTTGTCCACAGGATTTACAGTATTTCTGATTCTAGCAGGAGCCACAATGGTACAATGAAGTTTAAACACTTACCCTTTGTACATAATGCCAGCATAATTATCCACAAGGTATTTGCAGAAGGTGCCGAAAAGACCAAGGTACTCAAATGGGATTTTTTCTGGCGCAAACACGGTGCACTGCAAAACACAGACACAGTATTTCAGCATTAACCCTACTATACATAATGCTGTATATTTTTAGAAAAAAACTTTAAAAATTACAGAATCTGTCTTTTTGTAAGCACACTGCAACCTATTTAGTACTCTCACACATGACCTTTTCAGAGCTTCTTTACCCAAAAACACGCAACTCAGAAGTTCAGTGAGTCCTAAACCGACTGTTTCAGTAGTCACAAGACTTTTTGTGGTGATAACCACTATATAATAATCTGGCATGCATTTCGTGGCACACAGCTGACTTTGGTCCCCAGTGTTCTGGTGCATTTAAATTTCAATACTTGAAACTCCAGAGCTAGTCGACATGAACTATCATCTGTCTGCTCTTAGGGAAATTGGTTACTGCTTCAGTTAGGAGAGGCCCAGTTACAATAATGAACTGTAGAATACCTTATGAGGTCTCCTGTTTGTGGAATGGCTCTATGAATGGCTTCTTTGCAGCAGTTTGGATCATAACAGTAACAGCAGTATGTACGGCAAAGAGCAGCCTTGTGAGATATGCCACATAAATTCCATTTGTTACAGTTCTGGAGGAAGATCAGTTCTGCATCATGTTGAGTTTTGGTGGTTTGATATTTAAGTTTTGTCATGTGAAATGGAATGAGAAGACCTGTTTTTAGACTCTGAATCTTACTCCATATCTTCTATGTTACTCTCCCCCAAACTTCAAATAAGTTCACCTGATGACATCTTATCTGGTAATTTTACCATGTTGACTTAATGAAAACAACACTATCTTACAGATGAAGGAATCTGAAATGATACAATGATATTTGTGGGTATATTTTCATTATAAAATGAATCTGAATTATTCATTTATTTTTGTATTCTGTTCCCTCAATTCATTGCATCATACCCAAAAGAGTGACATCAACAGCTGTTTCTTTTTAAGACACACTTGCCAGGTTCCTTTTAGCCTAATTACATGACTGCCTTAAATAATTCATCAAGCACACTTTAGGTGCTGTTGTACACAGAAACATGAGTATCAAACATACTGGAGACATACAACAAACCACATCACAGTGAACTCCTAAATATTTAATGTTGCATTGTGTTATGCTGCTGTTGTCCCCCTCTGTCCACCTGTGACCTGTCAGGTATGTGTCCATGTGGACTATGGATGGAACATGGAAAACACAAAGGGCTATTGTTGGAAGGGCCCAGACACTGCAGTTCATTTATGGTTAGACTGTCAAACACACATCTAAAAGCCAAATTGTGTGTTTCTTCACTTATTACTGATTATGAAATCACTTATAAACAATTAACCCTGTTGTATATTTGTTTGTTATTTTCCGAATACTCTAAGGTGCCTGTCTACGTTACTGTACACGTGGCAAGTGATGGTTAAAGTTTACACGAGCCTTTTAACGATATGTAACCATTTAGATGGAGAATTACACCGAATTGCGTTGTAAATGTTGCATGTTTTTACATTGTCGCCTTTCTGTCCAGCACAGCAACGCATCTCTGTCAACTGTGAAGACATTTTACAAATATTTTTAGTCTATTGGTCTATTGACATTCATTTCATGGACCAAGCACTAGTACATTAGCTACAACCAACCCCCAGTATCTGCTGACTACCTGTGTAAACTCTACAGTCCCCGCAGTGTAATTTGTGAAGGAACATTTTACCAGTGATGCAAACGTGTAACATTTAAACTAACAATCACATTTTGAATACAGTTTGGCAAGTTATTGTTTTCTTTTATAAGACATCGATCGGTTTGGAGCAAATATTAGCTACAGTCAGCTAACTACTACAGTGGACAGTTAACTTTGTCCAGTGGACTTTGTCCAAATGTTTGTTTGACCTGAGCTGCTGACAAATCACTGAATGAATCCCGATAAGATTCGCTGTCAGCGGCGGTGACTTGGCAGTGACCTCGGAGGATACTTTTCCCGACAGTGTTACAAAATATCAACAGTTGACTGGAAATATAGAAATACGTTTAGATATATGTCTCCAGAGGTCACATAAGGCACGATATGTGATATTAATGAGAATAAACCACGACCCGGAGGACATTATACGCAACACAACACGGTGGCATTTACAAAGAGAAATTATGTCAAATACTCGTCCTGTCTTAACTCTATCTTACTTCAAATATAACTTATGAACTTACAGTAAAATATCCAACCGAGAGTGTCACGGAGACAATCCAAAACAGGCTGGTTCTTCTAAAGTAATCGCATCCATCACTTTTAGCCATTGCTACTGCTGCTTTGCGCTGGTGTCGCTGTCAAATATGACCGGGTAGTAACAGCGGTGAGAGAAAAACTGACGGGGCGGCGGGGCGGTGTGGTTCTATATGAATGGAAAAGTATAATAGAAAAATATAATATGAAGCATGCTTTGACTGTAACTTATCAGTTAATACCACTGTGAAGTTTTCTTGTTGTTATTTATGGGTTTATATGAAATTAAAATTATTAAAATTAAACCGTTAAATACAGTATTATAATATCATTTCGCTTCAGTGCTGCCCTCTTGTGGCTCTTTGCTGGGATTTTCTCAAAGAAGATGTGTATGAAAAAATAAAGGAATATGGACATTACAGAAATAAACGTCTGAAAGAGATATGAAGCTAATTAGGAAATTAAGTAAGTTACATAATGTGTACTAAAGGTGATTTTAGAAGCCCGTTGCCAGTTTCAAACTTTAAGAGAAACCAAAATGCTTCTCTGTGAATTTAAATCTTTGTTCGGTTTTCTGAAACATTCCTGGAGCTGTCTCACCACAGTACAGACTTATCTAAATTAGCTGTTTGTTTCTAGTTTCTAGTATGAGGCATTTTTGTACATAAATATCATCCTAAGGATGAAAATACCGACACTGAATATACAAACTTTTGAATATACGTAATTTTCCTACTGTAAACACAGGATAATCTGAATTGGTATGTAGCATGGACACCAGTGTGAAGAGATCAGTTTAGTCACTGTTTATTAAGACTTTGTCCTATTGCCTCTATGCAAACCTGCTAAATGTTATATAGACTTTGATTCATACAGAACCAATACTATAATTCTACTTCGTTGTGTTCTGACTCTTCCCAAATACTTTCATGACATATTTTGGATGTATGGAAGTATGGAGCTGCACAAACAGAAAATTGAAGAATTGGATGTGGAAAGAATGATGTGCATCAACTTCTGTTTGAGTTTAATTATCTCTATATATTTCACTGGTAGCTGATAAATAGTAATACTAATGTAATAAAATAAGACATTTATTTTCTGTTTTTATTCTGTTGCAAGAGAGCAGAACAAATCCAAACTGTAGTTAGCAAAATGGAACTATTACATTAGAGGCAAATTGTGATCAGATGACATTTTGTTTGTCTAATATACAGGTCTCTATAGAGTCAAGACAAAACTAAACAAAGCTCTTTATAGTGATTTTACATTAGCTGAATAGCGTATGGGCTGAATCAGTGTTGTTTTTATCACTCAATCATTGTATGTAAACTTGGTCACAGCAAATATTTAATCTGCTGAAATGGTGTATTGATAAGAATCTTTCCCATATTATTATTTTATCTCATTAATTTTAGATAATAACATATATGCTAGTGTTTAAGTATGAATGTCCAGAATTAATTTAAATCCCGATTTCACATTAGTGAATTTGGCAGCTTTCACTGTTGGCACAGTGTTGCAAAATGCTGATGTCTGATAGGATTTGGATAAAGCATATAGAGAGTTGAGGGACTTTCAGGAGCCGTCTCCACACCTGGAGACATTGATTGTGCTGGTTGTCCAGATAAAGATAAAAAGAAATGGTCTGAGCTTGTGTTGCTTTAGATAACTCTAACTTCAAGCTGCATTGTTTTCTAATACACCTAAAAAAAATACTGTAAATCTGCTTCTGCACTTTGTCCTTTAGGACTGTTTGACTCAGTATGTTAGTGTTTACATTTTCAGTGTATTTGACTATAGCTGCTGCTCTGAAATTATTAAGTGCAATTATTAAAGGTCAAGACTATAGTGTCAACAAGCGTAGGAGGATATAGAAAGCAAGTGTAAATATATAAATATAAAAGATTTCATGTTAGTAATCACAAGGCTATATATTTGACATATTGAGGTTAAAGGTCACAGCATTTGCACACAGCTCAGTCATGGCCCGGACATGTTAAACCCTTTGACAAGCTTGCCACTCACTTTGATGCATTTATTCATTGTAATTAGGCTGGTGTGTGGTGTGTAGTGTGTACAGAGTAACTGTCCAATTAATCACTGAACAATTAGCCACCTTTGTTTTTCTTGTCGTGATAGCAGGGAGCTGCTCTGCATATGAAAAGAAAACAGGAGCCGCTGATAGGCTTCAGCTCAGAGTACTAGTTTGTATTTTGCTTGAGTCTGTGGGTTAAATATTTCTTGAAGGCTATTGTTGGTTGATCAATGTTCCACAGTTTGTGAAGCTGCCTGTGTTTGTGCTTAACTCTTATCAGATGACTCCCAGGAGCCAGATTTCAATTAAAAGGAAGCCTTGAAATATAATAAGATATATCTGTAGTCTAACTTAAAATGAAAAAGTACAGAAAAATACTGGAATAATATATATTCATATGCACTATAATAAAATTAATTCATTACAAATCACTTAACATAAAACATAAAACTCAAACACACAGTTAAACTATTTGTCATAATTAAAATACCAACAAAACGGACAAAAAATGGATTACAAAAACAATTTCTACCTTTAGGCGTATTTGATTTGTCACATGTTCATTGGCACAAAAATACAACTAACCACATGTTTGTCGTTTGTTAGTAAAGTGGTATCGATGAGGCTAACGACCTTCTTTTGTCTCACCTACACTGTGTGATATTTACCATTGACCTTGCCACTACTTTGATAGGGATTAGGTGATAACAGGGGGGTGGAAGGGCCACTGTGGTCAGAGTACTGCTGTTAACCACCCATCCTCAAAGTAAACCAGCACCCCACACCCCATCACTCTGTTCTGGCTTTACCATGGCCTTCTGGGCTCTCAGGTGATCGATATAAAAGATACCCTGATCCAACCAGGAGACACTTTCAGAGACTCTCAGCGAAGGAGCACACTGCCTTACTGACCTCTGTGCCATCAGAAGTCCATTAGAAATCCATTTGTGTCTACAGAGCTTCATTCATTTAACTGCTGCAATGTGGAAGGACTCCAGCAATGGTAAGAGCTGTTTTATAGTCTATAAAAAGAAAAAGATTTGGCTTGTTGAGATAATCAAAAAAAATGTGTTTTTAGTCTGTTTTGTTTCTTTTATTCATAAACTGTAGCCAGGTCTTAGTTTATGTAAACTTTGTGTATGATCAGTGTTTATTAAACCTGCCTGCTGCACCAGGTGGATGGGTTTTACTGCACCAGGAAGACTTAGACAGGTTGTGTCAGGCACTGTGCCAATAACAGAAAATCCCCTTAAAATGAATTTCAGATTCCTATGTTAGGTTGTGTATACATTATCAGCACTTTTGGCATGTAGTAGAAAGCAAAACACACCAACGATACCACATGGGCTGAAAATGAACATTTCTTCAAGAATAAATTCAATTATTAGAACCAGGTTTGGTGTGATGAGTAAATAAATACTAGAAGACTGGAAACTGCATGCTTTTTTTTTTTTTTATAAGCTAGAGTCCTTTATAGTCTCGATGTAAAAAGAAACAGGCCTGCTGCACCACTGAGCACTTTGTTGCTGGACAGTAACTCTCTCCTTACTTCTTCTTTATTCATAAACTTCAAAATTCAGATATTGCAACAACAGAACCATGCATATAGAAAAGGCAAGGCAGTTAGCCTAATCATATGTATCACTGTACATCTTCACCATAACGCACTGGTGGGGTGCATGGTTTAGTTGCATATAGTGACCAGACAGTCCTTGGTTCAGTTAAAGAATTTATGCAGAACAGATGAATAATAAGGAAAGAGTTCCTGTCTGACCCGCTCTCCTCTCTTCCCTCAGATGATGCCAGATCTGCAGCCTCCAGCAGCGGCTCCTCTCGCAGCGCTAGCCGCAGGAAGAGAACCAGTTTCTCCAAGGAACACGTGGAGCTCCTGCGTGCCACCTTTGAAACTGACCCGTACCCTGGCATCAGCCTCAGAGAGAGCCTGTCCCAGACCACAGGCCTGCCAGAGTCACGCATCCAGGTACACAGCCACCCCGCCTTATATAGCAAGAAGCCTTATCTGTGGAATAGATAATATAATATAATATATCTTTATTAGGGCAACTGGATACTAGTGTTGATTAAATAGAAACATGCATGTTTTAAATATAAGTACATACAGAAAGTACAAACATACACATGTATGGTTGTGCTGCAAGGCATTTTGCACTGTGGTTTCTTATCATAAAAAGCCTCTGTTTTCAAATGCATCCTGCATAGAAATGTAGATACCACTATCACTCTATCACTTTATTTCTTTATCTTTAGAGATGACACAAGCAGCTTTTATCAGGATCTTGTTTGACTGGACAGATAGACTGTACAGCAGGCTCTGACAGCTGAGAACTACTAGATTTGCTCTGCTCCTACTTCACTGGTGCCTGGAGAATGATTAACAGAGCAGAATGTGTTGCTTTATCTCTCCTGCTTTGGATCTAAACTCCTTTTTATTCTATCTTTCCTGTCCAGGTGTGGTTTCAGAACAGAAGAGCTCGCACCCTGAAGTGCAAAGGAGCCAAGAAAGCTCTGTGGCAGTCTGATACCCCAGTCCAAGAGGCTCTCCCTCCACCTCATGCTGTTGCCAACAGGAGACCACAACTTGGCCCCATCCCTCTGCCACCTCAGGGACCCCCACCAGCCTATCCAACCCAGGTGAAGGAGGAGATGGAGGAAGCCTGCTACTATGGACAGTATCCTCCTGCCTACTCCACCATTGAGGAGCATGGACATTACGGCTCCATGTATGGCCTCCAGCAGGGCAGAGCGCTGGGCAGCAGCTCAAGCCCACCCCTGGGGGGATACTGGTCCCAGCCAGGCAGCCAAACCTCCCCTCACTCGCCGCTGTGGTGCCACTCTCCCATGGGGATGAGAAACTACAGCTCAAGCTCCAGCCAGGCCGCATCCTTCATGTATCCAGGATCAGCAGAGCAGCAGACGTACATGACTTCATCAACCTCCCACTCCTCCACCCCAGACACCCCCGATTCTGGATACTGGGATGCCAGTCTGGAGAACAGCCCACCACTGGAGGGTCAGTACTTGCAAGTGGAGGACTCAGGGAGCGGGGTTGCTGTGGAAGGCTGCGGGGAGTCCAGGCATCCGAGGCTGATCCAACACCACACCCCTTTGCCCGAGCTGTCCCTGCAGGAGATTCTAGGGGAGTTGAACGAGGACTGGCTGGGAGGAGAAGGACTGGATAACCATGCCACTGTGGAGAAAATGGCTTTCTGCTGATGACTGTTACAAGGATTTACAATGGACATTTAGAAATCATATGTATTACTTTGATTTTAGCCATTTGTGTATTGCTTCTGAGATATGTACATAGAAAAAATACCAAGAGCCTGAAACTGGATCCATGTTTTCAAAATCCTGCAATCCTAAATGTTTTTTTATTTATTCCATACTGACTACAGCCTGTTTTGGTTAATGTATTTATTCATCTATTCACTATTTATAACTTGTATTTATGATTTTCTGCACTTTTATACAAATAAATCAGTAGTAATAAAGCTTTGTACAGTTTTCTTTGCTTTTTTTCCATCCAGGGATTTTGTGTTAATTTACTACAAATAAGATTCAGCTCCATTTGTTAATGTCAACAGAGTGTAATCCATTGCATGAAATCTTCTGGTATCCAGATGTGACAGATTTTCTATCAAGCTGGAAGAAAAAGTAGGTCACACACTACAACCAGTAGATGGTGCATGTGAGTTGGGAAAAGAAGGAGAGGGCAACTGATTTCTCTCTGACTCTGACGTTGTGGGGATATGAGACCCAAAATGAAGGCTTTTGTTGCAGATTAATGAATTCTCATTTGAAAAATGTGATTATTTTTAGCTGGTTAAAAACAAATTTCCTCTTATCTTCTTATCATACAGTATGATGAAGTTTTTGATATGAAACAGTGCCCATTTGAATGTTTTTTTTCCCCCTAAAAAGTGTTTTAGGTATTTCATAGGTTGATATTTGACATTTGAAGCCTTAAAAGTGACAAAATATATTAAAAGATTCTCAGAAAGTGAAGAACATGGCTGAACACATCAATAAACTGTAGTCCTAGGTGAACACAAGAAACATGCACTTGAAGAAGCAGATAATGTTATAAAGATAGAAACAGGGTTTCTGTGAACCTGCATGGGGCGTTAGGTAGCTATTTTTGTTGGCGTTAGTCTGCCAACTAAAATGCTCTAGCTACCATAGCTAGAGTTTGTACAGAGATGCTGCAGCAGGTCAGGATGTGGATGATCAGCAATACATGCACCAGCTGCTGTAGTTTTATGACAAGAGTTAGCTTCAGCTAAGCAGCTGGCTAGCTACAAAGTCTCTTAATTGCTCCACTAATGTTAGACACACACACACACACACACACACACACATACACACACACACACTTGTACAGCTCTACATCTTTGTGGTCCCCACAAAGCTCTTTGGATCCCAAAAGCATAGTGGGCTCTCAGTTTTCAGACCCCACGAATATAGTAAAACAAGCCCATACCCACATACTACACACACACTTGTGAGGAAAAGATGTGTGTCAGAAATTGTGAATAGATTTGCAGAGAAAAAGGAAAATTAGGGAGCTGAAAAACAAAATGAGCTAGTCACAGATGACTGAAAGATAAACAGAAGAATAAATAATTTAAGTTTTAATTTATTTATTTTATGAACTGATGGTGGTGTATTTCTTTTCCTGCAATAACTGATTTGAATTTGACCACTTGTGGGTAGCAGGAATAAGTTGTGCAAATTTGTTACCAATTAAAATTTGTAGCAAACGCAGAGCAACATTATCATTCATTTAGAGTTGTTTGTGTCCATGTGATGAATGGTGTTGGATATTTACTCTCTTTTAGCTCTATTTTTGGTCTCTACAGCTCCAGAGGGAAATATCAGGCACTTTAGCCAATAAATATTCCACTATGGTAACCAGCTAGTCTCTAACTGTGTCTACCTGCTGTTTGATACTGAGCAGGTTTTGTACAATGAGTTTTAAGAGCTTTTTCATTGAAAACAGTTGCCCTGAAAATGAGAGCAGTGAGAGTGAACCAAAACAGTATAGTTGCAGGCCAGACAGTTAAACAATCCCATACACAAATGTAATAAATGTACATTTATTGAATTTCCGTATGTGAAATATATGTACATATAAAATAAAAGCATATGTGCAAAAATTATGAATGAAACCAATTAGAAATTGGAACAATTTCATATTCATACTTTATATTTCACATTATATCTCTAGCCCATACAAATATGTATGTTTATGTATGTATACTTACATTGTAGACATATGTTATATAAATATATAGCCATCCCGAAGCCTGTCAATATATGTTGATATTATATACAGTGGGTTTCAAAGTCTGAGACCACTTTCCCAGAATGGGAAGATGAATGAAGAAATTACTGAGAAAAAAATTCTAGAACTTTAATATGTAAGTTGTCTTAATAAAGTTTTTCTCTCCTTTTGTAATACAAGACTTTATGGAAAAGACCATTCTCCGTTTGGTTCTTTTTACTGAACATCAGTTGGTCCGCCATAAGGTACTGAGGGTTAAATTGTCAGGTCAAGATGAAAGAAATATCATCTTTTTACCATTTGCCAAAGCCCCCTGTGTGTATCAGCCCTCTGTTTTCCCCTGACCTGATGACCCCAGCACACATTTCTTTATCAAACATGCAATGGAAAAACCCAGGACAGTTCACAGGATGTTAGGCTTGAGGCTTCACACTGTTTCCCACAAGAGTGAAATGTGCTCAAGTTGTTTATACTGTTTTGGCCTCCTGCCTTCATCCTCAAGATGCAAGGAAGGGTGTTGTCCTTTTGTTAGTGTCTGGCGTGGGTTCCTGTTCCCAGAAAAAACACACAATAGGCAGGAGGGAACGTGACTCTTCGGCCTGCTGTAGCCACTAAAGACAGAGGATATTTTGCAGACTGTCGGCGTCTGACGTGTGTTGGGCAGGTGTTCGCCTGCACAATGCTCAACAAACAAGATGCGGACAGCTGAGGGAAGAGAAAACCACCAAGAAACCAAAGTAGGATTTCAGTAGGGACTTTCTAATGTTGATGCCAGTAGTTTTGGACTAAAGCTGCAAATCATATTTTCTTTTCTGAAAATGTGACCACTCATGTATTCAGAAACTGAGCCTTAAAACAAGCCATCAGTACTTCTGTAACTTTGTGATGTCACAACAAAACCGTCACCACCCTCAGCCATGCCCCAAGCCCCGCCCACGTGGACCCACCATCCAATTTCTTGTGAATACCTGAAATCTGCTATATTTTTTTATTGGATCTCACAAATAAACTGTGAGCCAATCAGAAGAGAGACTCAGAGATATCAAAACTTCAAATTAAACGCCAGAAAAGTGTAAAATATGGGACCTTTTAAGACAGTGAAAGACATGGGTTGATCAATCTTCTGGTAAAAGCCACACACACACAAAACTGAAACAGATGACAGTCAGTGAAGACAACTGTGAACTGTTTCATAATTCCTCTTCAAGCTGTCAGCAATTCTTGGAATAATGTTGTTAGTGAACAGACTTTCCCAGAATTGTAATGGTTCTCATTACGTTCTTTTTGAAACACAAGTGGGACATATCGTTGATCGTTCGTTTACCTACATGAGAAAAGTAAGATGACGTGATCCTTTGACAGCTCCCACAGTTATTAAACGAGTCAACCGTGAAAACACTATTATCCATCAGACCTTCAGAGGTCGGTGTAAACGGGATCTTCCCAATTAAACATGCTTCAAAGAAATATTTATGGTGCTAATCAGCTGCCTCTGTTTACTGTAAGTCATTTAGCTCGTTCCTCCTCATCTTGACCGTGTTACAGTCGGCTGTGATTGCATAACAGAGCCATTTCCTCTACAGCTACAATTCAACACGTAGAGTGTAGGATCATGCGGCTTATCATGTGTTTCAGGGTTACTAAATAATACAAAGGTCCATCCTCTTTACCTATTAGCCTACATCCAGACATGTTGTCGTTGATTCAGCTGAGCAGTTGATGTGATGTGTGGTTGTGTATGTGTGTGTCTGTGTTTGGATGTGTCTAGTGATGTTTTTGCATGACCAACATGTCTGACATGACCCACATTCTGCTGCAGACGTCTACATACTCCCCCTCTCTGCCTCTCAGCCTTGTCTGTGACTGTTACACACACATGAACCCAAAGAATGGTTATCAGACTCCTCAGCCAGAACACTGGCGGTGAATTATTATTTACAATTACATGCAAACCTACGCGCACGCTGACACCCACATAAAGTAACGAAACAGCATAAACTGTTTCTGAGGAATGGTCTCATTTTGTACCTGCTCGCCAAACACACACACACACACACACACACACACACACACACACACACACACAAGTGTTAACAGCTCCGGTGTTGAGCAAACTGGGGGCAGACAGGCGTGTGAGTGATGGTCCTCAGCTGTTGGCAGACACAGGGATGAAGCCTAGCCTTCACTAAAAATATGGCCTGTAATTTAACCAAACCCTCCCAGGGAGTCCACGTTGGCCACACGGTCTAATTTAGGAGCTCATCTGAGAGCTTTGTGATTGCACTGCGCCACTCTCTGCCGTCTACCGCCTCATCTTCAGTTTGCAAGACCGTGATTGATGGTGATCAGTGACAGGGAACAGGGAGGACGTGTGTGTGTGTGTGTGTGTGTGTGTGTGTGTGCGAGTCTGCATGTGTGTTCGTATGTGCGTACTATACAATCGACAAGATAGAATCTGGAAACTGGATAGGAGACATGGGAGTGAAGAGCTCTTGCATTTGTTTGCCTTTCCTAAAATAGAACCACTCACCGGCCAGACTGCAGTCATCTGCAAATAGACTGATGTAATACTATACTATTGAATATTTGTATTTTCATTCATATTCATTCACCGTGCATAAAATACATAATAAACACACTTTTATTTCAGCTGAAACACCGTTGTCTATGATGAGAACACACACAGTGAGTAGGCATGTCTTGTGTTTACAACTCAGCATATTGACAGGTGAATATGCTGAAATGCACAATGCTGAAAAACCAACATATATTTTATTGAAGCCTCCACCTTTAAATTTAGCTCCATACAGAAATAGACAGTTGATATTAAATGTCAAGCACATGGGAAATAAGGTCAGCAGCTCACTAATGAACTCCTGGGCAGCAGTGTCTTCTGGTACCTGCCAGCGCTAACCTACAGTATAGCAACCTAATAAACCAGATACACCGCATGAACGCAAGATGTGCCCTTCACAATCTGTCCTTATAAAATAATGGAGCTTTACATGGATAACTCCTCACAAGAATATAACAGGGATGTTCGGGTGATAGCACAGGAGATAAAAATGTGTGGATGGGTAAGGTGACATTAGAAACTTATTTTTAACAACCACAGAAACAGTATATGAGTACCATCATGAAACTCTCAGTATTAACACAAGGGAATAAAAAACATAAAATATAATAGGATCACGAGTATAGTATCAAATGTAAGTAATGTGTCATTGCCTCTTTAAGAAACTGGTTGGCTTCATGGTCTTAATGGAAAAAAAAGACTGTATTTGTTATGTGATTTAGACTTAAGACTAAGTACATTAGTGTGCTCATTATATGATGATTTAGGGGCCACCCTTTAGTAAAATGTCTCTCAGCTCTTTTGGTTGGATGATTATAAACAAGGCTCAGAGTCTATGGCCTGTGAGGCTGTAATAATTATTTGAAGGAAAACCAGGCTGTTGCATCGATAAACCAAATTATTAATCAAAAGGAAATGTTTGACACAATGATGGTACTAGATGAAAAGTCAGAGGATCATTAAAGTTTACAGAAAACATGAATTGCTGCATCGATCCATCCGCCACCCTGAACCATCCTCGTGCTGGCACTAGAGGAAAAGCCTGGGGATCACCAAAGTCATTGGGATTCATTATTTTTGGGCCATTAATGGCTGTACCAAAATTTGTGCCTTTCCATCTTTTAGATATTAAGACATTTCAGTCTGGAGTAAAGCCATGAGCCATGAATATAGAGTCCCACTGCCTGCTAAAAAAAATGTTTTTTAGGTAAGGAACCTATTTTGTGGCTGAATTTATCTTATTTGTAGTTTATTTGTTTGAATTGCAATGTTACATATAAAACGTTTCTAACTTCTAGGTGCCTCATAAATTCCTGTGATGGACACTCATATCTGCACGACACAATCGATAACATAACGAATTACATACACTATAAATCCCTGTACGAATATAATATGTGTCAATACTCAAAAATATAATTTACAGCTGTAGTGATGTGAGAACCAAAGTAACTCTGGCACAAAAAACAGTCACTATCAGCAAAAATGTAGATGAGGCAAAATCCATCCGAACTCAATATAATCTGCTTCAGATAAGAATAATTTACCCACCTTTTAATAGCTAAAATTCCTCTCATAAATAACTTTAAGTGGTGTCACAGATATTTTTCTGTTCTGTTCTGTTCTGTTCTGTTTGATGACACATGCTGTCTCCAGTGACGCACTCCAGCAACATTATTATTATTACCACAACTACTGAAATATTGACATCCTGGATATGATTTTTATGGATGCATTATCACATCCGATGACAAAATCTGGATTATCAATCATTATAAAAACATCTCTTTATGGAATTATTATAAAATATTTAGAGCTTGACTAGAATTTAAAATTAAGCTGTTTAGGTTTGCATGGGGCTGCATCAGAAGCTCATCTGGCTAAGTGTGTACCATGACCTGAGTCCTTAATTCAGTGGCCCGGGTTCAGATCCACCGTGGGCTCTGTCTCTTTTTTATTATTATTATCATAATAATAACGGAAGAAAATACCAGAAAAAATAACTTAAAACAGGTTCGCATGATGATGAATACAGATGTGTAACACCAAATAAATAGTATATAATATATGAAACATGGGCAGTAAAACCGTACAATGTAAAGTTGTGTTTAGATGAGGATACACAGCAGACTGGTGCTTGCTTGCCTTGTGTTGAGCTGGACTGGAGCTTAAAGCTTACCCACCTTTACCTATGGGAATGTAGTAGTATCGCAGTGATTGATGTTAGGAGTCTTTATAGCATCAGTGTGAGGTGCGTCTATCAGAGATCATCCCAGCAGGCTGAGATGTGTTATTCCACCTAGAAGCCCCCTTGTTGCTCGCCTGCCCAGCCCAGCACAGGGAGCCATGTCTCCGATGCAACACCTTCAGCAGGAGTACTACATGTATGAGGTAATTGTTGTTTGGTCATGTGAGCTGCTGCAGCAGCTGTCAAATGTGATGATAGCAGGAGAATCCTCGACCCCGCCCCCTGCAGATGATTGGACAGACCACAGCCGCCTAGGGACCATCAACCAAGAGATAAAGCTATAGAGGGACACACGGTTCATTTTCAACCAGAAAACACAGAGAAAGAGAGAGAGAGAGAGAGAGAGAGAGAGAGAGAGAGAGTTAAAAACCAAAATATTAATGCTGTGTTTATGCCAACACAAACTATAGCACATTTTATTTAAGAATATATAATAGTATTCAACACATTCAGCATGTGAATGTAAAAGTGTATGTTCATAGTATTTTTCAACTTTTTACCTGTTGGCAATCAGTTGTTATTGTGCGATTTCTCATAATGCTGCTGCATCCTCCCACAGAATCAGATACCAGTAATAGGAAGAAGTTGTGTTTCCTGTCGACTGTGACTCAGTTGATTATCGTGTAGTTTGTGTTTCAGTGAAGTGTGTAATACGATACAGGTTGTACTGCTGATGTATTTTGCTGCTTCCTCAATTGCACAATTTAAACTCTGACTGATTAACGGCCACACGACTCTACCAGGCACAGGACTTGTGCAGCATTTGTACAGACCTCTCAACACATGCTGACAAATGCTGTAGTCTAAACATGCCAAACTCTCAAAAACAGGCTCATACATTTACGCTGGAGTGATGTGACTTGACTTCTTAGATCTTTATGAATTTGGCATTTTAAGACAGGATGATTTTCATGATTATGCAATAGCTTGTCAGGGATTGCATCTTTATACATAATATGACTATGGCGGTTGGTGAATCAGCAATAAACAAATCTCATGGCAAATTACATGTTCTTTCAGAGTTGGAGGAGAAGTACATACTTTATTTTGTATAAAGGACCTGTAAACAGATGTGTGTTAAGAAGCTGATTGGTGAGATTTACCCCTGTATCCTTATTATCCTTGTAGAATTCAATAATTTGTTAGCTGACTTTGGGATCTCCCAGAGCTTTCAGACTTCCCCACATGCACTTGAGGAACATTTGGCCTAAAGAGCAGAGGGATGAAGACACACAAAAAAAAAAACATAGCCACGTGTGCAGGCGCACGCTCATTCCTTTTCCATTTGTAGAGAGACATGCTTTATTAAGATGGTTATGAGTGCGCTAATTCAAGGAGACAGCCCACACCTGGCCAACTGCTCCACAGAGGTCACATCTCTGTACCTCCCCTCCTTTCATAAACACATACCTCCTCCTGTGGCGTCTCCATCTGCAGCTCCCCACTCCCATCTCACATATCCCATCCATCCTACACACCCACATGCACACACACACACACACACACACACACACACGTAGATGGGCTACACATTAGCACAGTAAGGATAGATCATCTGTTCATCTCCTCAACCACAAAGTCATGTGAAAAGCAGACAGAGACTTCCCTAAATTTAGAAGCTAAAAGTTTATGACTTGGAGTTAGACTTCAGTTACAACATTTTGGTATCTAAATAAACAGGTGGCACATATTCTTGTATTTTAGGCTTAGACTTTATGACAGATGCATGTCTAGCCAAAGTGAAATCAATATCATATCAGCAGGCTTATTGTCTTTACTTGGGGAGTGGATGAGACTCACAGTGGGCTTATCATAATGTTCCTGGGCCATGTTTTCAATGTGACACCCTTACAATGTTCCAAGGATATTCCTAGGTATGTGGACTTATTGTATCTTTAGGTTATTAGTAAACTATAGGCTAATGGTACCACTGAGCCCTGTGGTGTGTGTGGTAGTCCTAAACACTGGCAAATTTATTATCTTATACTTCAGGATATTGTTTTATTTCCTCTGGCCCTAATATTCGTTAAGTTTATAGAGGGACTAACAGAATTCCTATGTATGTCTAATACCTTCCTAATATTTATGATGGTATTTCTTACAGTCCTTGGTCCACACGTCCCCACCAGGCGGAGTGTACTTTATCCAGAGCCCCTTGGTTTCAAATCCAAGCCCCGCCTCTCCACCAAGCGCACCCACCTTGTCCACCAGCAGCACAGTGCGCCAGGGAGCAAGAGCACAGGCGTGGGGTACACCGGGGAGCGGACACGGCAGACCGGCAGCAGCGCAGAGTGGCAGCGGTGGTACTCACCGGTTGTTACTTGTTTAGGAGAAACCGTATTGAGACCTCTTAGGACCGAGGGGTCCTGCTCATTTTGTCAGCCGTGAGAAGGGAACTCCTTCACGGCCAAATTTGGGAGTACCTTAACCGGTGGTGGGGAGGAGGGGAGAAAGATGCAGTTCGAGTCCGACTCCGTGCGCCGCGGAGTCCGCCTCCGACGCTGGTGATGCCCGCCGCGCGGGGATCACCGCCCAGCAGCAGCACCAGCAGCAGGAGCAGCAGGAGCAGCAGGAGGAGAAGGTCGGGACAACAGGGCGTCTGGGGCCGATGATGATGATGGTAAGGTCGGGATCATGGCTAACGGAACCGGCACTATCATGTTAAAATGCGTCGTGGTCGGAGACGGTGCAGTGGGAAAAACGTGTCTTCTGATGAGCTATGCCAATGACGCCTTTCCAGAGGAGTATGTACCCACAGTCTTTGATCATTATGCAGGTATGAACACAATTCTTCTATTTTGAGCGTCTAATAATAACGTCGTGACATGCTGAACTGCGGCTGTTCTATGTTTTATAAAGATTTATCGGAATAAATCCTAATAAGACATGATTATTGATGGTAAATTGTAATAAGAGGGAAGATTAAACATTATGATAAACATTGCCTGTTTCCTCTGCCTCTCTTTCTCCGACTGCATTGGCTTGCATCTGTTGCTATAATCAAAACCACTTGTTTGCCTTCTTCATAGCAGGGAGGGGTTGGGGGCCCCAGAGCCCCCCCCCCCCTTCCTTCCCCTTTTACACCCCCACCCCACCACCACCACCACCACCTCCCCTCCTCTTTTTCTTCTTCCTTCTCTCAACTGCTCTTTGTCATTTTTCTTGCAGTGAGTGTCAACGTCGGTGGAAAACAGTACTTGCTGGGACTGTATGACACAGCTGGTCAGGTACAGTTTATTTTTTACTCTGGCCAAGTGCCAAGCATGTCAAGGACACACACACACACACACACACACACACACACACACACATACATACATACGGTCTCACTCTCCCTGTCTCTCACTGTATCTCTATCTCGGTCTTCCAACGTGCTCCTGGGACCAATAACTATCCAACAGTGCCTCCAACACGCCCACAGGCTTCATATTCAGGCCAGACACTAAGCTGCAACAGGTGATGGTTTTCGCACATGGGTTTACTGCCAGAGTCTGGTGTGCCATGGACAGTGATGGCAGTGAAGGGGTTTCAATAGTTCTATTATGTGGAGAACAGGGCTCCTATGTCCAGTAGTGATGTCACAGGTTTGTTAATAGGGTTGCCTAATGCCTGGGCTTTTTCTTTACAATGTGCCATTCAGAGGGCAAGAGTTAAAACTGAACTGAAAATGCACTGCCCTACAAACACACACACACACACACACACACACACACACACAGAGGTAAGCATATGGACATACATGACAGACACACCTCACTGAGGGTGACAGCACCAGGACATGAGAAAGAGTCATTTCATCATTTGCCACCTGAACTTCCACACTAAAGTTTTAGGGAAAACATTTGTATTTGGTCTGAATGATAAATCAGACAGTAAAGACAAGAGTTATGATAAGTCAAATAACCAATTGACACAATTTTGATAGTTGATTGATTATAGATGTCATTCTTTAAACAAAAATGACATAAATGGACATTGTTCAGGCTTCAGGTGGGAATATTTGCGGTTTTCTTGGCCATATATGATAGTTAACTGAATATCTTTGGGATTGGGACTTTTGGTTGCACAAATCAAACAATTTAGATACACTAACATGTGTCTTTTCTGACATTTTAGAGACAAAAAATTGATCATGTGAGAAAAAAATCAGCAGATTAATTGATAATGAAAAGCATCCCTATATTGGACATACACTTTAATTGTTAATATGCACATTTTAGATGGCAGATCAGTCTTGAATGGGCATTCAAGACTAGTGTGTCTTGAATGTTCCAGTATTAAGATTAAAGGGACCCTGTGGAGTTTTTGGGCCAGTAGTAGTGCTATGGAGCAGTTGGTTTGTTTCGTGCGCATGCACAAAGACACCAGATAGATACTATTTTGTTGATTGACATTTGTAACATGCAAAAAAACATAGCTATTTACCAACAGACGAGCTGTAGAAGGTGAAAGACAGCCGGATGTAAACATTGTGCAGCTCCAGTTTTTTTGCCTTCAAGGATACACACCATGTGTTTGGGTGAGAAACACAGAATGTAAAGATGACTTTGTTTACAAGAAAACTCCACATAGCACCTTTAAGTTTGGACTCTGCAAGTTTGGAGACTGCAAGACCCATTCTGCACCCTAAGACCTCTAACCTGTCTATGCAGCAACCTAAAACTGAATGTCAAATGTTGAATAGTAAACACTTTCCACAGGACTGGATTTAACTGTGTGAAATCAGAATGAGTCACAATCTGAAACGTGAGCCGCTCTAAAAAACCGAGCACAGAAAGGTCAACCGGGGAATATTCAGCCGTTTCGCTCATCTGTTCATTCATGAATGCTAAATGCACAAGTCCATGAATAGCAAATCACAACCGCCCTCCCTCCTCCTTCCCACCCAAACAGCTACCTGTGGCTGTGTTATATTTTTTCCCTCAAGAAAGCAGATGGCAAAAGTGTTACTACTCGCTTGTAAAAAGAGGAACACAACCTTATTGTCTATTCTGGCGTGTTTGATAGGGTGTGTGTGTGTGTGTGTGTGTGTCAGAGGAGGGTTTGTTTTTAGCTGATTCAGAGTGTCTCTGAAATGGAGAAGTTCTCCCAGATGTCTGCTGTGGGTGCTGCTGGCCGCCAAGGCTAGAGTTACTGCTCTTGAAAATGCAGCCCCCCCCCCCAACTCGGCTGACCTCTTTATGTGGAGCACAAGGCCAGCTGGTAATGTTTATAGCTTCAGCATCTGATCAAAGACCCGGCGCCCCAAAGAGAGAGGGGGAGAGAGAAAGTGAGAGGAAGACAGAAAGAGGAAGAGAGAGAGACAGATGGGGGGAGGCAAATAGAGTGAGGGAGGAGGAGGAGGGGGGTGGGGGTGGAATTGCTCAGAAATTGGATAAATACGGTCTCTTAGTTTCATTTTCCTTTCCCTCTCTTTCTCTCTCTTTCTTAATTTAAACCTCTTGCTACATCATCATCCACCTCTGGCCTGTCCTACACATGTTTGATTGGCTTCATGCTCCCTGTAATATTTATATTCCTTGCATGGCTGGAGCTCCCACAATGCTTTGCTGTTCCACAAGGGTATCAGCAGCATTACAGATACATGCCGCCGTCGTGCCCTCATCAGACGTGGCTCCATGCTGTCACATTGGTGTTACATGTCAGGCCACATAATCACGACTCGGCACTGAGCTGAGTGCCACTGTGCTTTGTCTGCTGTTGATACCGCTTCCCCTCCTGCTTTTGTCTGCGCGCTGCCACGTCGCTCCCCCAGGCGCGTGCCTATTGAATTATTCCATATGGAAGGTCTGCAAAGTCTGTTTTGCTGAATGTGATGAGGGAACAGAGGGGAAAGTCTTTACTTATTCATTCATTCTCCTGCTGCTGCTCCCGCTGCACTCAAGAAAATCTAGCATCGCCGCCCGAGGAGGAGCAGGAGGAAACAGGAAGTGGATGCTAAGTGCTGTGGTACGCCATGTGCCATGGAAACGCTTTAGGGAGAGGAACTCCTGAGTTTAGACCCTGTGGGATCCGTGTCCTCCTGCCCTATTAACCCCCACTTTGTTGTTGGACTGTTCCTCATTTGCTCAGCCCTTCAAATGCACTCATAGTCAACTACACATCCTGTAATCACTTTTACCACTTCAGTTCACCCATTACCCCCTCCCTCCTCACTGTTTGGTACAGTCTGATCACCTCTTTCTGTGACTCAGCAACCCATAGTGGCCCAGTGACCCTCAGACGTCCCAGTGGGGGATGACAGGGTGGCAGGTGGAGATTGGGGGGTGAGGGTTGGAGGGTGGGGACTGGAAACGGTTTTTCCCAGCTGGGAGCCTGTCACCACTCAGCTGCTTAGACACAGAGAAACAAGAATCTTATAGACATGCCTCATCTCCCACTCTCAACTGGAGATTTTAGACTTCAGAGAAGCCATCGTACCCACAGTTCTCTTGAATGGAGAGAACCCTTTCAGTGCTGTGAGGAAGGATTGTGATTAATTAATGAGGGTAACAAGAAACTGATTTGTCATTTTAACTAAAACAAGTGTCAGGATCGTGAAAAATGCCAATCACAGTTTCAGAGAGCCCAAAGCAAAGCAGCCAAACGCTCAGCCGGGCCGCAGGCTCCAGCCTCACTTTGTGGCACTTAACTTGACCAAGAACCCAATATAAACGTATAAATTATAAATACCTACCTTATTTACAGTAAGTTATACTATGCTTACATGGTTCATATCTCAAAATAAAATGTGCTTAATTAACAGAATCGTTTCACATTATGGGAACTAGACTTAGCTGCCAGGGGTTGTTTAACAGTAAATATAAGACTACAGCCTGCGGCCAGTTAGCTTAGCACACAGGCTGGAGGTACACTTGTACTGTTGTACACAGCGAGCCTCTTACTCCTACTGCCGGCACCTCTAAAGCTCACTGATCAACATGTTATATCTTGTTTGTTTAATCTGTACAAAAACAAAAGTGTATCAACATTTTTAGATATTAAAAAGGTGGTTTACAAATACGTAGTTTCATTTTTTTTTTAAAGGCTACATATACATATTCATAAAAAAAGCTGGGCACTGTAGTTTTCAACTAATCTCACTCAAACAGGAGTAATTACAGCATTTGTTGGGAACCTACTTTCGGCGGCGGGTTAATACACATTTGGTGATGTAGTGAGTGTTTACATCAGCTGGACAGTGCAGGACTGAGTCAAAATAAACTGCAGTGTGCCTGTTCATAATAATGTCATGGTGATACTTGTGTTTTTGGACAACAGTGGAGCTCTGTGGCACAGAGGGAATAAGATATGTCAGGCTTTAGCCACACATACTACACTTGCCAGTAGGATCAATTAATTGTTGTTGTTTTTGGTCTTGTCATAAGAAAAACATAGCACATTCCCAGCCTTATCCTTTAATGACTTGTAGTCTCCAGGCTGAAGCTGAGATAAGCCCTAATGACATCATCAGGGACTTGACAAAGCTCATCCAGAGTCACAGAAGACATTATACAGCTGTTTTCACAAGCTGAATAGCGCTTATCATGGTGAGTAAACTAACCTCCCTAACTAATCTCCTTTAAATATGTCTGGACAGGTTAAGATCAAGCAACAATAACTTCAGCATCACACTCTTTTGAAATCTCCTGGATCATCTCCACCACCTCGAGCAGTGTATTTTAATACTGGAACATTCTGAGATAAAGAGTTGAGCCAGTGTTAAAAGTAGAAGTATATGATATTAGATACTTAAACTGCTTCTAATGAAGGTCTCCATTTATGTTGTACCATGTAGTATATATGTCACTGCCCCTTAAAGGCAACATTAAGCTGTCAGATTTTTAATTGACTGAGTGTATCAGTGCTCGAGCTAAGATTAATAATCGTTAATCACCATTAAACAGTCAAAAATAGCAACAAACATAAATCTTTTTTTGTTTTGTTACTCCCCAGGTTAACCCACTTCTGCAAAATGTGCAGATTCCAGATCAGAGACAGAACTTTGCAAACAGAAGCGTCTATTTCTGGGCTCTCGTTCCCACCCGGCGGCCATGTTAGAGCAGGCGGCTCTGACTCTGTTGACATAGCCAGTTGATAGAGCCCTGAGGAGGAGATAGGAGTAGCAAAGGAGAAAGATGGAAGAAAGAGAGAGCGGCTGGAAGGGGGTGGGGGGGTGGGTGGGTGACGAAGGAGGGAATGACTCACTGATATCATAGCACTCATATGTCACTGAGTCAACAGAGCGCAGTCACACAGCAGAGCTCACACAGTGGCCAAATGAAGACACTGGTGGGAATGTATGGACATGTATGGAGAGGGCTTAGCGTTAAGATTTCATCATGCACACACTAACGCCTTCTCACTCCCTTTTTGTCCATGTTCAGGCGATCATAATGTTTACCAGACACCCCTGACTACCTCGGAAAAACTGTTATGCAATGTCTCTTTGATGTACACATAAACTGTTGAACTGCAGCTAATAACACTGTTGCAGAGTGACAGACCTCTGGTGGAAACGTTCATCTAAAGCTCTCTAACAGCAGCATGAGTGTAAACATTTCTGGAGTCCTAATGAAACCATAGACTGAGCACTGGAAGATGCACTCAGTCTGTGCCTCACTGTATCCACACTGAGTTAGGGGAGCGGGACACTGTCTTTGGTAATGTGTCAGGGGGTGCACTGAGGAAACAGTGTGAGAGGCCAGCATGGTCTCAGAGAAGCTCCAGGCCTGTTTACAGTAAACTGCTGAGTGGCTTACACTGTGTTCCTTTATGTGTGTGGCTCGCCGGGGGATCAGAAGATTCACTTGTGCAAGCAAAGGTCACGAACACACGGAGACACATGAACACACAGTGTGCTTGATCCCGTGTGACAGATATCGTGTGTATATGGGGTCAGAGGAAAGCACATGGTGTATGTGAAGGCGTATATGCTTGCGGTATGTGCTGATACAAAGGGACATTAATATCTGATAAGGTTATATGTTTGATAATACGATGTTATGCTGAGAAAATGTAAATTTGCTAACTGACTGTCAGTGTAGCAAATCTTTGAGTGGAAAAACCTTTGTTGCTGTATTGCATTTATTTCAAAAGATATATTTAGGGTGGGTAAATTTAATAAAATCCACTCTCACAGTATATGGGGCTATTTGTCTCTACTTTTCCCAACTTGTAAGAACTCAGGTTTTTTTTCCCTGATACCCCGCTCTGATTTACTACCTTGACAGTGTGGCTGGTATTGTTTTCACCGTCTGTGTGTGCGTGTGTGGGTGTGTGTGTGTGTGTGTGTGTGTGTGTGTGTGTGTGTGTGTGTGTGTGTATGTGTGTGTGTGTGTGTGTGTGTGTGTGTGTGTGTGTGTGTTTATGTGCATGTCATGGAAAAATGTGGCCCTGGAGACGCCTGCTGTAGCGGTGGTAGCGGTGGTTTTGAGGACTTTGGTAGTTGGCCAAATGTTTGCCAGCGTGATAGTGTCTCAACCTGAAAGATAAAGTCACAAAACTTTAGTAGTTGAGATCACAGTGACGGCTGAGTTATGTTGTGGTCTGACCCATGAGTACTTATGTAATAATGTAGTTATGACTATTGAGTACTCATGGGTCAGATTGTCAGGATATTAACGGGTGTCACAGCGGGTGTGATCCCATAGTAACATGGTCTCTACTAGTTCATTACTGTGAAGCAAACGTAAAATCAAACAGTCGCCCGCTGAGCTGAATGAAACAGATCCTGATGCATTTTTATCTTGCTATCAATGTAGTTACTAGATGACAATCTGCAGCCTTTGCTGTGTGATGTAACATGACTGCTTGCTTTCCTCACTGAAGCTTCATAAACCGAATAATATATTTCATATGAATGTAATATTTTCTTTGATGTAGTCAGAGGCGCTCTTTAACTCAGATGAGACGTGGAGCCTCAACTATAAAGTGCTGCGGGTAACCATAGTATATATAATTTTACATTGCAATATTGGAATGTATCATGATACATTTTCAGGAAAATCTAGTTAATTCAAATGAGTAATTGTTAATGGATAACATAACCAGACAGGAGTGTCTGTGTTTTGGCTAATCCAGTGAATGAAACACCTGACCAGTCAGGGCTCTTCATCATATTGATGCCAAACATCATGATGTAAAATTCCAATACTGCTGTGTCAGTCCTGCTTATTGATTTGTAACATTGCCCACAATGACCTTCTCCCTGAGACATAATAAAAAGCTACTCATTCTGTCCAGTGTTAGACTTCCATAAGGCTGGGCCACTCACTCACTTTTTTTAAATAGTCTGAGTCATTGTAGCAGAGGCTGAAATATCTTGACTTCATTCCTTAGCATGGGTCAGGCTCCTGAAACCCTGGATCCTACAATTCCCATAATGCAACTAAGTTGTGTTTTTAATTAGATGCTCCTTGCCCCCCCAAAATAGCCATTACTTTCAAACCTCATGCCTCCAGTTTGTAAAGTTTAGATCAAATCCAAGATCACCCTGATGACAGCATTGGGGCTGGAAAGACACATACATTATACAACTGTCTCCACAGGCTGAACAGTCTGTGTCCTCGTGACATGCAAACTGAACCTTACAGGGATGGTTACCATGGTATATTATGGCAAAGTTAGAATCAGATCATTTCATTCATGCTGGTGCTTCAGCTCACTTCAAACTACACAAGTAAAAATCAGATGTGTGTAACATGGTATTTGCAAATCCTCCTCATTTGTCTCAGCTTCTCTGAAGCAGCAGATGGTTTGCAGTCATAACTGACTCATCGCATCAGGAAATTCAGTGTCAGGTAAGCTGTCAGTTACAGGAGAGTCAATCCCAGACCCTCTGGCAGTCTAAGAAGAAAAAACACCCTCTAAGAATTATTTCCTACTCGAGCCATGTCTGTGAACGCTCTAAAACACTGTACTCATTTGGAAGTAAGAGGATGAACACCTCATAAATTTTTGAATTACATCCACTTGACCCACTCTACTGAGGCGTAGTTGAGTCATCTACGATACGAGCACAGGCGTGAAGATTTGTGCCCTGTTTTCATCGTCTACACCGATCTCACATAAAGTCACTACATCTTAAATTCATTACAGTGGCAACAAAAGGTTACACCCTTGCTTGGCTGATCTACTGCCGTTTGGAGAATCCATCCTGTCATTTGCATAACAATTTCCCTTAATCCATTAGTGTGAGAAAGCCTGGTCTCTGGGGTTGTAGCAGTGTGATGGTATTGGACCGTGGTGTGTGTGTTTGTGTGTTTGGCAGAGAATGGGACACGCTGAAGGCATTAGAGTGAAGGACTGTCATGCCAGCGCTCGGCTGTCCCATCGCAACTATGTCTGGCACAGTGGGTTGTTGTATTCACTTTGCTTTGATTTCAGGCATGTGGACAGTACATTTCCAAGACACGAGAGTGAGATTGATTCACTTGGTCCCAGTTGGTCTGGTTGAGTCATATCTGATTACTGGACATCCATTGACTGGCTGTGTCTTCAAGCTAGCAGCAGCAGAAAACCGTGAGAAGAAGAAGTGAGATGGGCCATGAATATTCATATGTGTGCAAGTCAGAGACTCTGTCAAAAGGGTTTATCTTTGGTGAGGACAAGGCAGCACTTGATCTGGCGCACAAAGGACAGTCTTGCGTCTGTGAATTGGCCATTTACAAAACACAAATATCAGAGATGGCAGCGTGTCAGGTTTTCACTGTCTTGTGGCGATGCCTTGTGCTCCGCTCGCCTTAAAGGACTGCAAATGTAAAATAATCCCTAATTGTCTTTGTCAGGGCGGGAGAGTGAAGGTCATCTTCATCACATTCTTGTCCCTTCAATTCCAAGTGCAGTTTTTTATGCATAACATTATTGTCTAGTCCACATCATTTGTATGAAACAGCCAAAGAGAGCGCAGTGTAAAGTCAGCCCTCCTGGCACCTCTGAGGAGTAACAGTCTGAACAGTCTGTGTTTGGAGCTCTTTTTTTTCAACACACACATTAATAATTCATGAATAATAATTTCTCAGATGTTAGGAAATGGAAATGAGTTGTCTCCTCATTTTTTTTCTTCCTTTGTCCCCCTTCGTCTTGACCTCTAATCCTCTCCTGAACCCAACTGTCACTGTTAACCATTAGCGTCCTGTTCTCTTCCAGGAGGACTATGACCGCCTGAGGCCGTTGTCCTACCCGATGACCGATGTCTTCCTCATCTGCTTCTCTGTAGTCAACCCTGCCAGTTTCCAGAATGTGCGAGAGGAATGGGTGCCCGAGCTGCAGGAGTATGCACCCAGTGTCCCCTACCTGCTCATTGGCACCCAGGTGAGTCCCTGACACACTGTTAACAGCACAGGTCGTCATGCTCAGTTTTAAATTGATGCTTACATGTGGTATTTTGTTCGTATACATACCTGGATAATCTAGGATACACTAATGTTTACATTTTTACCTGAACCTATCCTTGTCATTTCTAATATATTGATAGGATATGAATCTTAATTACCTTCTGCTGGCATTTTGCAATAGAGTGCTGAAGGGATGATACATTTTTGTAGGCGAACCCAGAAGTTAGCGTCTCTCCTTTGCAAAAGCACAAAAACACAACGCAGACCGGTGAGTAGATCACACATCCGTGGATAAGATGTCACTTGTTAGCAATCGGCCTTTTTTAACAGACATAAAAACGTAAAGAAATCAGGACTGGGGTATTTACTGACATATTTTATGTTATAGAATAAAATGTGAAAACGTTTGACCTTGTGTTAACCACAGACCTTATTTCAGGCATCTAAACAAAAACCCATTCGAATAACCCAGAGACTTAGGGACGAGGCAACCAGAAGTGCTAAAATTCAACTAACTTCTGGGTTTTAGGACTCATTCCTGCAGCACTCTATTGTTATTGTTGAGAAAACTGTGTCACACATTGTTTGATAGTGCCAGCGTTATCTCAGTTGTCAGATTCAGAAGAAAGTAGAACCTAGCAATGGTATGTAAAGTTGAAACAATTCATCGATCGGTTGATGATCAAAAAATTTACTCTTTTGACAATTGTTTTGATACTTTTTAAAGCAAAAATGGCCAAAAAAATTTGCTGGCACCAGCTTTTGATGTCATTGTAAACTGAAGTTGGACAAAACAAAGCATTTGAAAATGTCACCTTGAGCTCTGGCAAAATATAATGAATATTTTTCACTATTTTCTGACATTGTATAGACAAAATAATGAATTGATTAATTGATTGATGAAGAAAACATTCCACAGATTAATTGATAATGAAAATAATAATCAGTTGCAGACCTGATGGTGAGTCACCACTGAGCTCAAACATCCCAGAAACACATCAATGGAACTGCACATCGAATTGCACCAGCTGCTTGTACAACCTGAAGTACAAAATGACATTGGCAGGAAAAGTGGAGACAGACTGGACCTAAATATGATTTCTGGAGCATATACTCCTTACAGGGAACAGGTCCAAGACTCATCAATTGCAGGTTATTTAAGAGAGAGGACATAGAGGAGGGTAGAACTGTCAAATCTGAAAGCGCCAAGTGCCACTGCTGATTTAAGGAGGCAACAGAAATGTGAAAGAGGCCAAGGAGACTGTAAACATAAATGAAATGGCTTTCCAACTCTCCCACACCCGGGGTGGTGATCTAAAAATCTGCCTGGCAACATCACAAGTCAGTGGGCCCCATTCAAGAACCAATCGTACAAGTGATTTAATTTGTGGCATTCAGACTGATACTGACTGATACTGAAATTCATTTGATTAAAAAGTGTGCAAAACCAATGTTCTGTTCACCATATTATCATCATCATCATGGCTTGCCAAATATACTGATTAGTTTTTTTAGATTTTAGTGTTTTTATTGCCACATTTCGTCACAGCATTTTTTACATTTCAGCAGTTGTTTAAAACGCCTCTCGCTGGCTCAGGGTCTTTATGAAGGTCACTGTACGGGATCATTCTCTATTGTAATATTCTCTCCTCTAATATCCCAGCCTTGCACATTTGTTATGGACCACTTTAGAAAAATGTTTTTTAGCATCTAATTTCATGTAGCCTAAAAACCATTCCCTCTTTATTTCTGTCTTATCTTATTTTAAAGTGGTATCCAATTGGATTGTCTATTACAGGATGGACACTGTCACACCACCACAATTTTTGATGTTAGCATTGTAGTCTGCAATAAAAAAATTTAATTAATTTGCATTGGTACTGGTACTGCTATTGAAACCCATGTTGGTAAGTACTTAATTACCTGTATTGATTGGTGTTTTGGCTATACTTTGGGACAGTTGCCTATTCAAACGTCCAGCAAACATGGAGCAACATTAGCTTTAATTTGGAGTCGGGTTTCTGGCCACCTGGAGTGTATAAATCCAATATTCACTGTCCTTCTAGCTAAGTTTTGGTCTCCACCAACTCCTGAGAGAAAAAGATGGCTCTTAAGTTGCTAAATGCTCCACTCAGCTAGTCGTTAACATTGTTTTTTTTGTATAAACTCTGTTTATCAGAGTTGAAAATAGCTGCCTGCTGCTGCTGGAAGAGAGGTTGATGAGAGCTGTGAGACTGAATGAAATCAGTAAAGCGTGGGCTGCAAACCCAAAGCAATGAGCTGAAAGCTTCTAAAATGCTCCTTAGAGCTGATGGGAACTATAGAGGTGGGTGGTAATTTCCTGGGTACATGACTACTGTCCCTTTTAAAACTTTTTCCATTGTTTATTTAAAAATGTTGATCATTGTAGCTTTAAGCAAAGGATATTATTTAAAACAAAAAGAAAGAGAAAAAGAAAAACAGATTTAGCCTTGTAGCGCTGAACTTGAGCCATGGCAAGGAAGAGTGATTTTATTAAATCAAACCTATAAAGCTAGTGGGGGACCTCAGGCTGATCTGACTCATAGTGCTTTAAAAGGGCTTGTTGCTGGAGTTCTCACTGACTTGAAGGTATCATAAAATCATATTTTCTTAAACAAGAAATGATATTATACAAAGATGCTAAAGCTGGGCTAATGTCTTGTGATCTTCAACAGATGCATCACTAACTTCATATAAATGTTAAGAGATGACATTAATCCTAAGCATTAGTTTATTTCTCAAGCGTTAAAACTGCCAATACCATAGGTCCCCTTAAAACTGTGAGCTGACTTGTGGGTGAGTTTTGGTCTGTGTTCCCTGGCAACCAAATGCCAGTGCAGCCCAGGCCCAGCGGTGATGAGGAGGATGTAGTGGGTGTCTGATTTATCTTGTGTCAGCTGATGTTTACTGCTCTTTTATCAGTTCCTGTCATAACTCACTTGCTCCTCGGGTTGATGCTGTTATGTACACATGAGCTCGATAACAGTGAGCCACGCTAACACAGATCACGCCAATAAGGAAAAGGGCTTAATGACGCTCCCTCCCTGCAAGACTGTGCAGGTGGATGCGTTTATCATAATTGGTTATTGCAGAGACGGGAATGAGGCGTTTGTGCTGAGCATTGCAATGAATAAAATAGGAGTGAGGAACCTTGTGGTTGGCTGTGAAATCGCTTTGCATAAGAGCAGGAAGTGTGGGCCAACATGGCTTTGTTTCAAAATGAAACGACACTGTAAGTTATTCAGTTCAGCTCCTTGACTCAACTCATATCTATGTTTAGAAGCATGGACTCAGAAAAGTGCTGGAATATCTGATTTTATGTTTAAAAATCGGATATCTCAATAAAAAAATGTTGATAAAGTGGTTCATTATTATGCATGTTATAATGGTAATGGTTATTTTGACTTAGCTCAGAGGAAGTCCCTGATCTCTTTCAGATTGACCTTCGTGATGACCCCAAGACCATTGCCAAACTGAATGACATGAAGGAGAAGCCTATAGCCACTGAGCAAGGACAGAAACTGGCGAAGGAGGTTTGTATGTAAGACTGAGGAGGTGAAGAAGTACGTAGCTGGCAAAAGAGAGAAGAGAAGCCTCTATTTTCACTTTTAGTGTTGCAGAATTGAGGTGTCAGGTCCAGTTCGTTTCCTGTGTGTTGATCTGAACCCAGGAATGTCTCTGTAGGAATGTAATTTCTTCAGAGAAATGCTTACAATCAGACCTCTGTACATTCTTTGCCTGGAAATGAATCCAGGAATACATCCTGGGTCATCATGGGATGTCCAGTGGAGTTCGAGACAGGAGGATGCAGATATCAAATTAATCGGTCCTGTCAGACAGAAACCGAGAATAAAAATCAATCTTTAAAAACTTACAGTCTAGATTCATTTAAAAACAGGTGTCTGTGCAGTTTTGGAAACATAGAATATGATGTAGATGGGACTCATGAAGGTTAAGGCCACAAGGGTCCATAGAACATCATTTCAAGCTATTTCTATCACTCAATATGAGTATTATTTTACCTTGGCTATCTTTTGTCGACATGGTTGACCGGTCTTCCATGTAAGTCCAGGTCAAGATTAGAAATCCTGAAAATGCGACCACTGGATTCACAGAGCCAAGTATCAATTTTTATGAAAATCCCATCACTCCTCTTACTATCTGGATCAAAAAACTACATCCACTGTGGGATGAAAGAAATTTTTAAAGGAACAGTTAAATATTTTAGCAAATGTACTTTTTCTTGCTGAGAAGATCAATACCACTCTCATATCTGTACACTAAATGTGCACTGGAGCTGGCAGCCAGTTAGCTTGGCTTAGCATATACACTTTGTCCAAAGCCAGACCTGCAACCTCCAACAAGCAGCTCTAAAGCTTACTGATTAACACAGTATATCTGATTTGTTTAATCCATACCAAAAACAAAGTTAGAAATGACTGACACACTATTTCTTGCCCAGGAGATGACTGTTCCAAGGAAAACTCAAGTCGCCCTGTTTCCAGTCTTTATGCTGAGCTAAACTAACCAGTTACTCATATTTACTGAGAGTAGCAAGAAAGTGAATAAGCTTATTCCCCAAAATGTTAATCTATTCCTTCAAATGCATTTCCCAAGTTGTGCCTCCATTTTAGATCCATGTAGCTGGAAATGACATTTCTCCTTGCTGCTTTAGCACAACACAAGAAACACGTTAACATGTCATTAAGTATGAAAATATAAAACAATAGTAAGATAAATATACATAAATACAACTAATATTTTATATATTTCAATTTTGGTGTGTGTGATACAAACTGAGCAACAATATGTGTCACTTCCAGCTACCATCTTTGAGGATTTTGGAAATATCTTTAGAATAGTAAGTGTGAAGGGTGCTCATTCAGACCATGCTCCTGTAATGAGGTGCACGTCTTACAGGGACAAGAAGCATACATAAGATCATTCCTTATTGGCTGCAGACACATAAGATACTGTTACAACATACATGACATAGGTCTTGTAAAAACAACACCCCCTGTCTTCACTCACCATCAGCAGCTAAAGTTACTCCATAATATCAACCCTAGCCAAAGCAAATGATACATTATTACACTGCTAGCCACATACAATCACAGCATTAGGTTACAGAACACACTCGGCCTTACAAGCTAGCCGTGCTGCTGCTGAGCCACTGCCTCTCTTTGTTGCAAGAGGAGTCCATAATGTGATTTGAACAAACTATATGTATATATATATGTGTGTGTGTGTATATACATATTTTTATTTATATATATATATGTGTGTGTGTGTGTGTGTGTGTGTGTGTGTGTGTGTGTGTGTGTGTGTGTGTGTGTGTGTGCGTGTGTGCGTGTGTGTATGTGTGTGTAGGTGTGTGTGTACATAATGTAAAGTCAATTTGGCTGCTCGGACAGTGGCATTTTTTTATGTTAATGGACAGCAAAAGAATTGCAGTAAGCTGGGATGCTAAATAGAGTGGGCTAATGTACATTGGCAAGTGAAAAGCTCACCAATTATCTCGTCTGTTTAATCTATATAAAATAGTCGTTGTTGTGCCACACCATTTCTTGGCAGAGACCAGTAACTTCTTCTGTTTGCTGCCTCCCCACATTAAATAGCAAATTGTTGTTTTTACGCTCTAACTTTTGTACAGATCAAACAAACAGTATCGATCATGTTAATAAGTGAGCTTTAGAGGTCCAAGCCAGGCTTAAGTTGCTGTTCCTATTTCCAGTCTTTATGCTAAGCTAAGTTAGCCTGCTGCTGGCTATAGTTATAATATGTACCGTGCAAATGTGAGAAAAGTATAGATCTTCTCTTCTAACCAAGCATGCAAGAATAACTGTGTTTCTCAAAATGTTGAACTATTTATTTGACTTAAATAAGTTTAATAACTGCTAGTTGACCACTGCATTGTACTGGATTTTTTTTTACTCATGGTCTGTCCTTTCTTTCTCATCAGATCGGTGCATGTTGCTATGTGGAATGTTCAGCGTTGACCCAGAAGGGCCTGAAGACAGTGTTCGACGAGGCCATCATTGCCATCCTGGCACCCAAGAGAAAGAAGGGAGCTCTAAAGAGAAGACTGGGACCTCGCTGCATCAACTGCTGTCTGATCACGTGATACATAAACCCCAGAGATCATTCAGCAACCAACCGTATACCAAACCTGGACTGAAGGCAAAAGACAGACAAAAGTAAAATGCACAGACAGCAGAGTGAGACAAAAGAGAGGAGTGAAAAGGACAAAACAAGAGCTAGTTTTAAGCTGCAGTGCTCTTGAAAGGCCATAACTTTCTCTCCTGTCCCTGTCCCTGTGCCGTCCATCACTGGGGTTGAGGATGCAGTTTACTACCAAAGGAGCACAAAACCCAAGTCAGTCTCTTCTTCTTAAAGACTTTTTGCCTCAAAATTACCTTCTTTTATAACCATTTTTAATCATTTTTCCTGTACAAAATTGTTGTATGCTGTCATACAAAAAAAAGAAAAACACAAAATGACATTTCAGATTTAAAGACATGCTACATTTAAGGAGTTCATATGATTTCTATGGTTTTGAAAGTTAAATATTGATTTGTGAATTTGACAAGATAAGATCAGATGTCTAAATCAAGAGCGAAAGAAAACATGCAGTTGATAAATAATTAGAGACTGATTTAAGTGACACTGTGACGGTGCCCAGGATATCTTTCTGGACATATGGGCCCAGTTTTTTTTTCAATTTATAACTCTATTAGCCCACAAAGTCTGTCTCCAATTATTTGTCAAGACCTGCAGATTAAACCATATAAGAGGCTTTGCTTTGTGTAGGGGATAACACAAATCAACAACAGTGAAATGTTGTTAATACGACAGATTTTGGACCTAGAACTGTATTATTTTAAAGTTTGAGAGTCTTGTGTTTTTGCCTTATGAAAACCCCATTGTTTTATAGTATGGCATGCCAAAACATACTGTAAGTTAAGACTGGGGCTGAGGTCTTTATCAGAAACTGTAGAGGTTTATTATCCATTTTTAAAATATATATTATCCGGAGTTTATGAATCTGTATCTCTAAAATAGAGATCATCCATGCTGTGCAAATATTATTTTGTCAACCGATAGCTTAACTTTTTTTGTTTTATCTTTTGTTATCTTGCAATAATGTGTTATCCTTTTATCACCTTTAAGAAAGTTCAGAGGAGAGAAGAAGAAGAAGAGAGATCTCATTTTAGAAATGAAACTCTGATTCATATCCAACGTCCAAAGAATCAAATGCACACTTTCATCAACATCAGGTGGCTACAGTGACCAGATACTGTATAATGCACAACATGAAGCACAGTCTGCGCCACTTAATTTCCCAGCAAAATAAAGCACATTCCTCTGCTTCTACACACTGTCCCTCATGTAGAAATGGCTGATTGAAGCACAGAAGATGCACAGTGGTCTATCAGGCACAAGTATGAGCATAGCACACCACCCTACCATGAACAGTCATAGTTCATCACATCTCCAAAAATCTGTTAAAAGGCACTGGGTGAAAACCTTGTGCCTCCCAAATGTCAACTTTTCAGGAAACGTGAGAAACACTGATCCAAACAGTTTTGAGAGCCAACAAGAAGGACTTGCAGTCAGTTGCACCAGCCATTTGTAAATTTAAATTTAACCTATTTATAATGTAAGTCTATAAGTGGAGATTTACACTACTAAATTCAAATAGGCAGAACCACAAAGTTGTCACTAAATATTAACACCCAGTAGTTGCCAGGTGTAGCTGTTGCGTAGCATTAGCTAACTGAACCAACTGACAAAGCTAATCTCACGTTACTGTTCACTCTTATATGGTTGACATTTGACCTGACACTTGATTCAAATGCTGTTTAATAATGATATCAACTGGGAAGACTTCAAATTAAACTGCACAAAAACAACACAATCTACCAGAAAATATTACGCCAATAATGTTAGCCAAAGCGAATATTAGCAACTAAATGACAAAAATAACGCAAGTTCAATATCATAATCAGATACATCCCACTCACTCTAAATAGAATACTATTAAGTCTGACATGTTTTTTCATACCTACTGTACATTTACAAAAATGAATCTAAATGAGTCCTAAAACCTGGATGTGATTTTTAGCATTTTAGCACTTCTGGTTCCCTCGTCCCAAAGTCTATGGGTTTTTTCGAAGGGGTTTGGTTAGATTATTAATTATAATTAATTAAGGTCTGTGGTTAACACAAGCTCAAGACATTTTCACGTTTAATTCTATGACATAAAATATATCAGTAAGTCGTGATTTCTCTTAAGCTTTTACGTGTTTTGAAAAAGGCTGGTTGCTAACAATTGTCTGAGACTACAGAGTTTGTAGGGGATGTTAAACGTCATCACGCCAAACACAAAAACCGATCTATTCACCAGTCCACCTTTACAGCCTTGTGTTTATACTTGCACTTTTGCAAACTATGACTAACTTTGCAAGAGGAAAAGGCTTTTTTAGTTTCTTTTGTGTAGTTCGTTTATAGTTTAGCATTAGCTTTTTACTTCTGGCAATTGTATTTAGGCTTCAAAAATCATAAAAGTGTTCAAAAGTGTTCAATTGAGAAGATTATCGTGCTGAACAAAACGTGTAAGTATCCTAAACTTTTGTTCATCTTCGAGCTTATTTTCTGCAGTAATCCAAAAGCCTGTGTAAAAATCCCATTTGCGTTTTGTCGAGTGAACCAGGGTGATGCTAACTTCCAGACAAAAATACACCACCCCTGCAGCACTCTATATCACTTGGCCCCCTAAAACCTTAGTCTTTAGCTGCTTTGTTACAGCTCAAGATGCTACAGTGACTTTCTACAGATATAGCCATGCAACAATCAAAATCATTTTGATTCAAACTTGAAATTATGATGTGATATCCCCACATGACAGCCATAAGGGATTTATATAATGTATGGAAATAACATTAGTTTGACCAGCACCCATGTACCAACATTGTAGAGACAGGTTACCCAATAAGAATTCATTGATCTGTGTAATAAAGTCACATTCTGCAACTTTTTGAACAGAAATGAAGATAATATGTGAAGTTTACTAGGATTTATAGAATAGTTTAAATATCTGTGAACCCCTAAAACAGTTTTATGCAACCAAGTTTTCAGACCTACATGTCTGTCATACTGTAGGTAATAACCTAAGGTTGGGATGGAACTTTTCTTGCAAGCCAAACATCTAAACTATAAGCTCTTCTTGTTTTTATGCATTTGTTATTGGCTTTTTCTAACTTCTTTTTTTTTAAAGATATTAATCAAAGGTGCCAACTCTTGCTAAATGACTTCTGTTAGTTTTCTGTTCTGATGAATGATTAAAAGCTTTAATGTAAATGGTGCTCCTCCTCTCTGTCCCAGCCTGTTGTGTAACTGTCTTTTCGAGCAGAGCAGCGGACTCTTGGACAGTTTTGCTTGCTTACGTTGTGTGAAGGTCCACCCTCAGGATCCAGGACCTAAGTGCCGCAGCCACCAATGCATTCTCCCGTTGATGCTTCTCTCTTCTCAATAAATGTGTTTACTGTGTTAATAAGTCGGCTCGGAGGGTTTAACTAGGAGAGCGTCAGATGTGCCCTGAAACGCATTTGTGAGATTAAATTTTGCAGTGTTTATTCCTGGAACTAAGGCCATTCATGTTTATAATGGGTCAGACATCATTGGGTTGACTTGATAAGCAGGTCAACAGAATTAAACTCTAATGCATTTTTGAATGAATACACACACATCCTCTATGTTCATTTGGATGTCCTTTATGCTTTGTTCAGAAAGTTTCCCTTTTATTTTCAACCTTTTAGTTTCTAAGTTTCTTCCATTTCTACAAATTACTTTTCATACCACCTCTGTCAATGCAAGGAGTGTGGAGCGTAAGCACCACTTGTTGGCACTTTAAGGTCCCATATTTGACACTTTTCCTGTGTTTCATTTGAAGTGTTGATCCATAAGAAGATAGATTTGTGGTTTTAAGGGCCAGAAACGAAACGAGGCATCTCTAACATGGATATTCAGGGCTATTTCTGGGTTTTGAAACCTTACACTCTGAATCATAGATTTTGTCTAAATGCCTAAAAAAAAAAAAAAAATTTGAGACATCTTCAGTTATATAACTTCCATTAGGGATGAGCAATACCATCAAATCTGGTATAGATCTGAAAGTTATATCAGGGCTAGTCTCCGAAGGCAATACTTTTTATTAGTGCAAGCAATTGTGTCATTTAAGTACCACCAAATTATTTGCCAAACTTTTTACTTATTCTTATGTATGTGTTAATCAGATGCATGTTAAAGAATGGTTTTCATGTGCATCTTATTTTTGTTAAAGTTTCTCAGTCGTAACTAAATACCCAACATAATGTCGAAATGTTGGATGTTCACATACAGAACTGTCTCGAAGATGATTCACGCCACACCATTGCAGCCACATCTAGTGTCATGTAGGAAGGGCTGTTCAACTCTTCCATGAAGTGACTCATTAATGATCAAAGTGGCTTCACAGCAAGAAGGTCCTGTGTTTGTGACCGACCATGTTGGACCGGAGCCTTTCAGTGTGCAGTCTGCATGTTCTCCCTTACTGCCACAATCCAAAGACATGCAGGTGAAATTAATCAGAAAATGCCATTTGATGCATCTTGTGCTTGTGCAAGTGTCACGTATATGCACAGCCACCTATAGCCTACGAAGACTGATCAGACAACAAAGGAAAAAGAAAGTTAGAGTCACCAAAAGTATCATTTTTATTGATCTGTGAATTTTTGTACAAGCAAATAAATATCTCACACTGATGTTTCAAAAATATTTTGAAATTATAATCCATCCTAATCAGACATAGTACCATATAGCTTCATATATCACAAAATATAGGTTCATATTGCTCATCAGCATACAGTGACATAACATAAGAATAAAATGACTAAAATAACATCACAAAATGCACCTGAGGTACAGTTCAGCCATTATTTAACATCACTCCATATTCCCATTATTTTTTAAGGTGAATTCCTTCTGATATTCCAACTGTCTTCCAGAGCTATAGGTATCTACACAAAAGGTATCAGATGAAGTAAGATTGCAACCATCCCCAAATGGAGACAGATGAAACAGCATTTCACTGAAAAACTGGCAGATGTAGACTCACGGGAGATCCAAGGGTGTTGCATGTTGGAGAAGTGGCAAGCTGCGCAAAGCTAGATTCAGACCGACGCAGTTGTCATTTTGTCGTCCAGTTGTTTAAATAGCAAATACATTTGTGCCCATCTGAGCGCGCATGGGTGTGTGTCTTAAAATGAGGTGTGGTCAGATGTATTTTTGGCGCATAGCTATCTTGAAACAGCGGAAATACCTGATCTGAAGTCTATATGGCACAGTATTTATCTGTTATTTTAAGTGCGCATTATCAAGAGAGTAATATGCGCCTGCATAGGTAGGTGCACTCTGCCTGTTGCGCGCAAGCAGAGTGAGCTGAAAATGTGCTTCAGATGTTTGGATAAGTCGAGTGGAACATTACAATCCAGCCTCAGAAGGTCGGAGCATTGTCTCTTGGACAAAAACGAGGCTCTGCAGAGAAGCTTAAATTCGACACAATGTTTCCCATTCATCTGACTAAATTTTCCCACCACATTTTCATAGAAAACCGACGATATATTTCCACTTCTCATAATATAAAAGAAAAGATGTCTAACGTTGTGATATGTGTCGTCTGTCTGTTTCTTTGTAGAGCTTTCTTACCTCTCGGGACGCACAGAGCTGCTGCGGGCCGGGACTCACTGGTCAGTCACAATATGACTTGATCAACTTGCCATAAATATCACCTCAGTGGCTATAATCACCTTTTCTAATGTATATATTCTCATTTAGGTTGTTCAAGAGGTTTGAATCTAAACTGTCAACATCCAATTAATGAATTAATTTGGTACAAAACCACAAAACTAAAATAATATTTTTTTGTAAGTTTACCTTCCACAATCAGAATACAGTAAAGCCGTAGAGTTAAAACTCACACAGCTTCAATCACCACTGCCACTCCAGCAGGCTCCAGCGCCTCATTTATGGCTGTTGCTATCTGTTTGGTTAGACGCTCCTGAACTGTGGAGAACACAGTGAAAACAAACGCACAGTTAATCTAACACAGGAGGAAAAACAGAAAAAGATTATGAAAATAAAAGAGTAAAGTCAATCATATTTGACCTTGAAGCCTCCTGCTGAAAATCTCAACAATTCTGGAAAAGTAGAAAACAAAGCGAATAAAATGGGGGTTCTGTTTTCTTTTCATTTTTAGTGTGTGTGTGTGTGTGTGTGTGTGTGTGTGTGTGTGTGTGTGTGTGTGTGTGTGTGCGTGGGATCCTGTGGTTATCACTTACCTTGCGAGCTTACTCAGACCAACCACCTTCTTGTTTGGGATGTACGCTATGTGAGCCTGACACAATGAAACAAAGCGTAACTGAAATAAGAGCAAAAACGACAACAAAAGGGTATTATTCTTTCAGGACTCTGAGTGTCTCTGTAATTGAATTACCTTCCCAAAGAAGGGCACCAGATGATGTTCACAAAGAGAGAAAAAATCGATGTCCTTGACAACCACCACCTCATCATGGCTTTCATTAAAGATGGCATCGCTCAGGATAGCTGTGCAGATGAAAATGCTGGTTACATATTCTGCTTTACTGGAGAAAATAATCAAATCAAATGTGGAAGTGTCTTCTGAGTTTTGAATATTTCGCAGTAAATGTTGATTAAATTTATTGAGGCAATGACAACAAACTTTATGTATATAATGTTTCTTACATTTAATTATGGACATACTGACCAGTCTTTGCGTAAAGTTGTGTTTACATAATCCTAAACTTTATAAAAGTATAATTGCATTTATCGCAGTACGACACAAAATGCTTAAAACTAGTGATTTTTGTCATGAGAAAGGTCAATCCTCTGCGCACTCACCTTGGGTCGTCTCCTGGTAGCCCTTTGTGAAGAACTGCATGGCCTTGGCTGCGCGTAATGGTGTGCGTAAAAGCCCCTCCCGCTCAGTGTCCTCACTCAGCTCGCTCAGTACGGTGCTGTAAGCTTTCGCCATACAAGACAACTCGGTCAAATCTTCAGCTTCCTTTGAGACTGTCTCCTCTTTGCACAAATCATCATGTTTAGACTCAATACACTTGCTCAACTCAGCACCGCTCTGTGGCGAACTGAAACTCCATTCTGGCTCTTGGTTGCTCTCAATGAAAGACGCTGCAGAACACAGTTAGATGGCCCCCTGTTGTGAGTCGTTCGGTCAGTGGTCTCAGGAGGGAAATCCCGCTTGTTTTTATGCCGACGTTGGAAACTAACATGCAACAGTTTCCAGGAGAAATTGACCACCTTTTCCAATTTCCCAAAGTGGGCCCCAGTAATGAGGAGAAGGGCTGTGTTTTAGCAGGAAAAAATCTTACTTGATTACACCTGTAAAACAAGTGAAAGGACCTTATGGTGCTCCTGCCCAGCCAAGCGCAGTGTCATTACCCACGCTTCTGCTCAAATGCTGTGAAAATTTATAAGTGCTGCCCAGTTCATCCCTGATTCATCTTGTGCACATTTGTGACGGTTATTTTCATTCACCTTAAAAGTTTTATTTCTTTTATAATATTGAGGTTAACCATTTCCATGTGACTTCAGACTATCCCACTATCTCACTGCCCTGGCATCATTGGAATAACACTACCATTTCCCAACAGAGGCATCTGATTAATGTGCAAATCAATTCCAAATTATCTCACAACTGATGCCAAGAACCAGCTGATCCTGAGACATCAGGGGAGATAATCAAGGGTCTAAGGTCACCATGGACCATGACTGCACATTAAAATTTTAGTGTGGCACAACCCTCACTCCTTTAATTTCCTGTAGCCTGTGTCTGTAGTGCACATATATATGATTATGGTAATGTCATCACTATATTACAAGAGCATCTATACCAGGGTGAGGAAAATGTCAGTTTGCAAAGTACAACTCCACTAATTTTATCAATATCCAGCTGCTGATTGAAACTTTACTCAGAACTGTTGAAATGGTTGTGCAAGGGATATATGCTGCGTGCTGCGTGATCTCCTGAGTCCTGACATCACTGTGTCAGAAAAAAGCTTGTAAAAAGCAGTACATACAAGCCAGTATCGCACTGGCTGGTGCGTGATGTATGCTTGCACTGTCCGACCTAATTGTTTTTCACTGATGTGGATTAATGGGCATAGCAAACTGCAGACTCTGAATCTGAGACAAGGATTATACAAACCTACAAACTATTTCAGTCTAAGTCCTCCCTTCATGAAGTTTATCATTTTCTGTTATTGCTGCAACTGTTTTATAGAGGAGTTGATTTAATTCTAAGGTTGTAGTTTAAATGGCTGTTGAAGTGTATTGAATTATAGTGAGAGGTGTTTTTAATATTTCATTTGTCCTCAGTGATAGAAGAATGACGGAAAAATGTTTTGGAAAACACCTCTCACTATGATGTAACATAACTGACTTTTGTTTTCATTTACACTCAAAAAAGACATTATTCTCAACTACATGTTAACACCAGTGCACCGTTGCTGAACCACATGACAGCACCGAAGGACTCTAAAGGAATCTGCTCACATCTCATATGACAAGAGCATTAGAAATAGACGTGTTGGGTTCCAATAGGCCGGACTGAAAATTTGTTGTGCTTTCATCTTCATAACAAGTCCAGGAGTGTGCATCATGGTGAACAAGTATCAGCTTACAGGCAACGTGACCAATCATATCAAACAAATCAACAGTTACATCCAACGAAGACAATCTTCTGATCACTGTGCTGCCGGTCACAGTCTGCCCCGGCTTGCTACATACTGTTGTTGCCTTTGTTTGATGTGTTGATTGGTTTCTCCTCTGCTCTAGTTTCTTATTAAAATATATCATAGCATCTCTCCCCCTGTGAATTTACTTTGTGTATCTCAATAATATGTGTCTGTTCTGTAGCCCCGGTGGGTTTATTGTGCTCCTCACTGAATACATTACAAGCTTCTTAGATGTACTGATGAGCACCCTGAGGAGCAGAACTGATTCCGCTAAATAAATGTGTGTAGCTATTTGTTGTGATGCTGATTCTGTTTGTCTGTTGATTAGTGTCTGACACAGAAACAGCACCTACATCCATGTAATACAGGATTATCTCGAGAGCTTTAACGTGCAAAACAGAGTGAGCAGAGCGGAAAGAGACGAATCAGCTCAAAGATCAATTAAGTCAGATGATCATGTCAAGTTACGTAAGAAAGCACAATTTATAAGTAAAAAAGAGGCCATGCTAAATTACAGCCTGTTCTCTGGTTCTCTGTTGAGGTTAAGGGCCACAATTGTACCACACCCACAATCATGTTGCAGTTCCAGGGAATCAAACCTAGAACAGTGTGTTGTTGTTGTTGTTGTTGTTGTTGTTTGTATAATTTTTCACTTTCAAAGACTGGATTAATAGAGAAAACACCAAAAAATAGCTAAAAGTAGACACATTAAAGTGTCCTCTGAGTTATTAGTGGAAATCCTTGACAGAAATTTTTAATAGAACTACTTGAAAAACTGGAAGCAAATCAAATCTGCTATCAGGGGACTGCTTATCGAAATAATGAGTTCATTAGGCTAACAAAGAGCCAGGCATATTGCAAGCGGTAGCCTTCAAATGACAGAACAGAACGTCTCCCTTTTCTGTGGAAACTATTTAAAATGGACAAATGAATACAGATAAGGTTTTGACATCATATTCACAGAACTGGTGTGATGTGGCTTTTTAACATACAACACGTGGCTGCTACTTGGTGGCCACCACGTGGCCTGCAGTGGTGACTGCTTTGTTCATGTTTGCATGCTGTGACAACCCTCTCCACCTGCGTACCTGTTGCTTCCTGTGTGTGGCTGCTTCCTTTTACAGGTATTAGAGGCGGGTGTGGCAAAGGGTTGCCAGTACCTGGGCTCATCATCAGACCTGGCACACCTGGGCCCTGTGTGCTGACAATGTCTTATGTGTGTATGTAATTTTCTAAACTTGCTGCTTAACCAGTTGTTGCTTTTACAAATCTAAATCAAATCTATACTTAATCTTGGATTATAACATTAAGAGTTTCAACTACACCTGAGAGTTTCCTCTACGTTTTCTGAGAACTTTGTTTTTTGTCCTAGACATGCACGGTCCTTTGTCTGTCAGACAGTTAAAACATTATGCATAAGCGACCAGCATCAACACACATCACACTGGAACATGTGGTGTGAAACACTTTGCGGTTTCTCTGATGTGGAAAAGCCTTCTGAACAAAGAGCTTCCTGTCAGTCAGCGTAATCCCTAACTCCACTGCCCACATGATATCAATTGAATCGTCCCTTTAGATAACTCTTTGTTACACCTTATCCTTGAGTTTTGGACTAAAAACGATTTCATTCACTCATTTAGACAGTTTGTTTCATGCATGTTTGTTAAACTACTAAGAAGTTTCTTAGAAAGAAAACGTTTTCCTCTAATAACTTGACTGTGTATCAGAAACATCTTTTTCCCTTCAATTTTAGGCCCCTCACTTCTCAGCGACACAGACTGACCTAATTAAACAGAGAGACACATTAATGAGACCTCAAAAGACCTGTATAATCCTGTTTAATTGATACACCAAAACAAATACTGCATGTATTCTGCACTTGTCTATAGCAATTCTTTACTTTTTAACCTCTAACCCAAATCTTTAACTTTGCCTTTAATTTTTTACAATTATAAAAGGCTTGAAAATGGCTAAACCAATCTGTGGATTTGAGTTTGACTGTAAAATAAATACAGAGTAATCTACAGTTCGATAATATACAAGTCAACTTCTGTAATGTAAAGAAAACCCTTATGTTAATTTGACTTTGTCTTTTTTATTTTTTAATTATAGAGTAATTTAGAAAATGGTTAAACTTCTTCAGACATGTGGCTCGCTGTGTCTGCCTGATCATCAGTGTCACTTAACTTGCTTCTTTTTGATGTCCCTGGGTGGTACTTTGCTTTTCCGGGCTTCACCCTCAGGTAGTGAAAACCAGTGCATCAAATTTAGATTATCCATCCTGTTCAACACGAGATCAGACCTCACCCTGCTGACTGTCTTGTGCTTCAAAGGGAAGCTGGTATCTACCCACATCACGTCTGGGCTCACTTATAGCACATTCATCAAAATGAATCTGGCACAGCAGTCACATCTATAATAGCCGCATTATCCAGTGATGGATCTGCATGCTGGTTTTTCAACATCTGGGAAATGGTTTGATGCTCCACATTAATTTGGATGTAAACGTTCTCTTTATCTGGTTCTGTATTTTTAAATGTTCTATGTGCAACACCAAATGCTGCATATCCAAAGCATCTTAAGACATCCTTGGCTGTAAAACCAATCTCTCTAAATTTTTGATAAAACAGTGTTAACCAAAATATCCATTTCTATGATGAATGACGAGACACCTTTAATACTCCACAACCCTGCAGAAGTTTCCTTTCCTGAGTTTCCTGAAATCAGTGATGCTGCTCTGGAGCTGATCCTGAGATTCTCTGCTGTGCAGAAGAGAAACAAACAGAAAATTACCTCCACTAAACAACACATTTTATCGCTTTGAATTGTTTGGTTTCGTTTTAAATGATTCAGCCTTTTGATCCTGTTAGGCATGACTGTGTAGGCACCATGAAGGGCTGGTGTGTGCTGACTGCCACAATGCTGCCATGACTAATGATGCAGCAAATTCAGTCAATTCTTCATGCATTTACTCGCTCATATGGTCTTCACAATGGCAATGAAAATGGTGACATTAATTTCATTTATATAGAAATAAATTAAGATAAACATAACAAAATAACCCGACAATGGATTGATGCTGGTTTATTATTTACAGGGTGTTAAATGGGACCGTCATCAGACACACTGTGTACACATGAGGAATGTAGTGATGAAAATAAAAACCTGAGACAAAGGAAGACAAAGGCATCTTGATTAAAACACACCAGATTTTTTAAGTGGCACTGATTTCTGTATCAAGGGACCTGCAATGCTTTACTGTCCAGCTAACTCATTTTTGATCCATGAGACCACAGTATGTTTTTGCACTGGAGTCTTTTGCATGGCTTTTTCCGAGCTCCAGGCTGTTGTCATATCATATGTCTTCCTCTGGTGACTGAGCAGCTCTGAACTGCTGCTCTGAGTGATCTCCTCTCGCAGCCATGGAGCCCTGTGGTTCTTCGGCCTCCTGCCTGCCTGACCCCCTTCAGCTGGAAGAGTCTAATTGCTTTCACGTTTCTTTTGCTCAATTTAGCAGTTACCGTGTCCTGTGAATTCTCAACACCTACAGTACTACATATTTTCTCGTCCTTGATCTGCTCCTTCACTCTTGTGTTTTACAGTTCTACAAACACTTCCTTGGACTTCATGCCTAATGTTTCACAGTTTGTATTCATCTTTATCTTTTAATAGGACACAGATGTACTGGATAAAAGGACCAATGTTACTCTCCACCCATGGGTGGTAAAACACTCATGGGTGGAAAACAACCAAATCCATGGAATTTATTAACATAAATTCAAGACAACCAAGACACTAAGTCAAGACAACAAAAGACATAACAGTGACACAAAATCCCAAGCTGAGAGGCAGCAAGTCCAGCAGTCCACCAGTAGCCTCTCCCTGCATCAGTACAGCTTGCACAAGAATCCTCATTTATTTACATCACACTGTGTGGAAATAGAGATTGATTTTGTGAAATGTTAAAATACAATAGATGCAAGCGGGGCTAATCTTAAAATTTGAATTATTATATTATCACCTGTGGATGCTATTAAGGCATTCTTTATTTCAATGGAAATATTTCAGATTAAGTAAAAAATTTATGACTGATATAATCATAAAATGGAAAAGATGGGAGTCCTAAACAAAAACCTTGAAGATGTGCAGTTTTTGATAATAAGTGCTCCTGCAGGATGAGCATGTATTTTGTGCTTGGATAACACATGGATGAAATGAAACCTGATTGGCTAATACAACTCTAAAAGTATGAAGAGAACAATAATTTTGTTTGACGAATCAACCAGCAATTTTGTTTCCTTACTGTAGCCACAAGATGGCGACACTGCCATTGTCACCACATGAGCAACTCCCAAATACTCTACATATACAGTTCATTCAAAAGAGAACTAAGTTTGTTAAAAATGTTTTATTTTATTTATTTATTCATTGTTTTTGTCTTTTTTTTAGTCCGTGTGTATTTCTTTTATTTTAAACAATGTCTTTCTCTATATACATATACTCTGTTTACTGAATATGGGATTACTGTCTATTGAACTCTTGAATATTATTCAGCAGTTATTATAAATCATAGCATCAGTTCTGTCCTGTATTTATCTTTTTTACCTTTATACAATTACAATTCCAAGAGCTGCTCCCAGATTAAAAAGAGTGTACTGTATACACACGTCCTCTCAACCAGGAACAAATTGAATTGCAAACTGAGTATGAACAGCAATCTTACAATAATTCAGGATGAGCTCAAATCCAAAAACAATGTTTTTGTGAAAGATTTCAACATGAAAAATGATCTGCACATCGCACAAAATAATGCTCATGTAATTTTCTTAGTCACCTTACTAGGAAAAATGAACATGAACCGCTCACTAAACATCCGACCAAATGTCTGTCTCACTCCATCTACTTAATATCCCGACTGATCTGCATCCAAATCTATTTCTGTACTAAGTGACTCCCCATGCCAAAACATTGTCTGTCAGCACTTATGATTTGCATTAGTTTATTTGGACGTCAGACTCGTAGCTTGCTGAAGTAAATTAAAGTTCACTAAACACTTGAACAATAGTGTAGTCTTCTCTGTTATTCACACGGCAGCTAAAACTTTCAGAATGATCCTGGTAGAATAAACTCCACCTCCTATTCCTTCAATCATTTGCAAGTAGTCTAATCATACACAAATGAAAACAATCAACATTATAAATAGTTAGGTGTGGAGGCTGGGACACTTCTCTCTCTGAAGTTTCCACAGTCTCGCATTTATACTAGAAGTGGTCTGAGAATATGGTATTGTCATCAGACCTTTCTCCTTCAGATCCAGCTGAATCACACTCATTCACCCTGGACACCTTAGGGAGTCATCATATCTCACTGTGGATTGCTTGCAGATGAAACAGCATAGACCTGGTAGGAAAGGTCCTCGCTGACTAAAATAGTGTGAATCACTCCTGGCAGAAGAATCAGTGCTAATACAATTCTCTTTCATTTCCTTTCATAAGCACAAATTAGATCAGCATCTCGGAGATGTAAAAGCTAATGTGTTCGGGCTGCTGGTGATTTCCCCTGAACTCAACCTCAGCTCCAAGCTAACTACTACATTACTCACACCACTTCCACTTCCCATTACGCCTTGTGTCATGTGCACATGAATGATCCGACTCCAGGAGATGACTTCATGTGTGGGTGAGAGTGACTATGAATGCTCCTTTCAGACATTTTAATTGTTCAAAGATTTACTTTGGTACAAGTTATGACACATATTCACTGATCACGGCCATATAATGCCATATCTAATTCTACAGCACTTGAGGTTTGAGAGTGTGGCATTAATAAGTGTTTGACTTGATTTCACTTAGGGGGACTGTAGTTTTTCTTGCCATCCTGACATTTCCACTAATTAATACCTTTATTTCTTGTTTTCTTTGTGGATAAATTACTTTGTTCTGTACTTTAAAGTCCAATTGATGAGGCCAGGAAAGCTTGCAGGTATGCCCAGATTACCCTGCTAAAAGCTCCGGGGGAAAAATTAGCTTCTGGGCCCCTCCTAACCACCTATTGGTCTCACTCTCTGTGTAATGTGTAAGGTTTTTCTATGCTTGGATACTACCAGTCCCCCATTTGTTCAGTGGTAATTTGACTGAATACAAAACAAATTAGAAATATACAATAAGAAAGCACTAAACTGGAATAGTGAAGATTTTAAAACTAGATTCTAACATGTGGCCCCTCTTCAAGACAGGGCATCAGGTATAAAGCAAGACATATCTTAAGGCCTTTATCATGTCAGTTAATATTGTACTTTACGTTTGTGCATATTCACAAATATATCCAAATTAAATGACTAAAAACCAGTTGACATTAAGTCTTGAGCTTTCCAGGTTCTAAGAACAGTTGCCCAGTTGGTTATCCAGCCTTGGGTATGATGATAATAGGAGTCATATTGGTGGGAGTAATGTGATTATTGTAGTTATTATTATACATTCTTTACTTATGACTGTCTGATCCTAATTGTGAAATTAAGTTATTCCTCCTCGCTTGGATTGTTCCCCGTGGTTTCATTGACTTCACAGGCAGAGCCACTGCTGGCCTTCTTACCTGAATGACATCAGTGAGTCAGTAGTCCGGCCTGGCCGGGACACCATCAGCATCACTTCACCTCTCCACGTTTCCAAGTAGCTGCCAGCGGACAGCCTCAGCCTCCTCTGCCCGTTCATTGGAGCCACAGAACGCCCGTCACGAGGAGCCAGCTCCAGGGCATTCCCTATCCGCGTGCTGTGTCGGAAGTGGCCGCCTTTTCCTTTTCCTCCATTGGACTGAGCCGCTGTCAGTCGGGTTCACTCACGTTGAACATCGTCCGCCTCTCCGGCTCTCTGTCGGCTGAGACCGCCGTCATATTGGCTGCTAGAGGCAGCAGCGACCACGGCAGAAGAGAAGACCCCCACCATGATGAAGAACGGGCTTTCGCGGCACTTAAAGACTAAATTAACTTTTTAAATATTTTTTATTAGTATTTAACTAATTATTGTTAAAATATTCGGGATGATACCGTCAAGTATCCGCGTACCTTTAGTGCTTTCATCCGACACCGTGGTCCGCAAAGGGGATATATGCCTGACTTCTCTTAATAGCCATTTTTTGCAGACAAAGAGAGCAGTTGAATAGGGCTTTCACAAGGCACAAGGGTAAGATATGAATTCGAGAAACAAACCATTACTTGTCACGCATGTCACATTTGTCTACGCAGCATCTTTAAACATCACTGCACCACTTGGCATATTTCTACAATCTTTTGTGTCGATTTTTCATAAGCTAACCCGCTAACCCCGCTAGCTGGCTGGTTAGCCAAAGCTAACTAAAACGTTAGAAACCCCCAGTCCAGGGAATGCTAACGTTTAGCATTTTTGACAGCTCGTAAGCCTGAACTGTAAGTTAGCCATCTGTTGCCAACTAAAAGAAAGACGTTTCTAATTTACTTCTGAAAAATATTATACATCTGACTCGAGCCACTCAGCCAGCTGGGCAATATGAGATTAGCTAACGTTATCTTCGCGGCTGTAGCCACATTTAGCGGTGTATTGGGTCTGACTGTGGATGGTTAACGTGTTAGCAAGTGAGCTAACTTGGCAGGGACCGGGGAAAAGTGGGGCCTCTAGTAAGCCTAAAGGCCTTCCAACCATTTCTATAGACCAGCTATAACAACGTTTTAGCTCGATTATTGTGGGTCTTGTATTGACATACCTGTAAGTTTGTCCGTTAGAGTAACGGAACCGTACTGTCCACGTTAATCTGCATGACAAGATCACATTCAACGGAGGCAGCTTTGAAATTGTAGGAATAACTTAAGGTTAACATTAACTCTAAACGGTGTTTGAATTTGAATGCAAGTTAAGGTATTCTTTTACACATAATTTGACGTAACTAATGTTAATTACAGATTTCTTACCTGTATGACTTGAATTTTTTCTTTATTAATTATTGAGTTAGACCTAAGAACAAAGCTACACAAGGGCAGAATAATAATTTTACATACACTGTTGATGTGCTCAAGAACGATGTAATATTGAGTTTCAGGAATTTGTTTGACTGTGCATAGTCTGCCTCTATTTGAAAAGTCTATTTTTAGCAAAAAATTTATTCTGACTCTTGTTTAGTGGAGGAAAAAATGCAGAGCTTGTCATATCAAAATTTCTATTAAAAGTCTTAATATTTGTTGAGATTTAAATGATAGGAAGAATCAGTGTTTTTTATCAGTCATTTGCAGACCCTGTATGGCTATCTGCCATCCCACATATCTTTAAGAATGCGAGATGCTGCAGATATCTCATTAACTCTGGTCTGTTCTGAGCAGAAAAGGCGTCCTCCCTTAATCTTGTCTTCTCTCCAGCCCTCTCTTAGATCAGTGTGATCCCAGGAGAATGGGTGTGTTGGGCTGCCGGAGAGTAGAAGTAGCCTAGTTCTGTTTCAGGGAGACTTTAAATGGTTGTGGACTGGTTTGCACTATTGGTGTGGCCATTGTTATCAGTCGCGACTCATAGAGAATTATATAGGACGGCTATATTTAAAAAATCACTGTTGAATTAGCTAAGTGGAGTTAATTCTTGGCAGAAATCTTCAATATGAGATGCCTAAATATTGTGAGTCCTTCTGCAGACATACAAACCCATTTCTTGGTTGTAAAGTATAAATAAGAAGAGCAAGAGTTAAATGTGAAAATTGTAACTTAGATATGCACCAAATGGAGTACGTTGTTGCAAGCTTTTGTTTAATGCATTGCTGCAAATTGTCTGATGTAAGAGTTCGAGGTCACAACAGTGGTTTGCATTTAATAAATGCACTGACCTAAAAGGTGGTGAACTTTGTTGTTGTTTGGTCAGACATCCAGTATTATTAATGTTGTCTGTTTTGGATAGCTCCAACAGTTTCCTTGATATCTCATAAGAATGGAGCCATGCTAATGAGGACACAGGGCAGATTATAGAGGTTTCAGATCTCGTTGGTCATTCCTTCAAATTTGCAGTAATTCTTACATTTTCATGGTTCAACTCCCAACATTCTGTCTCCTGGCTTGTAAGGTTAATCTTCTGAACACTTGTCATTTATTATTGTTAAATTGCGGTGACAATCATAGGGTTAAGTTATAGGCATGTTTTAATCATACTTGGTCACAATTTACGAAGTTTTGGAGATCCTGCCCCCTTTGAGCCATGTGTCTTGGTCACTGGAACTTTTCATTGTTTGTATTTTTTAAGCGATTACCAAGCTGAGGGATAAAACACACCAACCCGGATGGAAAATCCAGCCTCTCAAGATGTAACTGATAAAACATTAGCTTCACAGTTCCAGTTTATCTTGGAGGTTAAACAGCAGGGTGTGAACATGCAGTCATAGTTCGAGGGTCAGTGTTTTCTTGCTGACAGTGCAATTACAGAATAAAGACAAATCTGGCAAATTTAGTCTGTGGCTGGTAAGACTTTGTGCTCCAACAAAAATTTTGGCGAATGATAGGCAGTTGTTTGCATGTTTTGATTTCTAAAGACAGATTGGCCGGACAAATAGTTCAAGTACATTTTGAGCCATGTTGCTTCTTTGGTGAAACCTTTGATTGTCTAAGTTAGTTTGAATCTTGAAATTGTCAAGATGTGTTAGTATGCTATGGAGCCAAGATATTGAAATCATAAATAGCTTAAGTAACACTTCAGTTAAACTTTCACATGTGGGTTGTGGGTAGAGATGCACTGCTCCCACCTTCTCTCTCCTGATTGTTATACCTAATTAGTTGATTACTAGTGCTTTTGTATTTAAATGTCTTTCTCAGATTACTGTTAAATCTGTTAAACTGTGTGTAACATGAGGCATGCCATCTCTTAACTAAAAGCAGAGACATTATATGTCATTATTTTCTTTGGTTTTTGCAGAGTTTGGTTTACGTTGTTATAGGTGGTTTACAAAATTGTGTGAAAATTTATGAAAACAGTGAGTAAGGTACATTATTTATTGCAGTTCAGTCATGCCTGACTAATACATGATCCATTTACAGAAGGTGTGTATCTGGAGCATCGCAAATTATAGGAACATTTTCTAAACAAATGTGAAGCATCAATCAGTCAGTTGGCTGCAGTAAGAAGCTTTGGACCTAACCATTAAATTAATTTCCAACGTGAAGGAGTTTGCTAGGAATGGTGATTATTGATCACCAATCACTGTTGAGAGTAGGGCTGCAATAAATGATTATTTCCATTATTCATTGATCTGCCAGTTATTTTCTCAATTAATCATTTGGCCCAGAAAACTGTAAAAAGAAAATAGCACAGCACATATTTCAGCACAAAGGCTATGCCATCAAATATCTCTTTTTGTGTGACTATAGTCCAGAACCCTATATTATTCATATTCATCTCAGAACCTGGAACTGTCCAGTGTTTTGCTTTTGCTTGAAAATGACTTTCAAAGAAAACAATCCCTTGGCAATTTATTTTCTTTTGATTGGTTGATTGATAAATCAATTAATTGTTGCAGCATAAGGTAAGCATTAGCTTAATGAAGATGTACTCAGTTGGCACAGCATTATTTGTGCATACGTGGGACAGCTGAAGTTCCACACACTGTGGACACTTGCCATAAAGTGAGGAGTTATAATCAGAGCTCATGCTGTGGGCACAATGCCAGTGGTTTTCTATACAACAGGAATGGCACATTAAAAAGAGTTTCTCACCTTGGTGACATGTTGCAAATTTAAGTTCACCCAAACTGGAGATCAATTCACAGTTCTTTGATCAGCTAGGGGTCACAGTGTTCTGTGATTCCTATTTTACAGCATAAATATATATTCACAATCTTAAATTTATATAAACAGAAGTAAGTGTGTTAGGAGATTAGGACACCCATTTTAACTTTTTCTCATTAGTAAAGGCAATTTAACGCTACAGTCCTTTCTCAGTGCAGCATTGATCAGTTGACGATAACCATATGACAAAGACAAATCTTTCTAATTTGATAGGGCCACGTGTTGCGTAAGGATGTGCAGAAGCAGAAAGAGCAATGTTGGGCATTGGGATTTAAGTAGTTACCTTGTGTTTTGGTGTTTACTAAATTAAATGATCTAATTGTGTGTGCCAAGAAAACGGGCCACATCATTATTTAAATTAAGGCTTTAATAAGAAAAACATGCACTTTGTATTTTATAAGCTTTTAATGGTCGATTAATAATATGGCCAACTATTGATTAATAGGTCTAAGTTTTATTACTAAGGACCTGCAACAACACACATAGCCTCATAGTACAAGCATTAGCAACAGTAATAAAAAAGACTCTAAAATGAAAAGAAAATTTTAATATAATTAAATCAGAGGTAAATATAAGTAAATTCACCTGGCATTTTACATAGCCAAAATCAGATGCATAAAAAATTATAATATATAATTTTGTTTTCAAATGTAGTAGCAAACTCCTGGCCACAGCTTGCAGTGTGCGTTTGTGCGCGCGCGCGTGTGTGTGTGTGTTGCATTGCTGACATAGGCTTCGTTGTGTATGACAGGGAGGAAGTTTTACAGCTTTGAAAAAAACGTTTTAAACCAGCTCTAGTGATTGTCATTTTCACCCAACATATTTTTAAGTATAGTTAAGTAAGTATAATTTAATTGCAGCATATAGATATTAGTACAATGAAATTGATCAGGAAAATGATTTGGTGCTGAAAAGCATGTGGGAGCGTTGCTTTGGATGTTGTTTGTTAGAAAATATGTCTAGTTTATCTTTGGAGTTCCATCTGAAGCCAGTGGCAATCAGATTGGGAGTGTAAGGCCAGTTGTGGATTTAGGTACTGGCACTGCCGCATAAGAGAATAAGAGGAAGACGTACAACAGACCAGACAATGCACTTTCTCAAGCATATTGTGTGCTCGCACATTTAAATCAGAATAAGAGTCATTAGTCTGGTCACATTCATAGTTTAACTTAGCTGTGTGAATAAGACATTTTTTCATAGCAACAAATTAATTGTAGGTGTATGTATCACAAAAATCTTTTGTGAGTACAAACCAAGTCAGTGTGTAGGATGACTATGGCCAAGTCTGGAGAGATGTCAAGAGTTTGTTAGTGATAGCCTTAGAACTGCCCTCAGCAAATCAACTTAATCAGTCGTGCTGAAGACTGGTCTGATTTCCTGCGCATCACAGGTTCCTTGTCTCTCACAGCTGACTGTGCAAATCCATAATGTCTTTATCAATATTTGGAGGCAAAGTCTGCATGCAGCTCGACATGATGCCAGGTAGTTGGATAGCTGCTTTTAGCCCAGAAGCATATTGAATTAGCCTATCAAAAAAAAGGGAGAGAAGTGGGAGGAAGTGAGGTAGACGAGCCACAGAGGGACTAATGTCTTTGAGTTCCTGTGTGTTAGTGAATAGCACATGCAATGAATGCTGACAGGGTTGGGGATTTAAATTTGAATGAGAACTCTGATGATTGAAGTGCATATTCTTACCTGCATCATATGATTCACTGCTTGCACCTCATATGCATGGATAAAGTTTGATCATGTTATCAGTTTCTGTATAGAGTTTTCTTGAGAATGAAATAAAATTTGTTTTGTTCAAGCAGTAAATGACCAAACACAGTGTAGTAATTCACTTTTAGGAACAAAGAACTAAAACTTAAGTGTGAGGCCCTAAAGTGTTTTAGAGATGTTTCAAATTGGTAAGGTTTTCAGGTATCAGAATGTTTTTACTACAGGGATTTGGATTTACTGGCAACAATAAAATGTATACCTTAATAAATCTGTGAAGTACAGGAAAAAAAAAACTGAAACAGGAAAGGAAATGCTGCATTATGGAATCCTTCAAGGTTTTGTGTTTGGCAGGCCACATACCTGTGGTGACTTTGCTCACTGTAAAATTCAAACACAGTTTGGTGCCACTACTTCCAAATCTGTCAAATTCTAGGAAAGTGATAAATCAATGGCATTTGTGAGTGTGTATGTGCATGTATGTGTGCCCCGTCTGCTGCTGTTACAGGGAAAGTTTTTGGTCAGGTCTAGACTGGCTCTGTAATACAGTACATACCAGCAGATCAGCTGTGAGCAGATCCTGGGTTCATTTATAGCTGTGGCCTTGTGTCCCTGCACGTCTGCCTGGCAACTCCCAACTCTGCTGTTCCAACTACTCAAGCTCACCCACCTCTCAGACACTTTGGCCCCGTTACACTCACACCATGTCTAATTACTAGATACACAGTAGTCTGGGGAATTAAAATGTAGGACATTCTTTATATAGCTTGTACCTCAGTATTAAATATAGGTGCCGTTGCTGTTGCAAGATTTCTCCACCTGTGACTTAATCAGTTTTGTCTCCTGTTTCCTCCAGGTCCCAGGGGCTCCTATTGATGAAGAAAGTGGGCAACATGTGGAGCAACCTGAAGAGCAAATGCCAGACACTCTTTCACAACAACAGTTCAGGACCCAGTGAAAGCAGGGTTGAGGCAGATGCCGTCCACTGTGTGGTGGATCTTGGCCAAGGGGGCAGCTCAGGTGATGCGCATGCATCAGGAGCCTCCAGTCCATCACGGAGCCTCCTACCAGTGCCAATGGTAACATCAGGACGCCGCCATCACAACTGTGTGTCGGACATCCCTCAGATAGTAGAGATCACTATCGACAAGGACACTGAGGATGTGCGGGGAGGATCAGGGGGTGTTCCCTTGGCCCGGAGAGACTCCTATTCCCGTCATGCTCCATGGGGGGGCAAGAAAAAACACTCATGTTCCACCAAAACCCAGAGCTCTCTGGAGGCAGATAGGCGGTCTGGCCGTTTAAGGGGGAGTGGGAATCGCAGGGACAGGCGTTATGCAGTCAGCTCCATCCAGGAGATGAGCGACTCTGTATCTGGAGGACGCAGTCTGAATGCTCGGTCTTTGCGCCAGCGGCTAAGTGATACAGTAGGACTGTGCTTACCCCTGCCTACTCGTAGACGCTCCCGTTCAACTAAGAACCCTGTCACCTCCAAACGTAAGATTCACCTAACAGAGCTCATGCTGGAGACCTGCCCCTTCCCACCAGGCTCAGACCTTGCTCACAAGTGGCACTTGATCAAGCAACACACAGCACCGGTCAGCCCGCATTCCTCCACTGCCCTGCTTGATGCCTTTGACCCGGCCCACCCCTCTCCTGAGGATGAAGAGGAACGTCTACGTGAGCGCCGCAGACTTAGCATTGAGGAAGGTGTGGACCCACCACCTAATGCACAGATCCACACCCTGGAGGCCTCAGTGCCAGGCTCCTCTCTCTACAAACTGGGACCAAAGATGGCTCCTGGCATAGGAGAGGCCTCTGGGGATGGCCGGGCCTCAGGGACTGGCAGCACTGTGGGCGCTGGATCATCAGGGGCCTGTGGGCAGGTGTTGGGGGCTTCAGTGTCAGCCCAGGACTGTGACTCTGAGGAGGATTCGACCACCCTCTGTCTACAGGCCAGGAGGCCTAAGCAGAGGCACGCCTCTGGCGATGGTCACTTGAGCCGGCAGCAACCTGGACCGTGGAAGGTTCACACCCAGATAGACTACATCCACTGCCTGGTGCCGGACCTATTGCAGATCACTGCTCTGCCCTGTTACTGGGGTGTGATGGACCGCTACGAGGCTGAGGCACTGCTGGATGGACGGCCGGAGGGCACCTTCCTACTGCGTGACTCAGCCCAGGAGGACTACCTCTTCTCCGTTAGCTTCCGCCGTTACAACCGCTCACTGCACGCCCGCATCGAGCAGTGGAACCACAACTTCAGCTTTGACGCCCATGACCCTTGTGTTTTCCACTCTTCCACCGTCACAGGACTGCTGGAGCACTACAAGGACCCCAGCGCCTGCATGTTTTTTGAACCGCTGCTCACAGCACCTCTCCATCGAACCTTTCCCTTTGGCCTGCAGCACTTGGCACGAGCTGCCATCTGCCGCTGGACCACATACGATGGTATAGGCTCTTTGCCGCTGCCCCCTGCCCTGCAGGACTTCCTCAAGGAGTATCACTATAAACAGAAAGTACGAGTTCGCTGGCTGGAGAGGGAACCGCCACTCAAGGTCAAATAGGGCGGGCTTCTCCATTGCCTGTACACACACTGCAGCAGGATCACAGAACTTGAGAAATTCCTCATTAGCCAATTAGAGGCTATGCTGATATGGCTCTCTTTCTGGTGGGGGATGGAATTTAAATATAACAAGCTATACAAGATTCATTCTAATCTTTGTTTTAGTTATTACTTACATCACAGAAAATACATATGATTATATTCAGTATAATGCTGTCTGGCAAGCACATGTTTTTGTGTTGAACAGGTTGTTTTGACAGGGAGGGAAGGCACAAATATCAGTGCTTTGTGTCTTTTCTCTCCCGCTTTGTGCTAAACGTCTGCCTGATCCCACAACATCACCCTGCCTGTAGACCTGCCTGCATGCCTCCCCTGTTCATCCCAAATTGCTATTTAGGCCCACATGGCTATGTTGTACAGTTCACTTTGTGCTTTCTTTATTTTTTTTTAATTTCCTTAGCTTGTCAAAGCACCTAGTGGATACACCTTCCCAAGAGGGTTTAAGGTGTGTATGGGTTGAGAGGGCATCTGGAGGTGCTATTGGTATATTGCAGTCAGAGCTTGTCCCATGGATAGAGCTACATAAGGCACATTCTTTGCCATCTCTTTGCACGCATGAGTATCACCTGAGCCAGAGACGAGGACAGATTCTAAGAGGGTCCAGAGAGTTCAGGACAGCACATCAGGGAAAATAAGTGCTTTCTAAGGATAATACTCTAGTCCTTAAAAACACTAGTTCCTCCTTAAGCAGTAATGGTGAATGATGAATAATAAATCAGTCTGCTGTGTACTATTTAGTGAGCAATCTAAACTTGTCAACTTTCTTTCCCCGCTGTGCAGAATTGCTTTTGAAACAGACTGTAAGGAAATATTCTGACAGTTCTTGCCATGGTTACATATGTCAAAGCAGTCTGTCAGTTCTTCACTGGCCACAGGCTCTTCAACTCTGCACACTATTGTGCACATAGGCACCCAGTTCATTTTTTTCCTGTGAAATTTAGCTCCAAAGGTAACATTTGAATCGTGCTACGGCTTTCTAGTGTTTAGTTTTACACCTGCTTCTTTCAGTTAGCACCTTTGGGTGGCATCTGGCGATACAGAAAGCTTGGACCCTGTGTTTTCAAGTTGGTTATTTTTCTCCCATTTTCACCAGGCACTAGTAACATTGGTGCAGCTAGCTGTGCACTGTGGTTATTTAATGGAATGCTAACAGGTGCTTTCTGAGGAGTTGAGGGTGCGTGTGACAAGTGCTAGGTGAAGACAATCGATGAAAATTCAAAATGCCAGTGTCCCTTTAAACATGACAGTGAGCTGGTCTGCTCACACTAGTGAGGCTTGATTGATAATGGGCTTTTTCATGGGAGACCCCCCCATAGTAACAGATGGTGAATGGGCCAGACAGACAACGTCATAAAATAATCTGCTTGTGAAGATGAATTAAAACTCCCACAATTAGATTGCAGAACCCTTTCCTGCCTGAATTTATATTTCTTTTATGAAAACATGTTAAAATATGTTGAGCTGTTTTAATGAAGAGCACTGTGTCACAGACAGGAAAGAGGTCATGCAGGCTTTTCTTGGGAGTTAATGTCCCGCACTTAACAGCTAATTACCCCAAGAAATCCCCTCATTGCCCGGTTGCATTTATAGTCATAGCATTGAGTGCAGGCAACACTTGACTCTCAAGAGGTTGGTATATACTTGAGAGCTTTAGTTATGTAATCTGAATGATTTCAGTTGTGTGGGACAAAAACACTGCTAGCTATCCAGTCATTTCTGTTGTGTTCTCAGTGTGAAGAGAAAATAAGTGTAACCTATGTGCCTTTTAGAAAACCATTTGTCTTGTTTCATAATCAGTTGCTTTGTAGTCCAAACCTGGTGCAGATGCTTCAACACAGTGCACTCGGATGCTATAAAATGAGACTGAAGAGAATAACAATGAAGACGTGCATGAGCTTAAAACTCAATGGGAAAAAAAACTGTAGTGGTGCTATGTTGGTTAAGATATGACAGGTTATTGAAATGATAAGTTTTACATTAGCTACATCTGTTCTCAATCACTAATGCATGCATTAGTCCTTCGCCATATTATGGCTTGTGTGGTAGTATTAGGTTGGTAGAGGGTCCAATGCCAGCCCTACTGTAGCATATTTCAGCTCAAGATATCCATGTTTTTCCAGCCCTCACATGTGTAGGTTCTTGGCTGCAACTTGACAAACAAATCCTAATGAGAGGGCAGGAAGGTTAACTCTTAACTGTGAGCATGTTGATCAGAATAATCCAACTTCTGATGACAGTGCCTGAGTTGGCCATCAGCAACATGTTTGTCCTTAATCTTAATTAGTAGTAAATACATATTAACTGGCTTTAAAAAAAAAAGAAAAAAAAAAAGAAAGTAGTTGAACTTTGAATCAAACGTGTGCACAAGACTGTGGGAGAATGAGGTGGGTACAAACAAACAGATTACCTTAAGGCGTTCAGAGAACATTGTTCTAAAATAAATACAATTATCTGGAAATTCCATTGATGAAAACACTGCAGTTAATGTGTAAAAGTGAAATATTAAAGCTGAAACACACATGAGCTCATGATCACTGGAAGGGTTCATCTGTAAAAGTTGTCAAACTAGTTCATTTTTTAGTCTGTGTGTGTGTGTGTGTGTGCGCGCTCATGTGTCCTATCAGCCCGCACATACGTTAAAGGTTATTTTTGTTCTCATCAGTGAGGATGAATCATGAACAAGTGTCATGCATTTTCTTGCCCATGAATAGCTGAGACGGTGACCAAAGCTCTTGCACACAGCTGTGTGTATTAACTACTGGGCTAATGCTTATTGCAGTGCTCAGTGGTGCTAAAATTTAAGCTAAATTATCAGCTTTACAAACAAATGAAAGTTAGTTCCATACTATAGTATGAAGACTGCTCTTTTTTGCAACATATTCATGAGGGAGGACAAGGCCGTGTAAAGCTCCCATCTACACCCTGAAACTCAACACACCTATTTTCACATATTTATCAGGCAGTAAGATCATTTTTATGCAGGTAGTAAAAGATGTGCGGGTTAAAGGGTTAATATTTCACAAACCGATTTGTAATTTCTATACTACATTGTGGATTGATTAACGTTTATCGAACATTTCCCCACTTAAGAGTCTGGAACATTTTCTACTTGCCGGCACTTTGTTGTCAGAAATCATGAAAACCACACATTAATCACCTGTATATGTTAGAGTGGCAGGAGTGAATGTTAGGAGGAGGGGGATAAGGCTGACATTTTAGTTGCTTGCATGTGCACTTTTATGCTTCATAATTTTTAGCATCCAACACTGTCAAATAGAAGAAATACAGACAGCAGCTTCAGAAAATATTCAGACCCCTTTATTGTGTTTATAGATTTGATTTTATAAATGACTGAAATTGCCCATCAATCTACACTCAATAATCCAATGTTTTTTAAGTGAAAACATGTTTTTACTAATTTTTGCTAATTTATTAAAAATCAAAAACTGAAATCTCATTTACAAAAGCATTCAGACCCTTAATTCATTATTCAAATTTTTTGAAACTTATGAAGCTCTGAGTGAGTGAGAGTCACCTCTCAGACCAGGGCTCTTTTTATCTGGTGACTCTGTCTATCCCATTGATTCCAAACTTCTTCCATTTCACAATTGTTAGCTTTAGAAATGGTTTTATATCCTTGTCCTGACCTTTGCCTCACCATAGTTAAAAATAAAATCTATAACACAATAAAGTGAAGGGGTCTGAATTTTGAAAACCCACACACTGCTCACTGCCACTTGCCGATCATGCTGCTGCTTAGCAATAGCATATAACGCCTTACCGTGCCCCACCCCACTTGTGGGCACTAATCACAGGCTAATTTTACCATGTGGGGATATAAATTTACTGGGTACTATAAGGGCCACTTTGTGTTGCCTTATGGCTGCTGTATGACGGGAGGTGATTTTTTTTTTTTTTGTTGTTGTTATATCCAACTGCTCTCTCCATCTGGCCACATCCCTAACATCATTGTGTTGATGTAGAGGTGACTTTGGTTTAGAGTGAACTTAAGGCCTGTTTGTCCTGCCCTCTACTCTTTCTCCGAACCCTGTTAGGGCGATGTTAGGAGAGATGGAGCTGGCTCACTGAACGTGCTACAATGTGCTCACAGAGAGGGCGAGGGATTTGTTGAAGTAAATAGCACTTTAATTGTGTATTTGTGTTCTACAGTGCAGGTCTGCAAATATTAGGACAGTGACAGTGTTTTTTGTAATGTTGGCTCTTTACTCCATCATATTTGAAATGACAGTTCAGCTAAGTGACAACTTGAAGGTTTAACTTAAGGATTTGTATCTATATGGGGTGAACATGGTAGGAGTTATACAGTTACTCAAATTTAACACATTTACTTTCATACTAAAATTTGGTCTAACACGTTTTGCAGTACCAAAGTCTCAAAAGTTGCACATACATGGGCAGACACTCTGTCTGTGGTGATGTTCTGCGAGGCCTGGAGCTGCATCCATGTTCATTCCTACTTGTTTTGGGAGCTTTTTGCCTTCAGTCTGGTTATCAGGAAGTGAACGTCCTCGGTTGGACTGAGATCAGGACTTGACCTGTTTTGGCTCCTCTTGGTCCTGTCTGTGTGATAAGGATCATTGTTCGCCTGCTTTGACGTGAAATTGCATATTTAAAAAAAAAAAGCCAGTATTCCCACTCTGTCCACCCAATATGGATTTGAACACTCTCAAATGTAGGAAAAGGACTGGGAGTTAGCACTTTAACCTCATAGTCATTGTTTCATTACCAGTATGCTGCACTACAGAGTCAAAACGACTGAAAATGTCTCACTGTCCGAATACTTGTGGACAGCACTGTATGTGTATTAGTTCAAGATGGCGAGACTTGTGTGAGTGTTGCGAAGAAGCCGGTGGTCCTGAAAATATTTCACTTATATTCAGGTGTTGTAAGCTTTGTCGATGGAGGTGTATGCTCCAGCATGCTGCAGACTCTGTGCATGCGTGTGTGTTGTGTGGTAGTATATTAGTGTATGGACAGAGCCACACAAGAGGGTTCCAGTGGAGGGGAAGCAGAGTCGACTGTGAGGGGTGATGACAGTGACTCCAGTGAACAATGCCTCTCTGCCCCTGTTCCACCCGCCCCACCCCCCTTATTCTCAGGCAGGCCCGTTGCAAGGAGAGTCCCAGGACCCTCTCAACCCAGTTTTCCCCATGGGAAATATCTGATGTTAAGCGTAGCACATGTTTGCCATATAACCCGTAGATTTAGGAGAAGAAAAAAAAAAACATTGTATGTATGATGAATGATGGGAGTTATGTATTAGGAGCCTGATGAAAAGACATTTTATTCTTCTGTGGTGCATTAACTGTCTGGAACACACACATTTGCACACACCATGACATTTCCTCTAACACCTACACTACCCCAGGTATTGACACACACCACACCCTCCCACCAAGCCCACCCCAAGCCAGGGATGTGTAAAGATGGACCACATTTAGCCAGCACCACCTTTGTGTGTGACTCCCCCACAAAAAGGGAAAACAAAGATGGGTGTTTATGTGTATATTCTATGTTCTTAAAAAAAAACAAAATGCCATGAATTGAACTATTTTGACCTTATATTGTAATTAGTATGACACTATTTAGCTGCACTATGAGAGCCTCGCTTGTGGCAAGAAACCACTGGGTCTGGTCTGGATGAGAGACAGGCTGGTTATGTCGCTAGTTGTCCCTTTTTACAGCAACAACAGCAACACCCCAGGATGTAAGACTCCTACCCCCCCCACCTCGGTACGACTCATGGTTTCAGCTGTTAAGAGGACAAACAAAAAAAAAGATATTTTAAAAATTTTTTTCCTTGTTCCCATATATATTTTAGAAAGCTGGGTTAAGTGCTATATACAAACGGAAAAAGATGTATGAAAGAATTATTATTTTCATTATTACTTCTCCCTAATATGCAATGGAGTGTAGTGTAACAATGGTTGCAATCCTCTGTCACTTTAATGCTGTATGTGCACATTGGTTGCTGTGTGGATGTGGGTGCCGAGGCAACAGGACTTGACAATGATGGGAACTAATGGTTGTCACTCTGCAGCGCTGCCGTGTTCCCAGACTGCCTTATTCGTTCTGACCAATCACAAAAGCCCTTTTAAATCCAGGGCTGCAGCCACTGCCACAGGCTGACCAAGCTGTAGTCAGACGAATATCGCTGTTCCATTTTCTTCTGCTTTTCCTTGCTTTTTCTTTTTCTTTTTCTCTTCTTTTTCTTTCTTCTTTTCTTCTGCTGTCAGGTAGGATTTGGAGCGTGTAAATGGCATAATCATGTTCACATCTCACTGTCTGTTCTGTGTATCTGCTTCACCATTCAAAGAGAAAAAAAACAGTTGTTTTCCAGTATAACCTGTTCATTTTTAAAGAGCCGTATGATGCGACACTTGTAGCTGTCACTCTTGGTGCTTGGCTTATGCTTCATTGTCTTAATATTCCAAATAAAACTGTTAAGTGTAATCCACACTGGCCCATGATATAATATGGAGTATGTTTTTTTTTCTTTATCATGCTGCACTACACTAATTGGTGGTGTGTGGTTTGGTCAGAAGCCATGGTGACATCTGGGTGTTGAAGGTGATGGATCACTGAAACCAAAGTCTCAGCATTCAGTATATTCAACATATCTTACTCTTAACTCTACCTCTCCAAGCAGTACATTAGGTATAAGTTGCTCACCAAATGTGTTGATAACATGACACTTAAATCATAATTTCATTGAGTAGTTGATTCAGGTCAAATGTTTCACTCATAGTTATTCCCTTCAGTAGCATGCTTTTACCTGAGGCGTGTAGTAAAACATCCAAAAACTTATTTGCCAATCATTTTAAAATGTGCATAGCATTTACAGTTGTAACCTTTGACCCATGCAGCTCATTAGGGCAGACACCATTATTTTAAATTCTATAATTAACTTTCAAATTGAATTATTTTTCTTCCAGATGTCACAAAATGTTGTTACAATCTTAGCCAGTAAGTTTTCATCTGCAGTCCTTTGGCAAAATGAAAACAGATAAAGTGCCAAGTTGCAAACAAATGTAAGACGAGAACATGCCATAGCGATGTATAGTGAGACGGCAAAGTCAGCCTACTGAAGATGGTGTGCAAACCATGCAGAGCTACAATAAGCAGCAAAACATTGATGCAACATCTCTTTTGTTTTTTTTTGGTTATTTTAAAAGAGCAGTGTAACTTCATAAAATCAGATATTATACAACACAACATACTTTCAATTTAGCAAAACCTAGAGTGTTACCACACATATTCTTTTTTTATCAATTTAAATACCTAAAGGACAGAAATCAATTTCATGAATCCTCCTTAACGAGGGAATTCCATAAATTTAACAATTGGTCCGCACACACACAAGTACAATCATTCTGCAGATAAAATAAAAATCTTTTAATGGAGAACTCAGTACTGCAGGCCTAAGTTGTGGTTTGGTTGCTGTGATGCAGCTTGACTGACTAAAGTAAGCTAAAATATGAAACCTCAAAGACTTGTAAGTTGATGGACTGTCACCTGGACTGTAGGTCCCACTGGGAAAGCAACAGGGAGGAATGGGATCTCAAGCTGTGGACCCCAAAAAGGGCAAGAATGGCTTCACCGGTGGGCGACCTCTGTCTGTAAACCAGATAAACAACAGACACCATAGAAAAACCCAAACAGGCTTCTCTGGGTATGATTTCGAAATCAGCTATGAACAGGCCAAAACGACTTAAATTAGCTAATATTTATAAATGATTGTGTTTATTTGTGCCTACAAAAGAAGATTCATATCTGTCTTTGGATTGATTTGGATGATCACAATAGACAAATTGAGAATTTGCAGCAGTAGCTAATAGGATAGGTGGTAGAATGCATGAAACACAGATGTAGAATGAAAATCTCTGAGTTATAAAGTATTTTCGGAGCTCTACCCCCGTAGTCTTACCTACCGTGTGATTCAACCTTTCTCCCCAATAGACAGATGACCCCCCACCCCCACCCCTCCCAACCACCTCAGCCATACCCACAGTCTAACTTCCCTCACTGTGCCCAGCAGCAGCTATGCAGACAGACACGAGCAAGCTGCCTGGAACTTCACAGTTAAGTATTTGTTCATTTGAAATGAAGTATAAATAGCATGTGGGTTATCGGTTTCAAGTTAGCTACCCAAGGCTTATGAATAATTGACGTTCACCCAGGAGGAGGGTGAGCTACCGTACAGGGCAGGAAACTTTCTCTTGGCCCAAAGAGCGGACGAGAAACCAACAAAACAGAGAAAAAAAAAAACTCGTATAAACGTACTACAGTACATTAATATCCATGCTCTGAAAACATACCCTCAGGTGTCCTGTTAAACCTT